TAACGGCGCGCTCTTGCGCTTTCGTACAGTTATTGTCTGACAGTTATTCTGTACACTTCGTGGGATCATGAACATCATGCTTAATGTCAATGAGTGATTACATTCGATTATCCGATGAAATTGAATGAGTGAAGGTGTGTGGCTCGCACTCATTCGATATTAATAATAATACAATCCTTCTGTGCGCGACACAATTTTATACCGTTCCCCATCACAATGGGAGACGGAGAAATGACAAATCCAAGAAAGAGAAAAAGAATAAAAACTAAATCCTCGGACCCTAACAATAATGGACTTTCAAAAAATAACAGACTCCCAGCTTCTGACGAGGAAGACATGGACAGTGACGATTCAAATTCTAAAGATGAAAAAGCTCCACCAATAATTATAAATGACTCAACAATCCAACCTACCTCAAGACTCAACATATATAATAACATCAAGAAAATTACAAAAAACATGATAATCAAAATCTCAACATATGCTATCACAATCTATCCTAAAGGAATACCTGATCATTTGGAAATCATGAACTATTTAAAAGGAGAGAATATTCCATTTCATACCTACACGGCAAGCTCTCAAAAATTAAAAAAGATGGTCATCAAGGGACTTCCAAGACTGGATACTCAAGAAATAATTTCGGATTTATCTGAAAATGGATTTAACCCAATGAGTGTTAGTGTCATGAAAGTGAGAAGTGATAGACCCCAAGAATATCCACCATACCTCGTCACATTTGATAATTCAATGCGTGGTTCCCGACTTCAATTACTAAAAAAATTAAAAGTTATTTGTTTTACAAGAATATCCTGGGAAGAATATAGAAATCCTAGTGGTGTTACTCAGTGTTATAAGTGTCAACAGTTTGGACATGGAACTAATAATTGTTTCAATTTACCAAAATGTGTCAAGTGTGGACAAGGACATCCTACAAAGGACTGTACTAAATCCAAGGACACTGAAGCAAAGTGTGCCAACTGTGGAGGTAAACACACAGCGAACTATAAAGGATGTCCGAAATACATGGAAAGGATTGAAAAAATCTTGAAACTTCGAGAAAACATTAGACCAAGTAAGAGAAGCAATCAACAACATAACATCCCTCCGAAAAATGACGTCACCAATTATCCTGCCTTGAAACCAGTCGCCAACGAGTCAGCCCAACATGCACCTATTGTGCAACAAAATGTAATGGACAAGGAACCCTCTACATCCAAAAGCAATCCCTGGACAAAGGAAAACGACACTTCACCTCAACACGTCTCGCCTCTACTTGTGGAACTTGCGGAAGTGGGTAAGCTTATTGCAAAAAAATATAATTTAAAAAATATGATAAAAATGGCCAAAGAATTGTTATTTGCGCTAGATCAAACTAATGATAAGTTAGAACATGCCATAATATTTAATGAATATATATTAAAGTTTAGTAATGGATTGTAAAAAAAATAATTTAGTAATAGCACATTGGAATGCGAATGGCATTATAAATAAACAGCGCGAGATGAGGCACTTCCTAGATAAACATGCAATAGATATACTTTTACTTAATGAAACTAAATTAAATAATAAAAAGATATATGTTACTCCTGGTTATAGAACTGTTAGAAAAGATAGAGAAAATAATGGTAGTAGGGGAGGCGGTGTCGCCATCCTAGTAAAATTAAATATAGATTTTATCCAGGTGGATTTTAAAGTTGAAAATGTAGAAGCTATTGGCATAAAATTGGAAAATAATATAATTATAGCCTCAATTTATGTTCCAAATCAAAACCTAACAACTGCTCAATTGGATAAAGTTTTTAGTAAACATAACAGAATTTTGGCAATTGGTGATTTCAATGCAAAGCATAGTCTGTGGCACTGCAGTAGAAGCAATAAAAACGGACGTACAGTTTTTAATTATGTTTCAAATAATTTGTTAGAAGTAATTCCTCCGGATAAACCAACATTGTATCCTCATGCATGCAATTCATTACCTAGTTTCATTGACATAGCAATTAATAAAAATATAAATAAAAATATTGAAGTGGAAGTTATTGATGAGTTGGATTCCGACCATCTACCAATATTATTAACAATAAATAATTCACAGATACAATGTAAACAAAAAAATTTTTTAGATTATAAAAATGCAGATTGGACTAAATTTAGAACTCACTTAAATAACAATTTAACGATTAACAATAAACTTGAAACATGTGATGAAATTGATTTTTCGGTTACTCAACTTACAGAACTAATTAACAATGCCATAGATTGTGCTGTGCCTAAGAAAGAACAGAGATATATGGCGGCTCGTCTTCCTTTATCCCAAGAAATTAAAAACTTAATAGCAGAGCGCAATAAAATCCGCAAAATATATCAGCGAACTAAATTAGATTATTTACGGAAAACTAAAAATAATTTGTCTAATCTTATTAAAACAAAAATAAAAAAATTTTATAACGATAATTGGAATAATAAATTGAAAAATCTTAATATTAAAGATAATAGTATTTGGAAAACCGCTAAAATTTTTACTAAGGTCAACCCAGGGTCAATCGTTAAATTGCATGGTCCATCGGGAATAACTTATAATAAAAAAGAAATGGCTGATGTATTGGCAGATTATTTCGAGGGAGTGCATCATCTCACTCGCGACCTTGGAGATAAAGACACAGAGAAAATTGTAAATAAAGCGTACTGTGATATACAAAAGAGCAATTTCGATCCAAAGACTATAGAATTATCTTCACCTAGTGAAATTAAAAAAATATTACAACATGTAGCGCCAAGAAAGGCCCCTGGTCCTGACGGTATACAAAACGTAGTTCTAAAAAACCTCACTAAAAAATCTGTTGTTCAAATAAATTACATTTTTAACGCTTGCTTTAAATTGTCATATTTTCCCACTGACTGGAAAAAAGCAAACATATTAGCTTTTCATAAAACTGGCAAAAATAATCTTTTTCCACAAAACTATCGTCCAATCAGTTTATTACCAACTCTTAGCAAATTGTTTGAAAAAATTATTTTAAATAGAATTAAAATTTTTGAAAGAAATAATAATAAACTTATCAACGAACAATTTGGTTTTAGAGAAAGTCATAGTACAATTCAACAATTAGCTAGAGTCACAAATGAGATAACAATAAATTTTAATCTTAACAGACACACAGCAGCAGTGTTTCTTGACATTGAGAAGGCTTTTGATACCGTCTGGCACAGGGGTCTTATTTATAAATTGTCAACACTAGGTTTGCCTTCATATATTATAAAGTTGATTGTAAGCTACTTGAAACAACGATCTTTCCGAGTTGTACTTGACAACGAAAACTCGCAATATAGAATTATTGCAGCGGGAGTGCCTCAGGGGTCTATTCTGGGCCCAGTTTTATTTATTTATTATATTAATGACATTCCTTTAGACAAGAATACGAAAATTTCAATATTCGCAGATGACACAGCTGTTTTTTCCTCTTCATGGAAAAAATATAAAGCGACAGAATACATACAAAAACACCTGAATACACTCCTGAGGTACTACCACAGATGGAAATTGAAAATTAATGCCAGTAAAACTGAGTTCATTGTATTTAGTAAAAGAAAAAAGGAAAAGAATGAAAGTGAAATTAAAATTACAATAGATGGTGTAAATATTGAAATGTGTGATAGTGTTAAGTATCTTGGCCTTACAATGGATCATAAACTAAATTATAGAACACACATCGATAATGCTTGCACTAAGGGGCAAAAGGTTACAGGACTATTAAATAGCCTATTAAATAGAAAGAGTAAGCTAAATATTAATAATAAAACACTTTTATATAAAAGCCTAGTGAGACCGGTGGCATTATATGCCATACCAGTGTGGAGCAATGCTAACATGAGTAAAATATTAAGATTTGAAAGTAAATTGCTGAGAAGATTAGTTGATGTACCTCCAAGAACATCAAATAAAAAAATCAGACAAATATTACAAATTCCACATATCAACGACACTATTTTTAATCTTACCCATAATTTTTATAATGAACAAATTTTTAAAGCTAACGCTTTAAAAAACTTTAAAATGATTACTCATGAAAATAAGCCATTTAAAATAAAACATAAACTTCCATATTCATTACTTATGTCTTAAATAACGATGCTAATTTAGTAAGCTCCAGCTTACTCACACTGCGGCTCTATTTTTGTATGCTGATTTGTAATTGTTGAGTATGTCAAATAATTTTATATTTTGTTAACTATTTTTAATTTTTTTTAATTTTTAATTTTATTTATTTATTTTCAACAATTACTGGCTTTTTTTTATAACGACCTTTTTACCAGTAAAAATTCAAAATTCAATGTACAAGCAAGAATGAAATCATAAATATATGACGAAATTATAATTTACAAATATTTCGATAAGTTAGATACTAAATAACAGGTGCGAAATACTATATTATGAAAATATATATGTACACTTCTTTGTATTTAATAAATTTGATAAATAAAGAGGGTTTCAAAATAAATGTACACTTCGTGGAGGTTACAGTAAAAATTATAAATTCATGTATTAAATTTAGTTTTTTTTACTTTATTTATAACTATAGATAATTCACTTAAATATCTCAAACTAAAATATCCCATTAATATAAAAAGGACAGATATACAATTTTTCCTCATGTTCTTACCAGTGAATTTTTTTAATTAGTTGATTTGCAACCAGAACCCTCATCATATCTAGATTAATCATCTTAGTTTATAATTATAACAATATTTTTAGAATTGTAAACTTATTGATTTATAGTCACATAAATTGTAAGTATTTATTTTTTTTATAATTATGATGATTCTTAAACAAAAATGATAAATATTCAATCGTAAGAATTATAAAATACATATTACCCACTGACTGCAGCGCTTCACTATTAGGAGAGAATCGAAAACATTCTCGTCTTCAAACCACGAGTCATGAAAAAATTCAATACTTCTATCTTGAGACTTGTTCTCTATATGAATTTATCTAACCAATGGTTGTGAGCAGTTGTGAGTCGCATGAAAATTAAGTGCAACACGTGCGTTAATCCATTTAATAAATACGATAAATATTATCCTTAGTTTGATAAGAATTTACAACGTATATTCAAAAGTAACTTATCCTAGTTTCAGTTAATTTATAAAAACACTCTAAACCGTAAGTTTGAGAATTTTTATACACGTATTAATCTTATTAATTAATTCTTAACCCTAATTTATAGTTTATACCTTCGTAACAGTCATAAATTTGATTGTTCTTTAAACAATTTTTTTGCAAATTTAAATTTCATTTTGTTAATTTTTATTAAATAGACGTATTTTTTGATTTTTTATTAATATTTTTATAAATTTAGGTTATCTGCGTGTGAAATTTGTCTTTACAGAGGTACAAGAAATTCTAAAACATTTTGCATATTTTGATTGTTTGAATGTCTTGCTTTTAGTAAAAAAAAGTGTTTATAACAGAATTTCGCTGAAGTTAAATTGTTTTTTAAATAAATCATTTTAATAAAATTTCTCAAAAGAATTCAATTATTTTAAATACAATTTAAACAAAAAATTTTAAAAACAAAATGAACGATTTAAAATGTATTAGAAGAAACTCTTCGAAATAATCAATTATTTTCAATGCAACTTTTATTGAATTCTTAGAAAATTTCAATTATTGTTTAGAAATTTAATTGTTAGAAAAATTCAATTATTTTTAAAAATTGAATTGTTAGAAAAATTCAATTATTTTTAAAAATTCTTGGAATTTTCGAGTAATTCTTGGAAAAATTCAATTATTTTTAGAAATTCAATTATTTATTTTTCTATTCAATTAATTGAATTCTCAAAGATTTTTCTAATAAGAATTGATTTTAAAAATGAATGTAAGTTAAAATTTTAGAAAATAAGTGAATATTAGAAGTGATGTAGTATATATATTTTTTAAATATTAGTTGAACAAAAATTATTAAATGGAATAATAATTCAGTGAAGAGAAACCTAAAATTTATTTTTTTTTTCTAAAAATATATATTTCAATGAATTAATTGAATAATTACTAAATAAAATTTTTCAGTTGCAAACATTAAATATGGAAGTGGATCCAATGAATATTTCGGATAATGAAATGGAGGATGAAGAAGAGGAAGATAATGATGATGAAGAGGAAGAAGAAAGTTCCAATGAATCTATGGACGAAGAGGAGAGTGAAGATGATGAAGAATGCGAGAATGGTGAAGAAAAAATTTACCTTCCAGGTCAACCTTTGAAAAAAGGTGAAGACTTAGATTATGACAAAAGCACATACAGAATGTTACATCGAGCACAAACTGGAGCGCCATGTCTCAGTTTTGATGTTATCCGCGATAATTTGGGAACATCAAGAGAATCATATCCACTTTCAATGTATCTATTAGCGGGAACGCAAGCAGCGAAAGCCCACGTTAATAATATTCTTATTATGAAAATAACAAATCTAACCGGTAAAAATGAGGACGATATTCATTCTGACAATGAATCAAGCGATTCAGAGAATGATGATGATATTGAGAAATATCCAAAAATGAAATTAGCATTAATAAATCATCAGGGTTGCGTTAACAGAATTAGGTAAATAATTCAAAAGTTTTGTTTTCGCTATTTTCCAAGTTGAAAAAAAACTGTTTATTTTTCTAAACTGTTTTTAATTTCTCTAAACTATTTTTAATTTTTTCTAAAAATTATTAATTTTTAAATATTTTACTATTCCACAGATGTACCAGAATGAATCAGACAACATTAGCGGCAAGTTGGAGTGAATTAGGACGCATTAATATTTGGGATTTGAATGAACAATTGAGAGCTGTTGATGATCCTCAATTATTGGAAACTTATAGGAAAAAATATGAAAAATCAGAGAATGCTATAAAACCACTTTTTACATTTAAGGGACATTTGTCAGAGGGTTACGGTCTAGATTGGTGTCCAACGAAAGAGGGTTGTTTAGCTTCAGGCGATTGCAAGGGTAACATTCACATATGGAATTACGGCGAAGGAAATGAGTGGCACGTCGATCAACGTCCCTATAATTCACATGCACCACACAGTGTCGAAGATTTACAATGGTCACCGAGCGAAAGAAATGTTTTAGCCTCATGTTCAGTGGACAAAAGGTAAAATTTAAGTCTTGTATTAAATTAATATCATTTATTAACGCGCGTAACATAATAATTTTCCAAAAAGCTTAGAATTGTAGTGCGAAGTCTACTTTAATTTATTTAATACTTTAATTGAAAGAAATAAAACTTTTTCAGCATAAAAATCTGGGATACGAGAGCAAATCCACATTCGGCATGTATGATAACAGCAGGCGAAGCTCATACGGCCGATATTAATGTTATTTCATGGAATCGAAAGGAATGTCGATTTTTAGTGTCGGGCGGCGATGATGGAGTTGTTTCCGTCTGGGATTTACGACAATTCACTAGTGGTAAACCAACACCAGTCGCAACATTTAAACATCATACGGCGCCAATTACAACAATTGAATGGCATCCGGAGGACGCTTCGGTTTTTGCCTCTGGAGGCGCTGACGATCAAATTGCACAATGGGATTTATCGTTAGAAGTCGATAATGAACAATCGCAAAGTTCTGATTTACTTAATTTACCGCCGCAATTACTTTTCATTCATCAAGGTCAAACTGACATCAAAGAACTTCATTGGCATTCACAATGTCCGGGAACACTCATTTCAACAGCACATTCTGGTTTTAATATCTTTAGGACTATTTCTGTGTAATAATTGAAAAAAACATTATTTTTAATAAAAGATTTTATAAACAAAATATTTATTTATATTATGAACTAATTATTTATTTTTTAATATAGTAACATCTTCCAGAAGACTTTCGAGCATCAGTTGCTCTTTAGCATTTGTCAGAAAGACACTAAAATCACTCGTGACAAAATTATCTTAAAGTTAATATTTCGTTGTGAATTAAGTTTCTTTGTAAGCTATCATTCTGAAATATTCTTTATCTTAAGTTAAAATTTTGTTGCTGTGAAGTAAAATGGTATTAATATTTGATGATGAATAACTATTGAAACCGGCCCTAATGGGGTCTAAAATCACTCGTGACAAAATTATCTTAAAGTTAATATTTCGTTGTAAATTAAGTTTCTTTGTAAGCTATCATTCTGAAATTTTTTTAAGTTATAATTTTGTTGCTGTGAAGTAAAATGGTATTAATATTTGATGATGAATAATTATTGAAAGCGGCCCTAATGGGGTCGCTTTTTTGACTGTAGGTTAAAAAAAGGTCGGATTTGACCTAAATTTTGACCTAGGGTAACTACCCTTTATATAGAGGCCTTATGAGCTTCTTTTTTACCTGTAGGTTAAAAAATAGTTTATTATTATTATTAATTTTTTTAAATAATAATCATTCTTAAAGAACAAAATAAAAAAGAAACTTAGTGAAATATGACATTTTTTCTGAAATATAATTAATTATCTTTTCATAACTGCATGTAACAGTAATTTAGAATTACTTTCATTAGATATCATAATTATACCCTTTTAAAACGAAAACACTTAAAACTTTTTAGTGCATATTAGTGCAAATATTTATTCATATTAGTCACGATATGTAACACGCAACTTGAGAATCGATTTTATATAATTGTATAGATAATAAGAATAATTCATTATGAGTTATCAAATTGAAATTTCTTAAACAAACTTTTTATTCTCTGCAATTCAGTATTTAAATAATTTATTCTAAATTTCAAATTCTTTGTAAGCAAATAAATAAATTTAAAGTGAAAAATTCATTTAAAGTCAATATTGAGAATAGAATAATCTGAATAACGTCAATAGAGAAAATAAGAAAAATGTTTACCTGGACGCCAAAGAATTTGACAACTGCATTATTACCATCATCAGTGTTGAACACCATTTTAGGATTCAAAATTTTTAAATTTCCACATGGACGTAGAATACCGATTTTAACTTATATTTACACATTAACAATTATATGTTCACTTTCTATTATGTTCTTTGCATTCGAATACAAGAAATGTGATTTTACTTCAAAATATTTGCTAATGAGTAAACCAATATTTATTACAATTTACGTTTTTAATCAATTATCTGGCATGGTTTCACTGCTTATAACTTTGCTAATGAGTAAGGTAAATACTTTTTTAATTATTAGAAACTTTTGTAATAATGTTTTGTATATAATTTTTTTTTACATCTAAATCTTAAAATTGGATAGGAAGAAGAAGTGTGCCTGGAAAGATTAGAATTATTAAATCATCATATAGAAGGCTATATGTTAGACGAAATGTATAAAAAAATATTCTATCACTCTGTTATATTAAACTTAGCAAATTTTTGTTTTAATTTTGTGGTTCCTACTAATAAGTATATTTTAATACATAATAATTACTCTTTTTGGAGGATTTGCTACTGCTCGTTGTACTCCGAATTATTAATAATGATACAAATGACTATTGATCTAAATTTTGGATTTCTTATAAAGTAAGTGTTTTTCTACAATTTAATTTTATTCGTTAATTAGTTAATGAATATGAAAAATTGTTATAATTAACGGAAAAAATTTACTAAGAAGTAAAGAAAAGGAATATTTACATTAAAAGTCTTATTGCTTTTCAATTTTTATTTTTAATTCAGATTATAATTTGAAAAATTGAAACTATTCTAGTATGAAAAAAGGTTTTTATAAAAATTTCTACCCCTAGCTTATTATTAAACTCCAGCGAACATTTTCACTTATTAATATTAATATTCTTACGTTCTTTATAATAAATTTTATGCTGATTACAATTTTTTATTAATACAGATTAATTGGATGCTCTTTGAAGCAAATAAACAATAATATAAAATGGGAAAAAAAATTATCTTTCTTGTGTAATGAATTTCATGTAAAACGTCAGAGAAGTACATCGAATATGATACAGATTGTAAAGTATGATAAAAGTTAATTTTTTTTCTTTCTTTCAGAATATATAATATATAAATTATACTAAAGAACCTCTTATCACTTTTTTTTATTAGATTACAGTATATGGAATTGATGAGTATTGGACAAAAAATTAACAACATTTACAAATTTCAAATTTCAATTTCAATGGTAGTAAATCTCTTGTCAATAATAGCTGTACTTTATGTAACGGCCGTGACATATGTAACCAAAAAACAAGATTCAGAAATTCGTATTCATTTTTATCTACAGGAACTAATTTTATTTTGTGGATTATTTTTAAAATTCATCTACGTCTGTAGCTCTTGTTATAATGTAAATTTGGAGGTAAATATATTTATATAGTAATAAAAAAAACTTGATTTAATAATATAATTTTTTTTACATACACAAAAGTGATATTTTTAGTGGTAAAAATTTTAATTTTTAAAGTATTTACCTATAAGAAAAAAAGTTTTTAAATTATTTCAAAACTATAAAAGTCTTAAATATCAAAAATCTTTAGATTCATAAATGTTTTTATAGTAATAAAATATAGTAAAATGATACGTAATAAATTTTTTCATAAATAAAAAACAGGCTATGAAAACTAAGGAGCATCTTCTTTATTTAGCAAAGGACGTAAAATTACAACTTGAGGTAAATTATATTATTTTCTTAGAGAATTTAAATATATATAATGAGGCGTTCCAACATCAAATGGACCAAAGCAATATTCTGACCTCAGAATATAATAAAACTTCAAAATGGCCGATACAATATGACGGACAGAGATTTGGTCCGTTAGGGAGCGTTCACAAATTACGTAACATTATAAAGGGATTGGGGGGGGTCTAGCTATTTGTTATTTACAGCAGAAAAAATGGCGCTAATGTATGTAACAGTGTGTTACATGGGGGGAGGGGGGGGTCAAAATTTTCAAAAATTAGCGTTACGTAATTTGTGAACGCTCCCTTAGACGTGGAACGCCCGATATATTATTTTTTATGTATAAAAAACTTTGCTTTATAGGTTAATGAATTTATTGAACAAATCGAGCTGTGCCCCATTGTGTTTAACGTATTTGGATGTAAACTAAATCACCAATTGATATTTGGTGTAAGTATAATTATTATTACAGTTACAAACTATTTTTTCCATTATTCATTAATTTTAAAGATATATAAAAGTTTATTAATATTTATATTTTAGAATAAAAAAAGAAAATTAAATCATAAATTTTTTATCATTTAGTTTATTCTGGCAGTCGTGGATAGATTGACACTAGTTATGCAACTTTACCCTGTAGATTGAAATAAAAAAGTCCGATTTAATTTTACTACGTCCTCGACTACGTCTGACTTAGGAAATTAGTTACATATAACATAACATAACCTATAAGTTATTTTATAATAATCAAGCACTGTGTAAATAATATTGTAATAATAATAATAAAATAAATAAATTTTTTCTCTACCGACAAAGGTATAAATGTGTATTATTATGTACAAAATGGTATTATTATTTAATGATGAATAATTATTGAAAGCGTGGATGATATATAAAAAAAAAATGATAAGTTAGTAGTATTTTAGTAGTTTACATATTTGTCTTCTTATATTTTTTCTAATTCTAATTTTTTAAATTCAGTTAAATATATTTTTTTCTCGTTCTTTATAGAAAAATATGAAATACTTATTTTTTATTTTTTTTTAATATGTGCAAATTTTGAAAATTTTGGATTTGTGATTGTAGACCTATTTTCAGTATAGGTCTACCCTTAATTTATTCAATTATTTTAATTTTCTAACTAAAGCGACTTTTTATGCGCCGTAAACTGATATCTTTCAGTGCGGGGATAATTAGAATTATTCAATTTTCAACTAATTCTTTTTTATTAACTTTCAATTTTCTTAAATATACAATTATTTAAAATTTTTATAGAAAATTTACATTTTTAGTTGTTGTTTTATTATTATTTAAAAAAAATTCTTTTATACATAATTTTTATTTCATTTACATTTGTTATTTTTTTCATTTTACTTTCTTTACATTAAAATTACAATTTATTAAATTCATTTAAATAAATTTTTATTGTAAAATTTGGATGTCAGTACCAATAAAAAATTAGTAAAATAAGACTTTCACTGCTTTAGTATAATATTTGATCAAATTTATACTGTAGTTAACATTTTGTCATTTAATTTGCATATATAATATATATATATGTTTATATAAATTAAAATAAATAAATATATATTTAATATTAATATATTTATTTACAATAAATAAATATACATTTTTAATATTTATGTATTTATTATTATAAATATATATTTATTTATTTAATTATGGCATAAAATATCTACTAAATATCGATATACAATATTGTATTCTTATAAAATAAACTTTGCTTTTTTGGAATGATAAAATTTGCTGTATAAACTTTAATTAAAATGAAATAATAGACCAGTCTTCGTAATTATTCAGCACCAACTTGTAGGACATCGAAACATACCGAGCAAACTCTCACTGGTTTATTTAGTCCAAATTTCAAGATCGGAACATCTTGTCCTGAGCATTTACTGCACAAAATTCGTCCGCAGTGGCGGCTGCAAATACATTTTTTTATTAAAATAAATTGTTTCAATTTTTTAAAAATTATTTCCTGGAATTCAATTATCTTCGAAAAATGTTCATCATATTTTTTCAAAAAGCAAATTTTTTCAGAATTTCTAAATTAAGAGTTTTAAATAACTGATTTTCTTTTCTGAAATTTGTATATATGTATGAAAAAATAATTAATTATTTTTAAAAATATGTTGACTATGAATTATTATATAATTTGAAAGATTAGAATATTATTTCTAATCCCTAAAATCTTTTCCTATTGAAATGAAATTGCATCAAAGATAGATTTATTTATAGAATAAATTAACAAACCAGTGATGTTTTCTCATCGTCAAGGAAAACTTGGTTCCACATTCCAGGCATAGATCTTTCTCCGCCCATGGAGCTTCTTGTGTCAGCGAATCGAGTAAACGATGAAGCAATTGCTTTGTAGCCACTTGATAATTAAATATCGTAATTCCATCTTTATTCATTGTTCCAAGGCACGCTCCAGATTTAACGAGAGTTCGACACAAATTTCCATTTCCTTTCATATAGGCAATTAATAACGTTGTATTTCCATCCAAATCTAGAAAGAAATTTGGCATATTCAAAAAAAAAGTAATTAATTTACTTTTATTATTTTTTGTGAAGTGAGAAAAAAATATACAAACCTGAATTATTGAGGGGATAATTAGGCATGCACTCGAGAAAAAGTTCGCAAATTGTCGCTGCATTATCTCTCCCACATCGTGCCAATTCATGAAGTGGATTTCTTCCCTTCAAATTCACGGCCTCAGCGTTTAATGTGCATTCAGTTAAAAGTGCTCTTACAACAGCCACATGACCCTCTCTCACAGCGACATGCAGAGCATTATCACCATCGGCATTCACCGCATCAAAATTCACATTATTCTAAGGAAAATGAAAAAAAAGAAGAAACAATTCAGAATTAATTTCTAAAAATTTAGTAAAAATTTTAGTAGAAATTTAATTTGAAAATAAAATACTAGCAAATGTTACGAGCGGAACGTGATATTCGGTTTATTATTATGAAAATTTTCTATTTCCAAATAGAAATTTTTGAATAATCTCATAATCAAAATTTAAAAAATTCACTTATTAAGTACACAATTAATTCTTATTGATCATATTATCAAAAATATTAATATAATTCTTCGCAAGTAAACAATTATTTCCATAAATAATAGTAACAATCTTCGGAAGAATTCCATTATTTTATTATAAATAGTAATTGCAACAAATTCAATTATTTTCAACAAAATTTCAATAAAATTTCAGGAAACAATATTCAATTAAGTATTTTCTAAAATTTTAATAGGTCTTTTAAAACATTTTAAATATTTTTTTAAATAGTAAAATCTGTGCAAAAAATTCCATATATTTTCAATAAAATTTAACGAAATAATAAAATTTTTGTCTTAATTCGTTGTAAAATTTTTAAAAACAATTCAATTATTTTCTAAAATTTTAATAAATCTTTCGAAAGAATTCAATTATTTTTATAAATAGTAAAATTAAATTAAAATTATTTTTAAAAAACTCGATTTACAAAGTATTTTTTGAATAATAATAAAACAATGCTTCAAAATTTCAATTATTTTCAAAATTGGCAATCAAAATTCTTAAAAAAATCGATTTAAAATTTATTTTGAGAATAAGAATATAAACTTCTTTGAAATTTCAATCGTTATCAATTATTTCATTTTAAAGTCTTCAAAAACTCGATTTGCAAAGTATTTTTAGAATATTAACACAAGAATTATTCAAAATTTCAATTATTTAAAAAATTTGATTAAAATTCTTCAAAAAATCAATTTAAAATTTTTTTTCAGTTTAAGAATATAAACTTCTTCGAATTTTCAATTAAAATTCTTAAAAAAATTGATTTTTAAATTTTTTCTGAATGTTTATAAAAATCAAAATTTAAATTATTTTCAAAATATTCAATTCCTATTATTAAAAAAATCTATTTTTAAAGTATTTATTGAATAATAATAAAACAATTATTTATAAAAAATTCTTTCGAAATTTAAATTATTTTCAAAATTTTCAATTAAAATTCTTTAAAAAAAAACTCCATTTTTAAAGTATTTTAAAACAATCCTTCGAAATTTCAATAATTTTCTAAATTGGAAATCAAAATTCTTCAAAAACTCGATTTAAAAATTTTTTTTGAGAAGAATATAAAATTCTTCGAATTTTCCATTATTTTTAATTAAAATTTTTCAAAAACTTGATTTTTAAATTTTTTGTATAACGTTTACAAAAAAAATTCTTCAAACTTTTAATTATTTTTAATTATTTTCAATTAAAATTCTTCAAAAACTCGATTTGCAAAGTATTTTTAGAATGTTAATAAAAGAATTCTTCGAAATTTCAATTATTACTTTTAAAATTTTCAATTAAAATTCTCCAAAAAATCAATTTCTACATTTTTTTTCAGAATAAGAATATAAACTTCTTCGAATTTTCAATTATTTAAAAAATTTTTCAGAATATTTATAAAAAATTCTTCGAAATTTAAATTATTTTTAAAATTTCCATTAAAAATTTTTCAAAAACTAGAAGTTCAAATTATTTTTAAAATATTAAAAAAAGATTCTTCAAAATTTTAATTATTTCAAATAATTTTAATAAGATTCTTTACAAAGACTCAATTATTTACAATATGATTTTTCAAATTTTCAATTTTTTAAACATTTTTTAATTAATTGATTTTTAATTTTAATTTTTTTAAAAAAACTGAACTAAAATTTGTAAAAAATCTGTTTTTCTCAAAATATTATATAAATTTGGATAAAATTCTTTGCAAGATTATTAAAATCACTATAAAATATAATGATGATTCTATCCACTCAGTCGTCAAATAATTAAAGACTACTATTCTTTAAATATTAAAAAACAACTTTACTTTCTGCAATTAAATTGCAAAAAATCTAGTTTATCATCTACTAAACATTAAATTGCGGAATTTAGAAAAAATTTGTGGAAAGAAGAAGTTGTCGAATTTTGAAAAATCAGACCTGTAAAAGGGCGGAAATTACGGGAGCGTTGCCGGCTTTTGCTGCCGCATGCAATGCTGTGTTTCTGTGAGCGTCCATATCATTAATCCTAGCGCCAGCGAGCAATAAACTTCGCACCAGCATTTCATTTCCGGATATCGAAGCAAGATGCAATGGTGGAGTTTGCGTCACGTCCTGCACTCTAGAATTCACGTCCACCTGCAATTAAAATACAATTTAAAAATTACAAAAAATAATAATATAATATTCACATTTTCTAGTTCTCTAATAAAACTATCAGAATACAATGATTATTATTAATATATTTACACTTTTGGTTTATAGGAACATTTATAAGAAAGTAAAAAATTTGTCCTCCCCACCTGAATAGCGAGAAGAAAGAGAATACTCTCCATATCGTCTTTCTGTATCGCCATGTGAAGAAAATTTCTCCCCTTATTATCAAATTGTTCGGCGGCTGTTGGCAATTTATCCAAAATTGATTCAGCCGCTTTATTATTGCGCATTGTTAAGGCCGTTGCGAATGGACTCATTCCCTTTTTGTCCCTTATTGTAAGATCAATATTTGGATGGCACAAGAGTAGAAAAATAATTTGCGAATGCTGATTATGTAATGCAATGTGCATTGGTGTTTTACCATCGCAATCGCGTGCATTTACATTTGCGCCATGCTCAACAAGTGTTTGGACAACTTTCTCCAATCCCCATTGACAGCATAAATGTAATGGCGAGCAATTGTCACGCGATTCCTCACCACCGCTTCCATTTGGACCGGGACGTCGCGGTGAATTTAGATCGCTGCCACTGGAAAAATTAGAATTCAAAATTTATTTTATTTTTTTTTTCAAGAGAAAAAAAAATATGTAGGTTTATAATTGTAAATTATTTTATTACTCGATTGGCTTATTGATTCAAAATAGCAAAAAAAGGAATAATAGAAAACAGAAAAATAAAAAAGGAAATATAAATTCTTTATAATAATAAAATTATAATTCAATAAATATAAAATAAATATAAAAAATATAAGATAAATATAAAATAAAAAAGTAAATAAATAAAGAAAGAAAAATTGACAGAAAAGAAAAAGAATAGAAAAAGTACGAAGAGATAGAAAATAAATATAAAAATAGCAGAAGAAAATATACAAAAATTTACACCTTCTGATGAGAAATTGTGCAATGTCTTCTTTATTATCGTCAATGGCTTTGTGAAGAAGAGTTTGTTGACAGCCGTCGGGTCCAGGACCCCAGCAATCTGTGTCGGCGCCATGAGCGACTAAAACTGAGGCCACGTCTTCCTGATCCGACTCCAAAGCGTCCCATAAGGGACATCCCGTCGTCGTATCAACACCACGAACACAAAGTGCCTCGACAACCTCGCCAAGTCGACAATGAACGCACAGTTGCAAAGCCGTTTCTCCTTCTTCCGTTCTAATAAAAACAAAAAGGATTTTTAATTAAAAAAACGATATTTTCATTATAATTATAATTAACAATCGAGATATTCTTTTCTCACGTGAAATTAGAGTTTTTTTATTCCAAATTTTTCCATAGTTCCAATTATTAAGCAAGTTTTTATTTAGAAAATAAAAACTACAAATAAATTCAAGAAAAAATTCAATTAAACTTTTTCAAAAAAATTAATTCTACAGAACTTGTTAGTTAAAAGTATGAAAAATTCAGATTTTCAAAGATTTTAATTTGAAACGTTTTCAAAATTAAATGAATAAATAAATAATTTATTGAATAATTGAATGTTTCTTAAAATTGAATTCTCATAAAGAATTTTATCAACAAAATTTTTAAATAATTGAATTCTTTTGGCGAATTTTAATAAAATTTTCAAGAATAATTTTATTTATCGAGGAACTCGATTAAAATTGTATTAAAAATAATTGAAATCCTCCCATGAGTTTTATTATTTATGAAAATAATTGAATTCCTATAAAGAATTGTACTTATTATTTATGAAAATAATTGAAATTTTGCTAAGAGTTTTATTAAAATTTTTAAAAATAATTGGATTTCTACAATCATTATTTGTAACTTTTTCAAAATTAAATTATTTTAGTGTTTTTAATTCAAATTCTTCTATAAATCCATTATTTTTAATAATTAAAAAAGTATTAAAAAATTCAGCTGATGATTTTAAAAGAATTACAGTCGAACCTCGATAACTGAGAATCCAAGGGACCGAAAAAATTTTCTCACTTATAGAGGTTTCTCAGTAAGACAGGTTTTCACTTACGAAGGTCGAATAGCGGATTGTCTTACTTACTGAGGTTATTGCACTGATAGAGGCATTGTAAGGGTTTTGTTAATTAAAGTTTTACTTTTACGAAATAAAAAATTCCTTTTAATTATTTATTTAACAAATTTAATAAAAATTGTTATTAATTGTTATTAAGCTTTAGGAAAAAAGTCTGTTATTACTGTTTGTTTTTTAGTTGTGCAATTCTTAACATGATGTTCAAGTTCATAAATTTTGTCAAAAACTGATTCATTAATATTCGTCGAAAATTCAAAAAATCTGTGAATTGTCTCTAATGCACTTAAAACTTCTTGTTGTTTTGGAATGGAAACTTCTGCGATGGTTGAATTCTCGACTTCTTCACAATCATCATCATCAAAATTGTTGTTACAATTTGCAATAATGTCATCGTCTGTCAGCTCTTCTGCAATAGGCATGTTGTCGTCAACTCGTACAAAATCCTCAAATGTTATAACATTTGTTTCGTCAGCCACAAGTGTGTTCCATTCTTCGTTGCTAGGAACAGTTTCAACGAGACTTTCTTCTGGTCCATATCCCTCTTCATTCCAAAAACCAGCTTTTTTAAAGCAATTTTTTATGGTCACATCGGTGATGGCAAACCACGCTTTTCGAGCAAATCTCATAGCATGAAGTACATTTATGTCCTGGTTACTATTCTCCTCGATACATTTTAAAGCATGTTTGACTACTTGTGTTCGGTAATGGCGTTTAAAAGCGTGGATAATACCCTGATCCAACGGTTGCAATTGGCTGGTAGTATTAGCGGGCAAAAGAACGAGTTTTACGTTGTTGAATTCTGGCAAATTCGTGTGGGCAGTGCAGTTGTCTACAAAGAGAAGAATTTTTGTTTTTTCATTTTTCATTTTTTTGTCAACTTTTTGTAGCCATTCCGTAAATATTTGCCTCGTCATCCAAGCTTTTCTGTTACTTTGATACTCAACGGGTAGAGTATTTACACCTGTATAAAGAAATTACAAATTGTTAAATAATCAATTCATTTACAGATAATAATACGGACCCTAATATTTAGACCACTTTACATATAAATAAATAATTTACCTTTAAAACATCGAGGTTTTTTTGATTTTCCAATTAAGAGAAGAGGCAATTTTTTTGTCCCTGTCATATTGGCACAATGGAGAACAGTAAGGCGATCTTTACTTTGTTTTCCTCCTTTGCAATCTTGTCCTTTAAACGTAAATGTTTTATCCGGAAGGCACTTGAAAAATAATCCGGTCTCGTCTGCGTTGTAGATGTTGTCTGGGTTATATTCTTTTAAAAGAGTTGGCAAATATTCAATCCAATGATCGCATACATTCTGATCGACAGATTTACTTTCCCCAACAATTTTTTTAAAAACTACAGAATGTCGTTTTTTAAAATTATCTAACCAACCATTACTTGCTCTAAATTCCTGAACTCCTAGTTTTTTGGCAAAATCTAGAGCCTTTCCTTTTAACAAGGGCCCATCCAAAGGGATATTTTTATCTAAAGTTTGTTTAATCCACTCCACAAGGCAATTTTCCAGATCATGAAATTCAACTAACCGTTTTCTTTTCATATTTCCACGACCTTCAAAACACTGCGATTTTATAGAGTCTTTTTCTTTTAATATTCTATAGAAAGTGGCAGTTGATAGACTAAATTCACTTTCTATTACACTTCGTTTTTTTCCACTTTCAATCTCTTTTATAATTTTTAGTTTTTCACTTAATGAAAAAGATTTAAGTTTACTCTTTGACATTTTGAATATTAAAAATAAACTATGTGATTCGCAAGCGCTTCTTGTCACAGTCGTTTTGAAACTAAATTTAAATTTGTCTGATAGGTATAATTGTATTTTGAAGAAAGACCCTTTGTTAATATGAAAATAAGCAGTAATTAAAATTAATTTTAATTACTGCCTATTTTCATATTGACCTTTAGAAAATTATAATATAGAAAAGATTCTCAGTTATAGAGGTTTGAAAAGCGCGCTTCTCTCAGTTACAGAGGTTTTATCAAGAAAAATGATTCTCAGTTACAAATTCGCACTTATGGAGGTTTTTGCATGTAAAAATGACGGGACCTGAAAATTCCTCTCACTTAGAGAGGTTTCTCAGTTAGACAAGTCTCAGTTAGCGAGGTTCGACTGTATAATTAAAAATTTGCAAAAAAATTAGTTTTACAGAATTTTTAATTAATATTTTTCAAAGAAAAGTTAGTTTTACAGAATTTTTAATTAAAATTTTTCAAAAAAATTAGTTCTACATAATTTATAATTTAAAAGTATGAAAAATTCAGATTTTTAATGATTTTAATTTAAAACCTTTTTAAAATTTAATTATTTCTAAAAAAATATGTTTTATTGTTTTTAATATTCAATTATTATCTAAAATTTTAATTAGAAAATTTAATTAAATTAGAAAAAATTATTATTAGAAAATTCTACGAAAATTCAATTGTCTAAATACAAAAATAAATAATTTATTGCATAATTGAATGTTTCTTAGAATTGAATTCTCATAAAGAATATAAACAACAAATTTTTAAATAATTGAATTCTTTTGGCGAATTTTGATAAAAATTTTTATAATAATTACAATTTTCTAGGAATTCGAATAAAATTGTATTAAAAATAATTGAATTTCTGCAAAAATTTTTATTAATTACGAAAATAATGCAATTCCTAAAAAGAATTTTATTAAAATTTTCAAAAATAATTAAATTCTTGTGAAAAATTCCCAGAAATTCAATTATTTTAAAAAATTTTAATATAATTCTTAGTATAAATTGAAAATAACAAAATTCTTTGCAAATCTTCAATTACTTTCAAAAATTTTTTTAAAATGTTAATATTTTCGTTAAATAATAAAAATCTTTGCAGAAATTCAATTATTTTCAAAAAATCTTAACAAAATTCTTTGCAAGAATTCAATTATTTTTAACACAATTTTAAAAAAATGTCTCGATAAAATTCAATTATTTCTAAAATTATAATGAAATTCTTCGAAAGAATTCTTCAAGAATTCAATTATTATTTTTAAGAATATTAAAACAATTCTTTATAAGAACGAAATTATTTTTAATGCAATTTTAATTGAATCCCATGTGAAAGAATTTAAAATTTCTGCAAGTTATTGAAATTTTGCCATAAATTTTATTTATTTTTTTTAAATAATTGAATTTTGCAATAAATTTTATTAAAATTTCTGAAAATAATTGAATTTTGTCGAAGAATTCTGCTAATTATTTGTAAACATAATTGAAATGTGGACAATTTTTGTTTAGATTTTTGGAAAATAATTGAAATTTTTTAGAAAATTTTATTAAAATAATTGAAAATCATTGAAATCAGAAAAATATTGGAAAATAATTGAAATTTTGACGAGAATTTAAAAAAATGTTTTAACATAATTGAATTTCTAAGAAAAAATTTTATTACTTTTGAAAGTAATTGAATTTCTGCAATTATTTGCAACGTCTTAAAAATTCTCCAAATTATATCGCACAATTTTTCAACTTTTCGTACTTTTTCAAACCAATTACGGGACTTTACGGACGTTTTAGAAAAAAAAATTGACTTTTATGGACTTGAAGCAAATTTACGGATCTTTAGGGAATTTACGGACAAAATATTTGAAAAAAATTTTCAAAAGAGAAAGAAAAATAATAAGAATCTCCCCGACCTTGCATTAATATCGGCTCCATTTTCCAGCAAAAAAATAGCAGTCGCCGAGTCCTCCTTCAAAATAGCCTGATGCAATAGCGTCAATCCCTTTTCATTTTTCTGATTAATATCAGCGCCCGCTTTAATGAGCGCAACAATAATATCCCTCGCCTTCTTCAGTGAAACCTTAATAGCAAGACTCAACGGTGTTTCGCCCTGTTTATCCTTTAAATTCAATTGCAATTGCGCGTCCTTTGCCTCCAATAATGCTTGCACCACGCCAATATATAAATTCGTCACAGCCAAATGAATTGGCGCTTCGCCGGTTAATTTTGTAAATGTTGTCGTCGACAATTCCTTGGCCAATAAAACACGTGTCAATTGTTCCAAACCATTTTTACACGCCTCATGAAGTATCGAATTACCATCATTATTTGTGACAAGTAAATTTTTATCACCACTATTATTCTCAATGAGAAATAGTGCTGCATTCTCTTGTTTTTCATGCGCTAAAATATGCAATAACGTGTCGCCACTCTCGTCGTAAATTGGATTTGAATTTGCACCTTTAGCGAGAATTTTCTCTGCTATTAATTTACTGAATGGTTTTGAGAGGAGGGCAAAACTTAATGCTGTGTGGCCGTCATTTGTTGTTTTATTTAAATTCAATTCTTTTGTGTCAAGAAGAAGATCAAGGAGCGCGTCATTTTCCTCCGTGACGCAACTGTGCAAAGCGGTCCTGGAAAAATATGCAAAAATTTATATAATTTACAAGAAAAATAAATCTATAATCGAAAGACAAATTTAGTGAATAATTAGTATTTTGATTCATAATTTCAAAAAAATTACAAATTAATAAATTTAATTACAATTTACAATAATTATATATTTAATTTTTCAAAAAACTATATTTTTTATTATTCTTTTCACTATTAAGATATTTATTATATTTTTGCTTCCTCATAAAGGAAGCCTTATAGTGATGTCGATTTCCGAATTCAATTTTTTAATTTTTGAAAAAATGAATTTTTGGATTTTTTGAAATAACTTTTTTCTATATTAAAATTTTTATTAATTCTTGTCAAAATTGCATTCCTGACATAAAAACGAATCGATTCATGTATATAAAGTATATATTTTATCAAAATTTATAGAATTAATAAATGTTTTAAATTTTCACAAAAAATTGAAATTTTGTATTTTTTGACATTTTAGCTTAACACTTTAAAATAATTATTCTAAAATAAAAAATTAAACAATTGGTATATATTATATTGAGGAAGCTTAATGATCATGAAATGAACAACTTGTTTTTACTATAAAAAAAAAAAAAAAAATTAAAACTAAAATAAATAAAAAAAAAATATTCCTTATTTTTTGGATAAATTAACTTCTTAAATGTTTCGAATTTTTAAATTAATAAAATTCTAATTTCATGTTTTAAAAATTTAATAATAACAAAAATAATTTTTTAGAATTTCATTAAAATTACGAACAATTAATAATTTTCGAGAAATTAAATTAAAATTTAATTGAAAATAATTGAATTCTTATAAACAATAATTAAAAACAATTGAATTCTTATAAAGAATAATTAAAAATAATTTAATTCTTTCAAGGTATTTTATAAAAATTGTATTAAAAATAATTTAATCCTCTTCAAAAATTTCAAAAACAACTTTTTTATTTCTTCGAAAAATATTATTCAAATTCTATTGAAAATAATTAAATTCCTTCAAGAAATTCTGTTGAAAATAATTGAATTCTTGCAAGAAATTTTATTAAATCTTTATAAAAATAAATGAATTCTTTCAAAGAATTTTATTAAAATCTTTGAAAATAATTAAATTTTTCGGAGAAATACAATTGAAATTTTATATTGGAAATAATTGAATTCTTCTGAAATAATTTTATCAAAATTTCTCAAAGTAATTGAATTCTTTCAAAGAATTTTATTGAAAAATTTTTTTTAAAATAATTGATTTCTATCAAGAACATTATTAAAATTCTTAAAAATATTTAAATTCTTACGTAAAATTTTATAAATTATGAAAATAATTGAAATTTTGCTTAGAATTTCATTAAAATTGTATTAAAAATAAGTAAATATTTATAAAGAATCAAATTAAAAGATTTTTAAAATAATTGGATTTTTATACGAAAAAAAAGAAAAAGGAAGAGAATTAAATTTTTTCCAAATATTTAACTTTTTTCTTATAAAAAATTTTATTGAAATTTTTCAAAATAATAAAATTTTAGTAAATAATTTTATTAAAATCCTTTAAAATAATTAAATTCCTGCAAAAAATTTCATTATTTTGAAAAAAATCAATTCTCATAAATAATTTTATCAAAATTTGCCAAATTTAATGACTTTCTGCAAAGAATTTCATGAACATTTTTTGAAATTATTAATTTCCTCCAAGCAATTTTATAAATTTATGAAAATAATTGAAATTTTACTAAGAATTCATTGAAAACTTTCGAAAATAATTGAATATTTTCAAGGAATTTAATTAAAATTATATTGAAAATATTTCAATTCTCATAAAGAATTTAATGAAAATGTTTTAAAAAATTTAAATTTTAGCGAAGAATTTTATCAGATTTTTAAAAATAGGTAATTGAATTCTTTTGAGAAATTTGATTAATTATGAAAATAATTGAAATCTTGCAAAGAATGTTATTGAAATTTTCGAAAATTTTGCGAAGAATTTTTTCCAATTTTGAAAAAAATAATTGAATTCTTTAGAGAAATTTTATTAAAATTGTTTTGAAAAGAATTTAATTCTCATAAGAATTTAATCAAAATTTTTCATAATAATTGATTTTATGTTGAGAGTTATATCAAATTTTTTTTAAAAATTAATTGAATTCTTTTGAGAAATTTGATTGATTATGAAAATAATTGAAATCTTGTTTAGAATTTTATTAAAATTTTCGAAAATAATTGAATTTTTTCGAGGAATTTAATCAAAAATTTAAAAATTATTTTAATTTTTGCGAAGAATTTTGTTAAATTTTAAAAAATAATTCAATTCTTTTAAGAAATTTTATTTAAATTGTATTGAAAATAATTGAATTCCTGAAAAGAATAGTGTTTAATATAAAAAAAATGTAATATGAAAAAAAACCAATAAATAAAAATCAAAATTCTTGAATTAAGGAATAAAAAAAAAATTCTCTCACCATCCGCGTTTATCCTGAATATTTGGATTGATACCAGTTTGAAGTAATCGACTGGCAACTGCAATCATATCCGAGGAATTATGTTTTGTAATTAAATGAAGTGCAGTGCAACCTTGAATATCGTGATATTTATCCAACTTTTCACTTTCATCATTAATTTTCACTGTTTCACTTAATTTTTGTAAATTTCCATTATTCTCAAGTTGATCGACAATAAATTCAGCTGAATATGAATCGCCCTTTAATATCGCCGATTGCAATAATGTCAAGCCATTTGTATCTTTTGAACTTAAATTTGCCTGATGTTCAACTAATGTTCGTGCCAATGATGGTTGACGTGATTTTAATGCAACTTCCAATGCAGTTTCACCTTTTTGATCCACGACATTCACTGCTTTTGGAAGCTGAAAAAGAGAAAAGAGATTAAATTTCTTTTATTCATTAATAAATTAATTTTCGCCAAATTAACTATTTCACTTAATTATTAATTTGCTAATTAATTATTTTACTTAATATTTATTCGCTACTTCAATTTTATTATTTTCTAGAAATTTTAACTAAAATTCTTCTCTAATTTAATTATTTTTAATATTTTTTGAGAAAGTACTTTTGTTCTAATTAGTGAAAATATTTACTAATTCAAATTTAGTTAATAATATTGTGAAATAAATAATTTGAACGTGGCAACAATAAATTATTTTGGAAATTAAAACGATTCATATTTATATGAAACAAATATATACTTTTCTTTTTTTTTTTTTGATTAGATTAGTGTCTTTCTATATTTAAAACTGACTCACGTGTGTAATTTTTAAAAGAATTATATAAAAAGCAGTGAATTTTTATTTTCATTCGAATTTTTTTTGCGTTTAGATCTGAGTCATATTTTATGAATTTTTATTTTTTTTTCTCTCTCTATAATAATAATAAGAAATAAAACAATGATGTTATTTATCCGCTCACATAAACGAGTAAAATTACTTGTAAATTAAAATAGAACATTTTATATACGCTTCTTGATCAAATACAACATTTCTATACATAATTTTATTCTACGAATAAACTCTCGGAAATAATTCACTGTAAAATAATATATCTCTTCCTTATTGAATTTTCCGTTCCGCCGCACACAGAGTATTTTTCAGTTTTATTTACGCAAAAGATTTTTTTTCTCATTTTTATTTCATAAAACGAAAAAAAAAAAAAGAAAATAATTTTACTCACAAAAATAGTAAATTGTCCAGGCTTTAGATATTAATGACTTTTACGTCTTTTTCGACTATTTTCCAAAAAAATTGTTAAAAAATAATTAAATATTTGTTCAGAATTTTATTAAAATTTTTTTAAATAATTGAATTCATAAAAAGAATTTTTTTTATTTATGAAAATAAATTGAATTTCTGTAAAAAATTTTATTATTTATGGAAGTAATTAAATTTCTGTAAAAAAATTTTATTATTTAAGAAAATAATTCTCGCGATGAATTCTATTTATGAAAATAATTGAATTCTTGTGAAGAATTTTATCAAATTTTTTAAAAAGAATTCAAAGTTTGAAAATTTTTTTTACCTTTTTATGAAAATAATAGTTAATAATAATTGATTTATTTATTTATAATTTTCATTAATTAGTTAGTAAGTGAATCTTTTTAATTTTGAGTCCAAATGTATTCAAAAATTAAAGTTCTTATTCAAAAATAAATAAATAAAGTAATTAATTAATTAATATAAATAAAAGTAAAAAAAAAAATTCTCCCAGGTGCCAAAGTAATTCAGGACAAAATTTTCAACTGTAAATTAACACCCGGTAGATATAGGGCACAAAATGAGGCAAGGTCGAATCTATATCGAAAAGGGATTCCCTCTAAATTTATAAATATAAAAATTCAGGTCAATTTTTTTTAACGGAAAAAGTAATTAATATTTCGCCACTAATTGAATTAATTTCTCTTCTGACTATAAAATTTCATAAAAATGTCACTTATTAAAATATTCATTATTGCACTGAATAAAAAAATTATTGAAAAAATAAAAATTTATTAAAATAAAAGAAAAAAAAAATTTTTTTTCAAGAATTTGAAATATTTTTATATTAAAAAGAAATATATCTGTTTTGTGTCTGATTTTCCTGCATTCGAGAGAGAAACCAAACACGGTTGAAAAAAAAAGGATGGAAGTTGTTTCGGGTCTCGCGCTCTCTGAGAAGTAAAAGGGGGGAAATGACGTGGCAGAAACTATTGAAACATTGACTCTCTTCGCTATATGTAATACAACCATCGTGTGGTTATCAATTCACCGGGCACGAGAGAAGCACGAGAAAAAAGAATTAATTTCCATTTTTAAATTTATTTATCAAACTTCAAAATTTGCTAATTTTTTCCACTCTTTGGAAATTTAGAGAAAAACCAGGGCAAAAATTGGAAATAAAATTTTAAAATAAATCAAAGTAAATATAATTTCGGAAATTAAAAAATTTTTCCCTGCTTCAAATTTTTAACTCTCACTTTTATACTTGAGAGAGGAACGAACACAACGCACACGTTGGTGATAATAACAATAATAACAAAAATAATGTGAATTAGGTCAAGTGCGTGTGATACTCGATCAATTTTCATAGTGAAAAAAAATAGAAGAATGAAAATGATTTTTATTATTCATAAAAAAAATATTTTCTTATTTAAGAAAAAATAATTTTTTACGTATAAAGAAAATTTTAAAAATCTCAAATTTTATACGTAAAAAAATTTTTTTTTTTTAAATAAATAATATTCTTTTGTTATAAACATTATGGATACAGTGTTGCCAAGAAATTGAAGGAATATTTTTGATGAATATCCAAAACTTACGGTAAAGTGTTTTGCTCCGAAAACCAAATTTGAAGTAAATTTTTTAATTCTCGTTTTATTTTTTTACTATTATTTTTTTTCCTATGCATTAAATTTCTGTGTTTTTTTATTTAAAGCAAAAATTAATTTCAATTAAAAAATTTAGTTTGGAAAATTAAATAAATGTTTATTTTGAATTAATTGAATTGTGGAAAATAATGGAATATTATAGGGAACAAAATACAAATTTTGAAAACAATAATTCAATATTGAAAAATAAATTAATTATTTAATTTAGTAACTTAATATTTAAAATAATTTAAAACAATTAAATTTATTGAAAATACAATTAAATTTTTCGAAAACAATTGAATTTTCCGCAAACATTTGAAATTTTCTCTAACAATTGAATTTTTCTCTAACACTTGAATTTTTTGCTAACAATTGAACTTTCAACAAAAATAATTGAACAATTCAAAAGGAATTAAATTTTTTAAAAGCAAATTTCCCTTAAAAATTAAATCTTTCAAGACATTAAAATTTTTTGAAAACAATAAATTATTTCATAAAATAATTGAACTTAAAAAAAAAAATATTTTGAAAAGAATAAATATTTTAAAAACCATTGAATTTCGACGAATAATTAAATATTTCGAAATAATTGAATTTTTTCAAAGAAATTTAATTTTCAGGAATAATTGAATTTTTCAAAGAAATTCTATTTTTTCTACATTGAATAAATAATTTGAAATTAATAATTTTAAAAAAGTTATTGAATATTAGATAAAAAAAAAATTGAATTTTCTGAAAAAATCAATTTTTTCGAAATCTACTGAATTTTGATAAATAATTGAATATTTGGAAATAATTCAATTATTTTAAAGAAATTCAATTTTGAAGAATAATTGAATATTTCGAAGCAATTAAATTTTTTCAAAAGCAATTTAATTTTGAAAAAGTTATTAAATAATTGAAAAAAATTAAATTTTCTGAAGAAATCAATTTTTTCGAAATCTATTGAATTTTGATAAATAATTGAATATCTCAAAATAATTGAATTTTTCCAAACGAATTCAATTTTTTCGAAATCAATTAAATTTTAAAAATTAATTGAATATTTAAAAAACTATTTCTAAAAATAATCAATTTTTTCGAAAGTAATAAAATTTTTTTGTAAATAATTGAACATTTCCAAAAGAATTACATTTTCCGAAAGCAATTAAATTTTACAAAAATAATTGAGTGAAAACTAAATATATTTTTAAAAAAAGTACAAATGGAAATCAAGTGGAAGTGAAAAAATGAAACGGAAGATAAAAAAATTACTGAAGAGAAAAATAACTGTAAAAATAGTGGAAAGAAACCGCAGATAAAGAAAAATAAAGTTACAAAAATAAAAAATACAAAGAATATAAAGTGAGACAAACAAAAAAATAGAGAGAAAAATAAAGTAGCGAAAAATAGAAAACAAAAAAAAAACACCAAAAAATAGAGTGAAAAAAAAGAAAACGGAAAAATTTTTTATTTTTAAATTTAAGTAAAATTATAGAACATTATAATTATAATAATACCCTTATAATAATTTTCATTATAAGCTAACAAATTATAATTTCAGGTAACTTGGAATTCATCGAGTGTTTCAAAGGAGAACAAATTGAAATAAATGTAAAATTGAGAAGAGAAATATAGAAATAATAATAATACAATATGTTGCTAAATGGAGAATGGATTAAAATTATTTAACATAATTCTGAAATAGAAGGAAAAAAGTGAGAGGAGAAGTGAGGGAAACGGAGAAAAAAAAGAGACAATGAAGTGAGGGAATTAGTAACGAAGACATGTGTAAATTCTAGTCATATTGGTGGAATGCAGTTACGGTGAACGCCTGTCACTTGATTATGTCTTTATGACTCAGTGCTTATCGAACCTGCGCTCACTAAAAATTCAACAACAATATATATTCGCCATTAATTATTTAAGCATGTGCTCAGTTAGTGACAATTGTGAAAATGAGACACAAATTTAATATCTTCATAGCGCTCTTCCTACTTCTTTCAAGTGCGTTATTCCAAAATTTTTCTATTTCGACATTTTATTTTCAAATTTTAATTTCCAATTTTCAAGTTTTAAGTTTCAATTTCCAACTTTCAATTCTCAATTTTTAATTTTGAACTTTCAATTTTTAATCTAATTTTCAATTTTTAATTTCTAATTTTCAAGTTTTAAGATTCAATTTCCAACTTTCAATTCTCAATTTTTAATTTTTAACTTTCAATTTTTAATCTAATTTTTAATTTTTAATTTCTAATTATCAATTTTTAATTTCTATTTTTCAATCTTTAAGTTTCAATTTCTAACTTTCAATTTTCAATTTTTAATTTTCAATTTTTAATTTTAAATTTTAAATTTTTAAATTTTAATTTCTAGTTTTCAATCTTTAGTTTTTAAATTCTAATTTTTAATTCCTAACTTCCAATTTTCAAGTTTTAATTTCTAATTTTCAATTTTCGTTTTCTAATGATCAATTTTCAAATTTTAATTTATAATTATCAATTTTCAATTTTTAATTTTAATTTATAATTTTCAAGTTTAAACTTCTAATTTTCAATTTTCAATTTCAAAATCTATCTTTCAATTCTTAATTTTTAATTTCTAGTTTTTAATCTTTCAGTTTCAATTTCTAACTTTAAATTTTTAATTTTCAATTTATTAAATTTATAAATATTTTTCTTTTTTTTCAAATTTTTCTTTCTCTTTTCATTTTCAGTAGCTAATTTTGCCAAAGCATATATTGAGTGTTACAAATGTCCCTTGGAGCCAGATGATAGGCGAAAGGAATATATTGATTGTCCGGCTTTCGATGGAAGTCTCAAATTTAAAGTTCAATGTTACACATCGACATTTTGTGAGAAAAAAATTACTCACTTAACAATTGCCAATGGAAGTAAGTTGAGAGAAATATTAAATTCATTTAAACGTAAACAAAAGAGAAAATAATTTTTATTCCTTTTGGTTTAAAAAAAAGTAAGAAAATATAATTTTATAAAAATTAATTTTTATAAAAACGAAATTCTTTATAATTAAATTATTATTTATATTTATTTTTATATAATAAAATTAATATAATTAATAAAATTAATTCATTTTCCGAATATTATATGAACTCGATAAATTTTTTCTCCTTTTTACAGCGACAATAACGAGAGTCGTTCATCGTGGTTGCGCACCGCAAAATGACCCCGAACATTATTTAAAAAATAAACAATGGGAACTCAGGGATAATATTCAACGATATCTTTATGAGCCAGGCTGCGTTCAAGATATCGATAAAAATTCACCAACTGGTCCAGCAACATATTGTTATTGCAATACACATTATTGCAATGGAATTTCATCTCTTCATTTTACATCCAAGTTAATTATTTTTATTCCCCTGGCATTAGTTACTTCATATTTATTATAGATTTAAAAAGAGAAGGAAAAAAAAAATTCTATCACAACTAAAAACAATGAACATATAGAATATTTTTCTAAACTTTAAATTTTCATTTCAACCTCCTTTTCTTAGAATTTAAGTGTAAATTATTTTTCTACTCAAGGGTCGAGCGAGAGAGAGAGAGAGAGAGATAGAAAAAAATTAATGTCTCTAACCGAATTAAATTAATTTTAAATTTTCTAAAATTAAGTAAAGAAAGAAAAAAGAATAAATGAAAGAAAAAAAAGTTGTAAAATATATAACGATAAATAATAATTGTTTCAACCGATTTGTTTATACAGGAAGATCGTAAGAAATTCAGGGCTGTTTTTATTTCTTTGAACAAAGCCAAAAAATTGTGATAAACTTCTATTAGAAGATTAATTAACGAATTTGTTAAGTAGTCTGAGATAGTGAAATTACACGATTAGTAAATTAATACCGTCATTTTGTTTTAAATATTTACAATAGAACAAAAGAAAAAAATGAATTATATTCAAAAAACTATTTATATACACCGAATTGAAATAAATAAAAATATATAAAATATGTGTAAATTTTATTTCTAAGAAAAAAGTAAATAAAATTGAAATACGATATAAACTTTAATTTTTAAAATTTAACTTCAAATGTTTAAACTTTACTTTATAAATTTTTAATTTTATGTTTCTGTATTTCGATACTTATATTGTTTCTGTTTTTCTTTTGTATTTTTCTTACTTCTGTAATTTTATATTTTGTTTCTATATTTTTACATTTATATTGTTTCTAGTGTTTATAGTGTTTTTATATTTTCATGTTTAAATTATTATTTTCCCAGATATTGTTGTTTATATTGTTTTCTTTCATATTTATATTTTCATTTTTGTTTTATTTATCTAATGAAAAAAAATATGTAAAAAAAAATAAACAAAATAAATAAACAAAAATATGTAAACTATTTTCTTCTGTATAAAAATCTAACTATTAAGTATTATTTTTATAAAAAAAAATATAAAGCTTATTCTTTTCTATAAAAAGTAAAAGAGCTATATTTTTCTATAATATAAAAATAATAAATTATTATATACTTTTTTATAAAGAATAATAGTTAAAATTTTACATTTATTATTATTTTTCCTTCTTTATAAAAGAAAGAAAAATAAATAAAAACATTTTTTTTAAACTAAAAGAAAAACTAGAAAAAAAAGAGAGAGAGAGAGAGAATAAAAAAATAAAAATTGAACATACCTCGGAATTATTTTCAATGAGATAAAGAAAAACAACGTCTTCCCTCTGAAGACGAACCGCCGAATGCAATGGATATTTACTTTTTGTTTGTAATAATTGATATAAAAGAGCTCCTGGCATTTCCTTAAAGTCCTCACCCGTTAAGTCCTCCTGAAAAATTAAGATTTTGAGAATAATTTAATTAAATATTTATTTATCTATAATTAAAATAAAAAATACAAGAAATACAAAAAAATAATAAAAACTTGAGTATTCTGAGAGTTTATTATTTTATAATAATATTCCTTGAAAGTCATTAATAATCGTAAAATATAAATAATTGAATACCTGCGAAGAATTTTATTATTTATACGAAAATAACTTAATTCTACAGCAGAATTTTATTAAAATTTTTAAAAAATAATAAATAATTTTAATTATTAAATATAATAATTTTAAAATTTTAAATATTGATTCTTCTTTTTACCCAATGAGCGGAAATTAATGAACTGCAGTGATCGCGTAATTTTTGTGTTCCCAATTCTTCGGCAACTGTATACAGTGAAACGCAATCTTTCAATTCAACTTTTCCAATTAAATAAATTTCACATTTCTCCACTAGTTCATTTAAATGAAAATTCGACGCCGCTTTCATTAATTCGAGCGTTAAATTTTCCTGTTCAACTAAATCGGTGTAAATCCATTTTAATAATACAGTTCCCACGTGTGAATCCAAATCTATCCAATCTGAAAGTATTGTAAATTAATTTAATAGGAAAAATAAAATTTTGTTTATTAACATTGATAATGGTAATAATTACTCATTATTTTATTTATTTATTTAAGTGAAATTTTTAAAAATATTACAGTAAAAAGAAAACAAAAAGTAAAATATTTCAGGGTTGATGCAGTAAAAGAAAAGTGACGGTAAATATAATTAAGATTATTAATTTTTTCATTGCTTGATTAAATTAATAAAAAAATGTGATTTTACCAAGAGTTGATTTTTCTTGAACTGAAGACCAATAATCACTTCGAGCACAGAGAACGAATTTATGAGCTGGTACGTCTCGATCTTTCAATTTTACAATTAAATCACTGAAAGGAAAATGATTATTTATTAGTTAAAAGTATGGAAAATTCAAATTTTCAAATATTTTGATAAAATTTTTTTTTTTGGTAAAAATTCAATTATTTTTAATAGGTACAATTTTTAAAAAAATATCTCGATAAAATTTAATTATTTTACAAAATCTTAATAAAATTCTTCGAAAGAATTAAATTATTATTCTTACGAATTTAGATACAATTCTTTATAAGAAATAAATTATTTTCAATGCAATTTTAATTGAATTTCATGAAAGAATTTAAAATTTCTGAAAGTAATTGAAATTTTGCCATGAATTTTATTAAAATTTTTGAAAATAATTGAATTCTTGTGATAGATACTATTATTATTTACGAAAAGAATTGAATTTTGCAATGGATTTTAATAAAATTTCTCAAAATAATTGAATTTTTGTGGAAGAATTTTGCTATTTATTTATAAAGATAATTGAAATGTTGACCACAATTTTTCTTAGATTTTTTTCTAATAATTTAATTCTTTTGAGTAATTTTTAAAAAAAATAGTAGATATTATAAATCATTGAAATGAGGAAAATTTTTCAAAATAATTGAATTTTGGAGAAGAATTTTATTATTTATAAAGATAATTGGGATTTTGACGAGAATTTTACAAAATTTTTAAATTGAATTACTGCGAAGAATTTTATTACTTTTGAAAATAATTAAACATTTGCATTGAGTTTTATTAAAATTTTTTTTTAATAATTGAATTCTTTCATGAAACTTTAATTAAATTGAATTAAAAATTTGGAAATTAATTAAATTGTTTCAAAAAAGTTTATTAAAATATATCCAAAAATATTTAAATTTTGTGGAAAAATTTAATTAAAATTGCGTTGAAAAGAACGCTTGTAAATAATTTTATCACTAATTAATATTGTATTTTAAATAATTGAATTCATGAGAGGAATTTTATTAAAATTTTTAAAAATAATTGAATTCTTACGAGAAATATTATTAAAATTGTATTGGAAATAATTGAATTTCTACAATTATTTGCAACTTCTCCAAAATTCAATTTTTTAAAATGTATATAACTAAAATTCTTCTATAAATCCATTATTTTTAATGACTATTTAAATGTCAATTAAAAGATTGAATTACAAAAAAAAAGATGCAAATAAAAAATATTTTTACCTGTAATTCTGTTGTGAATAAAGAGAAGCAACAGCAGCAAGAAGTCTTCCAATAAATCCCGATTCTCCTTTTTCACTCTGAACAGCGACAAGTGCGGCATATTTTTGTTGAAGTTCCGCATTTGCCGTGTAAAGTGTCAAATATTGTTCACGTAAAAGTGACAAATGTTGTTGCCACTTTTGCGATTCAACCGAATCATCTTAAATATTATGTCAAAATATTATATTTCCATTGAAAAGTGTAAAAAATGAAACAAAAAAGAATAACTTACCCATAATTTTACAATACTTTCTATTAGGTACTCAACACACAAAAATTATTCCAATTGTTTTCTTCTTGCCTTTTTCATTGCAATAAATGAAATTGACACATATTTTGCACTTCAATCTATTTTTGTATGCTTTTCAAGTTTAACAACAAATATAAACATAAGTACACTCACTTCGCCCGGTTTTCTTTATAATTATTAAACACGCCCCTATTTTTTTAAAGTAAAAGTCTCTTTATACATGCACTGTAAAAAAGCCCAATGTAAATTTACAACGTGTAACGTTGGAAACTTTTCGCTTCACGTATGACGTAGTACTATTACAGCCGAATGTTAACTTACTTACCGTTCGTAACATAACCTCTCTTATGTGATTTCGCATCAAATTGTAAATCGACCACTCGTCGGTAATTTTACATAATAATTTCGCTGCATTTTAAAATTATTCTTTTTTTATATTTATTTTGTATTACATAAAGGTTAAATTATAAAAAGGAAATAAAGGAAAAATGTAAGAAATAAATAAATATATTAAATATTTATAATATACAAATCACATTTGTAGCTTTTTTGTCATTTGTACAAAGTTAACGAATTCCCCAACAGAACAGGAAAAACAAATACTTTTTCCACTTTAATTTTAAAAAATACGAGCTGCTTAAGCAATAGAGTCCATGAAGATATTCTGAAAAAATTTTTTATGTTTGAAAATTATTTTCATACAGAAAATTCACACAGTTGAATAAAATTTTTTAAGTATAAAAAATCATTAAAAACGTGTCTCTTTTTAGGTTAAAAGACATTACCTTATTAACTTTGATATATATGAAAAATTAAAAAGAAATCTTTCAAATTTAAGAAATGAAAAATGTTAAGAATTTGAACTTACCTTTACAAATTTCCTTTAATCTTTAAATTCTTAAAATTGTCGAAATTTTAATAAATTAAAATTAAAATATTAACGTTTGCCTATGCGCATAGTTTCTTATATGCCACTTCATCGTCACGCAGTGTAGAAAAACATTCGGGCAAAAAATATCATATTCGAATGTATACTTACAGACAGCTACATAATTCTACATACTGTCGGTAAAACTATCAGCTGTAAGTTACTTAACACACGAAAATATTTTTACGGTTGGGTTGCTAACATACAACGTTATACGTGAAGCGAAAAGTTTCCAATGTATCACGAAATGATTAAACATTCGGGATGTACATTTACTAACGCGTGACACATTTACAACGATAAGCGTAATAATTTTACTTTTTAATTGTGAAAATACTATATGGGTGTTAAATTATTACGTGTACCGTAGTAAAATTACAAACTGGAAAATTTAAAATTAACGACCCGATTGTAATTCAACATTGGTCTTTTTTACAGTGCATATCAATATATCATTCGCCTTTCCGATTTAATTCACTGAGATTTTTTTTTCTGATAAGAAACTTCTCCAAAACAGTAGAATTTTGAGGTTATGTTTATCGAACTGACAGCGATCGAGCGATTTACCGCAATTTAGGCGGTAAATTCAAATTCCCGTGAATCCTTTTTTTCCATTTCTTTCATTTACAGAAGAAAATTAGTGGAGAGATTGGAAAAACAAATAAGAAATATTTATAAAAGTTTGTGGTGTTTGATAAAATTGGACTTTCCTGTAAATATTTAAGGGAAAGAGAAAAATAGGAGAAAAAAAATTCAAAATTGCACTGGTGTGAAGGGAGACTCGATTGTAAGTTCACCCTTATGTTTCTTAAATATTATGATGATCTCGAGTATTGATTGGTGGACGATATTCTTGTCTCGACGAATGAACAAAATGAAAATTGGACATAAATCTAACGTTTAAATTTACACCCCTTAATTTGTCAATAATTCGATTAATTCACAATTTCACTGTTAATTAAAACCAAAATAAGAATTAGGATCCTTTTTTTAATGATAATCCTGATTAAAATTTGCTATTATCATCGAAATTTTATTGCAAATGGCAAATTTCACATTGTTTGCCAACTTCACGGTGTTCACGCCATTTGCAATTCAATTATTACTCTTCTCCCTTTGTTCATCATTCACCATGAGCCCTGCATCAGAGTTTATTACCCATTAAAATCGCCGGTTAAAAGTGATATAAAACATTAAAAATTCTACATGTAGTTTTTAGTGTTGAATTTGATAAAAAAGTGCCTAGAAAATGATTTTTTATTAACAAATTCATTTACCTTGGTGATAAAAAAATAAGTAAGTAGTTTTTTATTTCGTCTTTACAAATTCCCATTTTTATGGGCCACATGTTGGTAAAAATTCACAAGTGGTATTTATCTTTTTATAATTGTAAATTTTAACAAATTTTGGCATTTTTTGAAGGAAAATATTTTAATTTCTGTTGTAATTCAATTTTCTTTGTAGTTATCTTTTTATTTTAATTGCCTTTTTATACTTTAAAAGAACTAATTTTTTAGAAGTCTGAATTATTTAAAAGACTATTTTGATTAGTACTTTTAGTATTATCTTTAATTCTATTTTGATAGAAATATAAATTTTTTTTGTAATTAACCCCCTTTTTTTAAGTGAAAAAAAAGTTCTTTATATTTTCGAATTTTGTTCAGCATAACCTAAAAATTCAAGTTTATTCCCGTTTTGTTTGAACTCATATTTTAATTTTTTCATTTTCATTGTTTATTGTTTTAAAAAATGTAATTTTTTTATGTCCAGAGTGCTAATATTTTTCTACTTTGATAAATTTTATTATTTACATATTTCTCTTTCTTTTATTTATAGTATTGAATTTAAATAATTGCAAATTTTGTACCTATAATTTTCTCATTTCTTTATTCTTTTTCATAACTTTTTGAATTTCAAATGTTTTTTTTACTATTGTTGCGGACTGACTGTATTTAAATAAATATATTCAGTTTCTTAAAATTTGAAAAAATTTAGTTTTTCGTAAAAAAAATTAATACGATTTTAAAAAAAAACATCTGTTAATGTTTTTATTTTTAATTTTAATGTTTTAATGTTTTAATTTTTTATTTTTAAATTTAATATTTTGATCATTTTACTATTATTAATATTAAAAATTTTAATTTTTAATTCTGAACAATTTTTCGGATTTGTATTTTTTAAATAAATCTTGCAATTCAATGCAAAAATTAAAAAAATAATTCTCGTCAATATTTCAATTATTATCTCTATAAATATCGCAAAATTCTTCGCCGAAATTCAATTATGTTCAGGAATTTAAAAAAAAATAATTGCAAAAGTCAATTATTTTTTATAAATAACAATATTCATCACAGGAATTTCATTATTTTAAAAATTAATAAATTACTTCGCAGAAAGTCAATTATTTTAAATAAATCTAAAAAAAATTGTGGTCAACATTCTAATTATCTTTATAAAAATAAATAGCAAAATTCTTCGACAAAATTCAATTATTTTGAGGAATTTTATTAAAATTCATTGCAAAATTCAATTATTTTCAAAAATTTTTAATAAAATTCATGGCAAAAGCTTCAATTACTTTCAGAAATTTTAAATTCTTTCATGGAATTCAATTAAACTTGCATTGAAAATAATTTATTTCTTATAAAGAATTGTATCAAAATTCGTAAGAATAATAATTGAATTCTTTCGAAGAATTTTATTAAAATTTAAAAAATAATTAAATTTTATCGAGCCATTTTTTTTAAATTGAATTAAAAATAATTGAATTTCTACGAAAACAGTTTTATCAAAACTTTTTCGAAAATATTTGATTTTCAGCAAAAATTTTGAAATTTTTGAAAATAATTTAATTCTTGAGAAGAATTTTATTTAGACTTTTGGAAATAATTGAATTTCTGCAAAGATTTTTATTAATTTAACGAAAATATTTAAATTCTTGCGGAAAATTTTATTAAAATTTCTGAAAGTAATTGAAAATCTGCAAAGAATTTTGTTATTTTTAATTTATGTCAAGAATTTTATTAAAATTTTGAATAATAATTGAATTTCTGTGAATTTTTCACAAGAATTTAATTATTTTTGAAAATTTTAATTAATTTATTGGAAAGAATTGGATTTTTTTCATAAATAATAAAACTTTTTGCAGAATTTTAATTTAATTCATTGCAAAATGTAATTATTCTTGAAAATTTTATTAAAATTCGTCGAAAGAATTTAATTATTTAAAAATTTGTTAATAAAATTCTTTATTAGAATTAAATTTTAAGAAACATTCAATTATGTATTCAATAAATTATTTATTTGTATTTAAAAAGTTTAATAGAATTCTTTTTGAAATTATTTGAAGTTTTTATTTTCTCATATATTTTTAACTGAAGAATTTCTGAAGAATTGAAATTTCGTAAAATTGAATTGTGAATCAGAATATTCTTTAGGGTCAGCAAAAAAGTCAAAATTTTATCTGGAAATGAGGAAAAACTTTGTGAAAAACAAAATTAAATATTTGTGGCAAACTTGATACTAAATTTATTGCCTTTTTTTCTTCCTGGACGTTTAGATTAAAACCAAAAAAAAAATGGATCCACTCGATCTTTTTAAGCCAAATACGAAATTCAAGCGAGTTTATATGGAACCAAGAACTAGTCAGAGATACGTCCCAACGAATATGGAGGCGATTGATCGTGAACTGGAAGCATTATATCCTCAAACTGTTCAGGAAAATAAGGAATACGTCGAAGAATATGTTAAAGCTGAAGAACGAAGAATGCTTGACGTAATTGAATTCTTCTTATCAGTTTTATCAGCATTTTTTAAAAATATTTCAATTCTATTGAAAAATTATTTTAATTATTAAATAAATTAATAATAATTAATATTAGTCTATTAAATAAATGTATTATTAATAATAAACAATTTTAGTTCTTAATTAATAATTTTTATTGAATTTTTAATTTAATTTTGCTCTTTTCTTTTTAGGAAGCAAGTAATTTTGATGGTCACGATAAGACGAAAAATTTTGATGAAATTTCACGTGGTACATTACCGGTAATGCAAGAAGTTCAAGACGAGGAACTTACGAAAATTTACAAAACATACAATTTTGCTCATCGTCAGAATGAAAATCTCTCGATATCGCCAAAGAAGGAGGAAATTATAGCAATGATAGAGACAAATTCTGTGGTGATAATTCAAGGACCAACTGGATGTGGAAAAACTACGCAAGTTCCACAATTTTTACTAGATAATAGTTGTAAAAAACGAGTGCCATGCAATATAATTGGTGAGTGTTTTTTTCTTTTCTTTTTTGTAAATTTAAAAAAAAAATCCAACCTTTAATAATTTTCTTATTTAACTTTTTTTTTCCTCTAGTCAAATATAAATATTTAAATATACATTTTTTCTCAAGTTTACAAATAATTGATTTGCGTTTTCGAAATTTTCAGTTACACAACCGAGAAGAATAGCGGCAATAAGTATCGCGAAACGTGTGAGCAAAGAAAGAGAATGGCCATTGGGAACATTGGTTGGCTATCAAATTGGAATGAAAAGTTGCTTTTCAAATGACACGAGATTAACGTACTGCACGACTGGTGTATTATTGAGAAAATTGATAAATTCCAAAAATATGCTCGACTATACGCACATTATTTTGGATGAAGTACACGAGCGCAGTCAGGAAATGGATTTTCTTTTACTTGTCGTTCGTAAATTATTGCGAACAAATTCACGGCAAGTTAAAGTTATTTTGATGTCAGCAACAATTGACGTTGATAAATTTGCCTCTTATTTTCAAAGTCCAATAAAAAAAGATAAAATGGGCAACGCGCCAATTATCGATATTTCAAAACGAAGTCAATTTGACATCAATATTTTCTATCTTTGTCAAATGGGTTCAATTGCACCGGTAAGTTTTCATTTTAACTATATTTTATTTTCATTCAGAGTTTCCACAGGTCAGGAAATTCAAGGAAAATAGAAACAGGGAATTTTTGGAAGTTAAACAGAATATTCTTTAGGATTAGGGAAAAAGTCATAATTTTATCTGGAAGTCAGGAAAAAAAGTCAGAAAAACAAAATTAAATTTCTGTGCGGCAACTGTAAAATTGTAATTTTTTTTTATTTAAATTTCTAAAGGATTTGTTTTTGTTTTCAGTTGCCGGAAGTGTCCTATGATGAACCGCGTATATCGAGAGAGATGATGAATTTCTGTTCGAAATTAATAATTGTCTTCGATGAAATTGACAAGACTTGTCAGGATTGCACCGATGAGGATGATAACAATGATGATGACGAGGACAATGATGGAGATGAAAATTCATTTCAACGTCATGTTGTTCTTGTATTTATGCCTGGTATTTATGAAATTGAAGAGATGCACGATATTTTAAAATCGCCGAGTCATCAAAATTGGAATTGGGACATTGTTGTTATGCATTCGTCAATAACAAGCGACGAGCAGGAGAAAATTTTCCAAAAACCACCGCGCGGTCATCGACGTATTATTCTCTCGACAAATATTTCCGAGAGCAGTATCACCGTTCCTGATGTTAGATATGGTTTGTATTTCATTTTTTTTCTCGTTTATTTTTAACTTATTGCTATTGTTTTTTGTTGACATTTTTTTAAAAAATTTATTCATCTATTTTCTTTTGAAGTAAACAGGGGCAAAAGCCCTTGAAAAAAATTACCATGGTTGTCACAGGTCAGGGATTTTTTATTAAAGTATTGGAAAAAATTGAATTTTGGACAAGTTTCAAATAATTGCAGAAATTCAATTATTTTCAAAAGTAATAAAATGCTTCGCAGAAATTCAATTAATGTCAAAAATTTAAAAAAATGCTCCTCAAAATTTAAATTATCTTTATAAATAATAAAACTCTTCTTTGAAATTCAATTATTTTCAAAAATTTTAATAAAATTTGGCAAAATTTCAATTGTTTCTAAAAATTTTTCTTCAATTTAATAATATTAATAAAATTTTTCATTCTTCATGTTAATAAAAATTTCCCAAAGAATTCAATTATTTTTCGAAACAATTTAATTATTTTTATAAATATCAAAATTCTTGGCAAAAATTAAATTTAATTATAATTTACAAACAATAAAATTCTTCGCAGTTATTCAATTATTTTAAAGAATTTTAATAAAATTCATACACAAGAATTCTATTATTTTTAAAATTCAAGTTAATTTTTTGAAATAATTTAATTATTTTTTTAAATATAATATCAAAATTCTTGTGAAGAATTAAATTATTTTTATAAACAATAAAATTTTTCACAGGTATTAAATTATTTTTGATACAATTTTAATCGAATTCCTCGAAAAATGTAATTATTTTTAAAATTTTTATTAAAATTCGTTGAAAGAATTCAATTATGTTGATAAAATTCTTTATGAGAATTGAATTTTAAGAAACATTCAATTATTCAATATATTATTTATTTTTGTATTTAAATTATTGAATTCTAGTAGAATTTTCTAAGAAAAATTGATTTTATTTTCTTCTTAAATATTTAATTGAAGAATTTCCGAATAATCGAAATTTTTTAAAATTGAATTGTAAACAAATCGATTCAAAAATTCTCAAGGAACTTTTGCAAAAATTATTAAAAATAATTTATAATTTAATTCTTTTGAAGAATTTTAATACCATTTTTGGAAAATAATTACATTTTTCAAAGAATTTACTTAAAATTGTATAAAAAATAATTGCAATCCTTTGAAGAATTTTATTATTTAGAAGAATAATTAAATTCTTGCAGCGAATTTTTATTACATTTTTTTAAATAATTGATATCCTGTAAAGAATTTTATTATTTATGAAAATAAATTTAATTCTTGCAATGAATTTTATTAATTCTTTTTTTAAATAATTGAATTCTTTTGAGAAATTTTATTAAAATAGTAGATTGAAATTTTGACGAGAATTTAAAAAAAAAATGGAAAAGAATTCAATTGTTTTGAAGAAGTTTATTAAAATATACAAAAGTTTTTGAGTATCTAATAATTTTTATAGTAAATCAGAATATTGTTTACTAGGGTCAGAGAAAAAATCATTAAGTGTCTGGAAATCAAGGAAAAGTTAGGGAAAAACAAAATTAAATTTTTGTGCGACTACTCTGTTATCATGAAATTTAATAAAAGCTTTAATATAAAAACTTTTTTCCAAATGAAAAAAAGGGAAAAAAGCTAAATTATATTTTAAAGTGAAGAGGAAAACTGTATTTAATATTTTGTTTTTTATTTATTTATTTATTTTCTTTTTTGCAGTAATCGACTTTTGTCTCACGAAACAACTCGTGATGAACCCGGTTACGAATTTTCAATCTCTCGAACTTGTCTGGGCAAGTCAAGCAAATTGTGATCAAAGGGCAGGACGAACGGGTCGTGTAATGAAAGGTCGCGTTTATCGTCTAGTACCAAAAGAATTCTATCAGGCAAGTGATTTATTTTTACAAAAGTTAATTTTCTTTCTATTGTATGTTTTTTTCTTTTCAATATGAATTCAAAAAATTTAATTTTTAATTGATACTGTTGATACTATTGATAATTGATACTTCTTTTAATTGATTTTTAAGTGTGAAATTCTTGTTTCATTTTCAGTACTTTCCAAAAGACAGCGATCCAGAAATGATGCGTTCACCGCTCGAGTCACTTGTTTTGAATGCAAAATTATTGGATATGGGCGAACCGAAGGAATTATTGGCACTGTCAATGGATCCGCCTGATTTGTCAAATTTAAAGCGAACTGTAAAACTTTTAAAAGAGGCCGGCGCCTTATTTAATGTCGATGATGATTTCAATGATAGCGACGGGACATTAACTGATCTTGGAAGAATAATGGCCCATTTACCATTGGACATTAGAATTTCAAAATTGATCGCTCTCGGTCATTGTTTTAGTATTTTAACCGATGCAATAATAATGGGAGCGAGTATGGCGACAAAAAGTATGTTCAGCAATCCGTTTCAAAAGAAACTTCAGGCGTATAATGCGAAAATTACTTATGCCGATACATCTTGCAGTGACTGCATTGCCTCGCTCAATGCCTTCAAGGTAAAAAATTCGATATTAAAGCTTATGAATTTTTCTCTCTAAAATTTAAATTAATAAAAATTAATTTAAATTATCAACTGTTTAATTTTGTCACTAATTTTATTAAAAACAGTTTTCGTAAAACTTTATTGAAATTAATTTAAAAGTAATTAATTAAATATTCCCCGTTTCTTTTTTTTTTGGTAAATAGCTTTGGCAGCGGGAAAAGGCGAGTCGGCGAATAACGACAAAAGCATCGGAAAGTGCATGGGCACAACGACATTTTATTCAAGTGCGTGTATTACGTGAAATTTTGCTTCTAATTGGAGATATTGAGAAGCGTTTACAAAGAATGGGAATTGTCGAGAGTGTCGGTGAGAATCGTGTTACTTGGAATGATAATGAATGGGCCTTTGTACAAAAAATTATACTCGCCGGAGCATTTTATCCAAATTATTTTGTGAAAAATGCAAAAACACTTGAAGAAAATGGAAAGAATTCGCTGAAAATGGTCGCTGGACTGGATCCAGTGAAGACAGTATTTCTTCAAGGTTGGCCCGAAAATCAACCCGGTAAACTTTATGCCAAACGAATACAAGAATTATTCACTGAATGCGCACCATCGTCAATTGATAAAATTTTCATCTCCTTCGACATTTCACAACGTATTTACATTCACTTTTGGAATCGTGAGAGAAAATTTGCCGAAGACGATAGAGCTCCGGATGTAACTGGAAAAATTTCACCCGCAGTTTATAGGTATTTTTTTTAAATATATTTTTAATTAATTATTAAAAATAATTTTAATATAATTTTTCAACAGATTTCAATTATTTTTAAAAATTTTGATAAAATTCCTGACAAGAATTCAATTCTTTAAAATGCAATTTTAATTTTATAATCTAAAGAAAATTATAAAAGAAAATAATTATTTTTGAAAATTTTAATATAATTCATCACAAAAATTCAATTTTTTTTTCATAAATAATATAATCTTTTCAGGAATAGAATAAAATTATTGAAAATACAATTTTAGTATAATTTTTTAATAGAATTTAATTATTGTTAAAATTTTGATGAACTTCATGAGATAAATTCAATTATTTTATAAGTAATAAAATTTCTCTCATAAATTCAATTATTTAATTTACAATTTTAATTAAAATCTCTACAGGAATTCAATTATTTTCAATGCAATTTTCAATAAATTCTTCCCCAAAATTTAAGTAGGTATTTTCGAAACAATTGAATTATTTTCAAAAATGTTAATAAAATAGATAGATTTATTTTCTCCTTTGTACACTTAATATAAGTTTTACAATATTTGTCCCTCCAACTTAAAGTAACATATAAGTTATAAGTTAAAATGTTAATAAAATATTTTAAGATAATTCAATTATTTTCAAAAAAATATTCTCCGGAAGTAATCATTTATTTTTATAAATAGTAAAATCTTTTGCAAAAATTAAAGTTTTTTCAATTCAATTATTTTAATAAAATTTTACGAAAAAACTTCAATTTTTTCTTTAAATTTTTATTTTTTATCAAAGTTTTAGAAAAAATTAAATTATTTTCTCAAATTCAAGTAAATTCTTCAAAACAATTCAATTACTTTTTTAAAATATCGAAATTTTTCGCAATAATTAATTTATTTTTACGCAATAAAATTCTTGTCAGGTTTTCAATTATTTTAAAAAAATTTTAATAAAATTCATCACAAGAATTCAATTTTTTTTAATACATTATAATAATCGTAAGTTCCTTTCCGTTAGCAAATTATCTGCATTCATTTGTTTGTTTTGAAAATTAAATTTTGTGGGTTAAGTATTGGCATTTTTCATTTTTTAATGTCAAACTTTTTAATGTGGAAAATACTTTACTTATTAAATTGTCTCGACTTTTTGGTAAAAAATCTAAAATTATCAAAAATTCGAAAAAATTCAAAAATTCGATTTTCTTAAAATTCAACATTTTTTCTTCTCTTTTATGGGATCAAGCTTCATTATTTTTGTGCTTTTGGAAAATACTTTACTTATTTAATAGTCTCGACTCTTTGGTAAAAAATCTAAAATTATCAAAAATTCGAAAAATTTCAAAAATCCGTTTTTCTTAAAATTCAACATTTTTTCCTCTCTTTTATGGGATTTAGCTTCATTAATTTTGTGCTTTGGAAAAATACTTTACTTATTAAATTGTCTCGACTCTTTGGCAAAAAATCTAAAATTATCAAAAATTCGAAAAATTTCAAAAATCCGTTTTTCTTAAAATTCAACATTTTTTCCTCTCTTTTATGGGATTTAGCTTCATTATTTTTGTGCTTTTGGAAAATACTTTACTTATTAAATTGTCTCGACTCTTTGGTAAAAAATCTAAAATTATCAGAAATTCGAAAAATTTCAAAAATCCGATTTTCTTAAAATTCAACATTTTTTCCTCTCTTTTATGGGATTTAGCTTCATTATTTTTGTGCTTTTGGAAAATACTTTACTTATTTAATAGTCTCGACTCTTTGGTAAAAAATCTAAAATTATCAAAAATTCGAAAAAATTCAAAAATCCGATTTTCTTAAAATTCAACATTTTTTCTTCTCTTTTATGGGATTTAGCTTCATTATTTTTGTGCTTTTAGAAAATACTATACTTATTAAATTGTCTCGACTCTTTGGTAAAAATCGGTTTTTCAAAAAATTGTAATTGAAAATTTATTGAAAATTTTGAAAAATTCTAAACAAATTCACCATAAGCAAGTAATTTAACTTTTAAAATCGATAGTTTTTAATTAAACTTTTGATGCGAATTTTTTATTTAAAGTTTAGGGGAAAATTTTAAATTCTTTCTGGAAATCAGGAGAAAATGGCTCATTTTTCCCCCAACTCTGAATTGTTCTATTTAATAATGCAATATTTTTATACTATTTTTTTTATTTTTAAAAACATTACTATTATTTATTTTATTTATTTATTTAGAAAAAATAAGTTCCTAAATTTTTTTGTACTAAAATAAAATAAATTTACTAAATAGAATTGAAAAATGATTTTTTTTTTGCAGAGCGATAAAATTGCGTAAAGTAAACACAACATTGGCGGTGAAGGTACTCGATGAGAATTCATCGATTGCAATGGCAAGAGAATTGAAATTAATTGGCGATCGTGGACAAACATTTTTTGACGAAAAACCATTAAATTTGCGTGCAAGAAAAAACTTTGGCATTCGTCCCGTTTTACCAGGACTTGATATTTCAATGATAAGATTGAAAATAACCGAAGTCATTGATCCAGGACATTTTTGGGCGCAAATGATTGACGACGATTCACAATTGAAACTCGATTGTATTCTAAAGCGTGTGAATTCAAAAGACAGTTATCTAGAACCAATAAAAACAATGCCAAAAATTGAGACACTTGTCTTTGCGCCATTTTCAAATCAAGATAAACGTTATCATCGGGCGCAAATACAAAGTTATAAAACTGAGAAAGGAATACAAATTGCAAACGTTTTATACGTTGATTGCGGTAAAATGGCTTTGGTGCAAGTTAAAGATTTACGTATATTGAATGTAACGACGCCGCAGGACGAGAGGGACTTTGATTTACCGGCGTTGGCGTTTGAATGTGTTTTGGCAAATTTACGACCGACATTTATGTCAAGTATCAGTGGACAATGGTCATCGGAGGCGAAACGTGAATTTGATCAATTGTTGCGCGGTGAGAAGAGGCCGAAATATATTTTTGGTGAAATTTATTCTGTTGTCAATTCTGTGGTTGCATTGACATTGCATTGTAAAAAGTCAATGGGCGATAATGTTGAGGCAATAAATGTGAATCAGTATTTAATTGAGAAAAATTATGCTGAATCATTTGAGGAGGATTATTTGTCACGTTTTAATCATGAATTGAGAGAGAATTATGATAATTATGAGGCATCGCAAAAGGAAGTTTTTGAGGAACAACAATACGATCAATGCAGTACTATGGAGATACATCCTGAGCCACCGAATGAAAAGGAATGCACGAAGACGATTTTTTTGCGAGGTCCTTTCTCACCATTGGAAATTGAATTGATGCATTTGACAAATGCTGGGGCTTCGAAAAAGGTAATTTTTAAATTTATTAAATTTCGTTCAGAATTTTTGGGTAAAATTTAAAATGGAAATTTTTTATTATTTCTGTAATTATTTTTATTATTATTGTTATTATTATTTTTATTATTATTTCAGGTAAATATCGATCATCAATCTGTGAATTCGGTGCTTTTGGATACGGCGCCAAATGATCCTCACGATCGTCTCTTGGTTGCCGGTTTTGTTGGTGAAAGTCCATCGGGTAAAAATTTGAATTTACGCGAAACAACATTAATGCCAAATCTTCCGGGTCTAACGTCACTTTTATCATTAATGTTTTGCCCACGAATGGAATTGAGACGCACTGCAACAAAAGGCGATTATGTCGGTGCTTTATGTGGATTGGGAATTTATCCCAGAAAGAATGATGACGATCCAGCAATTCCTTTATTTAGGGAACATGACATGGAAATTAATTTCGATGTGGAAATAACCAATGACGATTTACTCGGGGTAAGCATTTTCCCGCTCTTTTTTCTTTTTCTTTTAAATGCTTATTGTCAATTTCAATGAACTTTTTAACCTTCAAAAAATTTGAAAATAATATAAAAGAAAAGAAAAAAAATTAGCAAGAAAAGTAAAAAAAAAAATTATAAAAGAACTTTTGTTTCTTTTATAATTTTTGTATACTTTTCTTACTAATTTTTTTTTAGTATTTATTAAAATAAATGTAATGAAAATGAAATGAAATATGGAAATAAAAATAATTTTTACTTTGACAGATCAACAAACTGCGACATTGGATGAATTTGTGTTTAACCTTTAATGCAGATTCGAAGGATAATATGAGCGATACAATTGACTGTCAAACACAAATTAAAAAGTATTTGTTTGAGTTGATGGACAGAAAGCGAAAATCACAAAAGCCAGAAATGGTGTTTCATTTTAGTAAATGGAAACTTTATCCGGAAGCAGATTTTCTAATGCCCGGAAGACAATCACTTGCGAGCAAATCAGTTTATCCTCTGCATTGTGCACTTGAACTCGTACCAGAAGACGAGGAGAAGAAATGTTTGCGGAATAATCAACTGGAATTACTCGAACTCGCCAGAACGTAAGTTTATCAATTTAATTTTAAATTTTATGCACGTATGTGAAATTAAAAATTTTTAATAATTAAATTTCATGTAGAATTTAATTGGAGATTTAAAAAAAACGATTTCGTTTTTTTTACTATATTTCGAAAAAATTAATTATTTTTAAAACAATTTTTATAAAATTCTTATGAAGAATTCAATTATTTTCAAAAATAATAAAATTTTTCACTTGAAATTCAATTCTTACTAAACATTTTAATAAAATTTTTCGCAATAATTCAATTATTTTCATAAATAATAAAATTCTTCTCAGGAATTTAATTATTTTTGAAAATTTTAATAAAATTCTTTGAAACTGTTTAATTTTTTTCATAAATAATAAAATTCATCGCAGGATTTCAATTATTTTTAATACTATTTTACAGGAATTGCGCTCAAAAAATGCAATTATTCTTAAAAATTTGATTTCAATTCCTCGAAAAAATCAATAATTTAAGAAAATGTTTTTTTTTTAAATTCTTTGGTAGAATTCAATTATTTACAAAAATATTAGAATTTTTTCCTTTAAATATCTTAAAAAAATTGTTCGAAAGGAATTAATTGTTTTAAATACAATTTTAATTAAATTTTTATGAAATAATTTAATTATTCGATAAGATTTTTATAAAATTCTTCCCAACAATTCTATTATTTACTTAAATTATTCTTTAAAAGCATTAAATTATTAAAGATAAATAACAAAATGATCAGAGGCATTTTAATAAAAGTTTTCTGCAAAATTCAATTATTTTCATAAATAGCAGTAATATTTATCACAAGAATTGGATTATTTTTAAAAGTAATAAATTTCTCAATGGAAATGCAATTATTTTCAAAAATTCTCATAAAATCGTCCGCCAGAATAAAATTATTTTCAAAAATAACAAAATTTTTATCAGTTATTCAATTCTTTTTAAACATTTTAATAATAATCTTCTCAATAATTCAATCATTTTTCATAAATAATAAAATTCGTCTCAGGAATTCAAATTTTTGAAAATTTCAATGAAATTCTCTGACATTCCCTGACCGTTAGACACCCTGTCAATAATCTTCACCCTTTGGTAAAAAATTTAAAATTATTAAAAATTATCAAAAATTCGAAGAACCGAATTTCTTAAAATTCAACATTTCTTCTTCTCATTTACTGCATTTAACTTCATTATTTTTGGGCTCTTGAAAAATACTTTACTTATTCAATATTCTCCACCCTTTGGTAAAAAATCTAAAATTATCAAAAATTCGAAAAAATTAAAAAAACCGAATTTCTTAAAAATCAACATTATTTTTTCACTTTTATGGCATTTAGCTTTATTATTTTTGGGCTCTTAAAAAATACTTTACTTATTTAATAATCTTCACTGTTTGGTAAAAAATCTAAAATTATCACAAATTCGAAAAAATTTTACCGTTTTAGACACCCTGGTAATTATTCTTAAAAATTTAATTTCAATTCCTTGAAAAAATTAATTAAGTATTTAAAAAAATTAGATTTTATTAGAGTTTTTAAATATTGAATTCAATTTTTATTTTTATTTACATAAAAGCAAAAAGAAAATTGAAAATTGTTTCAAAAATTTTTGTTTATTGTTATTAATTAACATTTTTTGTCTCCTTCTTCTTTTCAGTGATATGAGAAATCGTCGAAATGTAGACACAAAATGTTTACTCTGTTCAGAGGAGATTTTTGGAATAAATCAGCTGCGTGCTCATTTATTCTCCCAACAACATCAGCAAGCAATGAAGAGAAGTGGACTTAAATAAAAAATTCTCTCAATGCTTTTGTCCAATTACTGGAATCTTCTTCCAAAAAATAGTATTAATGGCAAGAAAGTGAAATTTGAACACAATTACTTTTCTTTATATAATTATAAAATATGTAATAAAAGAAGAATTTTCTATTTTTTTACTGAACACTTTTGTTCAATATAAAATTCGAATTATGTTTAGTTTATATATTTAAATTGTAATATTTACTTTATTCTATTGACAAAAAAAAATGAGATAGTTTTATTTTATGAACGAATTTTTTTTTCTGCGAAATGTTGTATTGAAATTGTATTGTTTCTTTTTTTTAGTTTATATACCTATAAACCTTTAAACTGTGAAAATTGTAATAAAAAATTTATAATAGTTTCATAAAATGTGTGTTTTTTTTAATCCTCTTGCAGTTTCAAAGGATTGGGGTACAAAAGTTCCAAAACGGAAATTCCAATCGAAAAGTTCCAAGAAAAAAGTTCCAAAATGAAAATATCCAAAATTTATTTTTCCACAGTACCGTTTCAAAGACTTTATTATTTTTATTTTATGTTTTTCTAAATTCAAATTGTCTTTCTAAATATTTTGTATAAATTTTTTTTAAACGTTCTTTTCTATTTCATATTATCTTTTTTATTCACTTTTATTTTTAACAGTATTTTTAAAATTATTTACTTAATTATAATTATTTTTATATAATTAAGTTTATTTTCTTCTTTCTATTTTACTAATTTTTTTCGACTATATATTAAAATTATTAGAAATTAAAATATTTATTTTAAATAAAGAATGAATGAAAATATTCATTAGGGTCATTAAAAAAATAAATGTCCAATTTTGTAATATTATTTAATTTAAATTGTTGCCTATTTATAATTTTTTTTAATCTTGTTTCATTTATAATTTATTTTTATTATTATTATTATCAATAATATTCATTGTCCGAATGTTTTCGTTTTATTTGCCTTAATAATATTATTATTACTTGTAATATAAAAAGTGCGATTCATAAAAGTTTGTTTTATAAACAAAAAAAAAAACAATTTTTAAAAAATATATATTTATATTTAACGATTACACGTCCCGTTGAAGATAACGAGTGCCCGGTTGTGTGTAAAGCAATCTACTGGGAACATTTGAACCAGAAACGCTAACGTAAGTTCCAGGAGGCGGTGGCGGCGGCTGATAAGCACTGGGAGGCGGTTGTGGCGCTCTCACCGGATATCCGGAAGTAATGCCACCAGTTTTTGCACCCTAGAGAAATAAAATTCAATTATTTCTCAACTGTAATTATCGTTTCCTTTCAAAATTTCCATTTTCTTCCGTTTATTTTTGTTTAAACGAAAAAAAACTCCTATTTCAATGAATTTTTTTTTATTCATCATTTTATTATTATCAATTTCAATTGATAAAATTAAAATTAAGTTTAAATAGAGTTTAAATAAAAAAAACTATTGAAATAAAGTGAAGAAAATTGATATGAAGTTTAAATAAAAAAAAAACAATTGAAATAAAGTTTAAATGAAAAAAAAAACGATTGAAATGAATAAAATTAGAAATTAATAATAACCTGAGGCGGCTGTTGAATAGGAATCGCTCCTCCATGAACGGTAACGTGACTCGTTGGTCTTGGATAAAATTTGTCTTGCATAATTGACTGCAGTGTGATGTATTCTGAAAAATGTAAAAATTTTCATTAATTATTGTCCGCTACTTATTTATATATATTTAGAAATGTGTAAATATTTCATTCTTTATAAAATACGTTTTTTTAAATACTTAAGTAATTTTTGAAAATAGTTTTTTTAAATACCAGCTTCTGATTCTCTGGACGGTTGCGAAGTGGGAGCGGAATAACTGAAAACGCCTTGACCAGTTGGAGTTGAATAAAAACTCGATGGTGGATACTGATTATTTTCTGCAACATTATTTTAACTGTTAAATTATTCATTTTTCATCAAGTAACAAAAAAAAATAAATAAAGACTTTGTTTATTATAAAAATAAATGTGATCTAGATATTAATTATATTATATTAAAATAATAATAATATGATAATAATTATTATAATAATAATAACAATCGTTGTATAAGTTACTTGTTATTTTCTTTTTTGGTTTCCTAACTTTTTAAATAATTTTCCTTTTCAAATATAAAAATACAATTTTCAAAAATAAAGTATTTTACTTACTATTCCAAAGAACGGCTCGTGAATCTCCCGTTCTTCTGGCAGCTTCTTCTGTTTCTGAAACGAAAATTAAAGTCTGATTAACTAATTAAAAAAAGAATATTAGATATAATTAAGAAAATGAATTAAAAATTAATTAAAATTGAGAATAATAATGTAAATTTAATAAAAATTTTTTTTGTAAGTTCAAATTTTGATGAAATAAATATTTTTTCACAATGACTTGTTTTTTCTTGACTTTTTTTATTAAAAAAACTTACTGGGTATGGGATTTTTATAATTTGGAATCGGAGCTGCTGTGTAGACAAATGGTCCATAGGCCTGTGGCGGTGGTGAAGGACTTCTTGTTCTCTTCATCTAAAAGAAGAATAAAAAAATTTACAATTAACAATAGATACAAAATTTACAAAAGTTAATTTAAAAAAAAAACTTATTTATTAAAACCAAAAAGAATAGTAAATCTATTTTTAAATTTCCAACAAAAAAAAATCAATAAGTAAAAATAAAGTAAACACATTTACACTGTAAATAAATCTTTCTGTAAAACTATAAAAGAAAGAAAAAAATAAAGAAAGAGATAAATAAAATAAATTTTATGTTAATTAATTTAAATTCTATTTTAAGTAGTAGAATAAATAAATAAGAAAATAAATAGAAACTCACAGTCGCTGGCATTTGTGCTGGTAATGTGCTCAATATTTTGTAAAGCGGATGACTCGGAACCATTTGCCCGGGAAAAACGGGATCTCTTAAACTTCTGCAAACTCCACCAGTTCCGGTTCCTGGATCCCGATAACCACCGGTAGTCGGCATAATTTCCGAACAAGCACTAAGGTAATGCAAAGAAGGAAATTATTAAATTGTCTTGATTACTTTTGAAAATAATTGAATTTTTGCAATCGGTTGTAACTTTTCTAAAATTTAATTAAAAATTTTTCTTTAACTAAAATTCTTTTTTTTTTTTTATTTTTTAATTTAATTTTAATACTTTTTCAAAATTTTGGTGTGTGAATTAATAATAAAAGAAAATACTTGTTTTCTTTAATGAGCTGCCGCCTTCTATTATCATCTTCGTTGAGTACTTTTTTCAATTGCAAAAATAATTGGTGTTTCTCGTCCTTCAATTGTGACAATTCATTTTCCAATGTTGTGATTTGTTCACGTGTTTCACCAAGTGTCATAACATCCTGTTTTTGTTGACGTTCCCGTTCTTTTCGTTGACGTTCTTCCTCGGCGTCAGCTTCTTGCTCTTTTTTTCGAAAAAAATAATTTCTTTAAAATTCAATCTAAATCATTATTATCATAAAATTCCAATAATTTAAAGTGCATTAAAGTATTAAATAAATAAATCAAAATTACAAATTTAATTTTCTTGATTCTCTAAATCTTGCTAAATCTGAATTAGTAAAAGTTGAATTAAGAAAATTTCAAAATTTAAATTATTAAATAAATTTTTTTGTCAGAATGGAAAAAGTGAGGTTATGTTACCTACGAACCTTTTCCTCTTCTTCTTTCGTGTCATTAGAAAATTACTCGTATTTTTCAAATTTAAATTTTAATAAATAAACATTTTATTTCCTTTCAATTTTTTTTTTGATTTTAGAGTTTAAAATATATATTTATACCTTGTTTTTTACGTTGTCTTTCACGAAGAATATGAACTTTTAAAGCCTCGGCCATTTGTTCAGTTCGTTGGGGATTTCCCACAATAACTGCCGGCATTTTTATAGATAAAGTGTCTTCTTTTTCCTTTAAAAACGATGAATAAAAATAAATAATTATCAATTATTAAAAATAATTATTTCTTTTCTCTATTATATTGAACGATTGACAGGTTGACATTTAATCGCAAAACACAAACAATCCGCCATATTTGATAACCACGTTACCTTCCACGCATGCGTAGTGAAAAGTGGTTATCAAAAGGTCATCATTACTTAAATTTTTGTTTTCAAAATTAAACAATAAATATCATTTTAATTCGTTTTTGTATTTTAAATTCAGATCAGAGCACAATAATTTCGTGTAATATTCAAATAGTGAAAATAAAATACATAAAATATTTGTTAACACATTGTTGTTAAATAAATTACACACAATTTTCAAAAAATGAAAAGTATTAATTTAAATTTTCGCGCTCTGTAAAGTTCTGACGTCACATCCTGTCATCCTCAGCCACTCTCTTTCCGGAAGTGCTTCGCACTGTTCTTGTTTCTTCTGTTAAATATCACAAGAAAGATCAGCGTGAGTAATTTTTTCGATATTTATTATATTTCCATTGAAAATTTGTTTATAAAAAGTAGAAGAAATGAAAATTGAACTAATCAATCATGTTAGAATTGTTAACTTAACTTTTTTTTTCTTATAACTTGAAAAACAAGTTAAACCAAAGTTTCTTTTGAAACACGTGCAATTTTAGGTTATGTTCATTTTAAAATCTTCCTTTTTTTCTAAACTTTCTACCAAGAAAAAAGGTTATTAATAATTAAAAAAATATCAAAATTGTCTAGATAATTGTTTCTTACGGTTCTAAAGTCTTTAAAAATGTGAAAATTTAAGTAAACAATTTATTTTTTGATCTTTAACACCTTTTCCTCAAACGTGGTTACATACCGGGTGTTCAAAAAGTAAATAAAAGTTTATATTTTTAAATTTTATAGAATAGAATTTTCTGAATAAATAATAATAAATAATTAGTAAAAATGAAAAAAATTATGAACTATGAAAAATTAATAAACAATTAAAATGAACAAACAATAGAAATAAATAAAGAAAAGTAATACAATAATAAGATAAAGAGAAAATTATAAATAGTAAATAATTTGATTTTGAAATTTCTTTTTTTAAATGTTTTTTATGAATTTTTATAGAATGGCGGACGCAGCTCCAGCCGCACGCGGTGGTTTTCGTGGTGGTTTTGGATCCCGTGGCGATCGTAGAGGAGGAAGAGGACGAGGTCGCGGCCGTGGTCGTGGACGTGGAAAGGAAGACGCCAAGGAATGGATTCCAGTGACAAAATTGGGCCGCCTTGTTCGTGATGGAAAAATTCGCACTCTTGAGGAAATCTATCATTTCTCCTTGCCAATTAAAGAATTTGAAATCATTGATTTCTTCCTTGGACCATCGCTTAAGGACGAGGTTCTAAAAATTATGCCCGTTCAAAAGCAAACACGTGCCGGTCAACGTACCCGCTTTAAGGTAATTTCCTTAAAAAATAAATTTTTTAAACCCTTTCTGGGTTTTTACATTTCATACATATTTAAAAATGTAATATATAATATATTTTATTATTATATTAGAAATTATCAATTTTAAAGTTTAAAATTATAACATATTTAAAATATATTTATATTTTATTGCAATATATAATTTATATTTTAGGCCTTCGTCGCTATTGGTGATAGCAACGGTCACATTGGCTTGGGCGTTAAATGCTCAAAGGAAGTTGCAACGGCAATTCGCGGTGCTATCATCCTCGCTAAATTGTCCGTTGTCCCAGTGCGTCTTGGTTATTGGGGTAATAAAATCGGTAAACCCCACACGGTGCCTTGTAAAGTCACTGGAAAATGTGGATCAGTGCAGGTACGTTTAATACCAGCGCCAAGAGGAACGGGAATTGTTTCGGCTCCAGTTCCAAAGAAACTATTGCAAATGGCTGGTATCGAGGATTGTTACACATCAGCAAGGGGTTCTACTTGCACTCTTGGCAATTTTGCAAAGGCAACTTACGCTGCAATTGCCAAGACTTATGCTTACTTGACCCCTGATCTCTGGAAGGACGTTGCATTGTCAAAGCCTCCTTATCAGGAATTCGCTGACTACTTGTCCAAAGCTCATCGTCCTATTCAGGGATCAAGACCAAATGAGACTGCTTAAGATCTTCATTGTCATCATCATCATGTTCGAATAAATTAATTTTCGAAACAATTATTTCTTTTTATTATCCTTGAAACTATTCTATTTTAAGGATCACGTCCCCCTTTTTCCCTTAAAAAAAAATCCCCTAAATTCAAATATTTTCTCCCCTATTCCTCTTTTTTCAATAAATTTATTTTTGAAAAGTAAAAATTATGATTTAATTTTTTTGAAAAGAGAAACAATAATTGCAGAAAGAAGAATAATTAACAGTGAACAATAATCTATAATCTTCTTCTATATTAATAATTTTTAACGCGCAAACATTTAATTATTTTCATAAATAATAAAAATTTCAGAGGAATTCAATTATTTACAAATTTCTTTGCAATAATTCAATTATTTCTAGAAATAATAAAATTTTTTACAGGAATTCAATTATTTTTAAAAATAAAATTCTTTTCAGGATTTCACTTATTTTCAATACAATTTTAATTACTTTCTTCGATAATTTCAATTATTTTTAAAAATCTTATAAAAATTTTCCGAGAAAATTCAATTATTTTTAAAAAGAAATTGAATTTTTCAATTATTTAAAAAACTTTTAATAAAATACAATTCAAGAATTCAATTATTTTTAAAAATAATGAAATTTTCGCTGGAATTTAATTGTTTACAATTGTAATTGAATTCTAGGGAAAATTAAATTATTTTTAAACATTTTTTAAAATTCTTCGAAAGAATTCAGTAATATTAATAAATAGTACATTTTTTCATAGAAAAATTATTTATTTGCAGAAATAATAAATTTGTTTGTACAGGGATTCAATTATTTAAAAAAGTCTTAATAAAATTCTGTTTAAGAATTCAATTATTTTCAGAAATAATTAAATTGTCAATTTACTGAAAATCATTGAATTCTTGTAAAGTATTAATAAAAAAAAAATTTGAATATAATTGAATTCATAATTTAAATAAATTCATTTCAAGAATTTTATTAACATTTTTGCAAATAATTGAATTCTTTCGAGAAAATGTTATTAAAATTGTATTAAAATTACCTGGAATATAATTGAATTTTTTCCTATAAATTTAATTAAAATTGTATTAAAAATAATTGAATTTCCAAGAAGAATTTTATTATTTAGAAAAATAATTGAATTCCTGACAAGAATTTTACAATTTATAAAAATAATTGAATTGTTGAAAATAATCGAATTTAAATAATATTTTTAAAAATAATTGTATTCTTTCGAGAAATTTTATTAAAATTGTATTAAAAATTAAAATTATATTAAAATTTTTAAAAATAATGGAATTTAATTAATATTTTTAAAAATAATTGTATTCTTTCGAGAAATTTAATTAAAATTTTTTTTGAAAATAATTGAATTTCTCAGAAGAATTTTATTATTTACAAAAAAAAATAATTGAATTCTTGCCAAGAATTATACAATTTATAAAAATAATTGAATTATTTCGAAAAATTTTTGAAATTAATGGAATTTTTATTAAAACTTGAAAATAATTGAATTTAAATAATAGATTTTTAAAAATAATTTTATTCTTTCGAGAAATTTTATTAAAATTGTATTGAATATAATTAAATTGCTCTAAAGAATTTTATTATTTATGAGAATAATGAAATTCTTGCTAAAAATTTTATTAAAATAATTGAAAATTAATAAATAATTATATTTAATTATGAACTTAAAATTCTATAAATTTTGAATCTGTAATCATTCAAAAATTGATGTTTATTCTTGAAAATATAAAGTTTTTAAATTTACAAATTTACACTTTACAAACTTACACTTTAGTCAAAGTGAAGAATAATTCTCAGAAAGAAGAGTAAAAAATATCGTTTATTTATATTTTTTTTCACACAAAAAAGAGAAGTTACTTTTTATTTAAAAAAAACAACGTAACTTCCTCGATTTGAATACAATTAACAAAAAAAGAAATTCTATTTACATAGAATTAAAAAAATTAATTTGTTCTTTTTTCGTAGTATAACTATACATTAAAATGCCAATGGCTGTATAGAATTTGGATTCATGTAGGTGATTTCTTTGGGAAAATGATCGAGAATAATAAAACGTTTCTCGCTGGGTTGAATTAAAGTGTCCAAGAAGCCAAACCAATAAATCACTAAACCTTGTCCAAAACGATTCCAATAACTTGAAAATTGTTCCTTAACATTTTTCTTATGTATCTCAGCATTACCAAATCTTGCCTTTGATTCAATCCAATTAATCACATAACCATTGACGGCAATTGGAATTTCAAGTTTAACATCGGGCGTTTTATCGTAACCCCTCGAACGCAAATGATGCTCATTACGAAATGAAATATTACGCTCCTTTAAGCAACATTGCAATATAACTTCATATTCCTCGCCAACGGACAATGCAATTGAATCCGCAACTGGTCCATATTGATCGTCATATAATACACACTAGAACATTAAAAAAATCAATTATTTAAAAAAATTTAATTCAATTCAATTATTTTTAAAAATTTAATTAAATTCAAGTATTTTTAAAAATTTAATTAAATTCAATTATTTTAAAAAAATTAATTAAATTCAATTACCTATATTTTATATTATATTATAAATATCAAAAATTAAATTCAGAAAAAATAATTTTAAAATAATTTTTTTTTTATTACCGTAAATATTTCATAAGCCAAGTCTTTATCTTCAATTAAAGTCGAGTCCTTGAGATATTTTCCCAAAGAAGAACGTGAATCTGCAAAAAAAAAATTCAATTTCTTTAATCTGTAAAAAGTGGGAATTTTTTTTCCACTATGAAAATAAAAAATGCAACATTTAATTAAATTAGTTGATACTAATTAATCAGATAGGTAACAAATATTTTTTTTAAACTAGTTAGATAAAAATGAACTCTTACTACTTTCTCCCTTTTCGGTTAAGTAATCCTCTAAAATATGACGTGCCAATAATGATGGTGGTGCATTAATTTGAAGTGCCATTTGTAATATAATTCCACTTTGTTTACTTGTTTTTTGAGCTTGTTTGTATCTGTAATTTTTTTTTCAGTGGATGAGAAAGAAATTAATTAAATATAAAATAATAATCCTCTATCAGGGATGAAAAAAAAAATTAAGTTATTTAAAAAGAAGTTATTGTTAGATAAGAAAAAATTAATTCATTAATTAATAGTTAATTAATAACTTAATTAATTAATTAATATAGAAAAAATTAATGGTTTTGTATTAAAATTCGTTTTTAAATATTTATAGTAACAATTACCTTTCGTAGTAATTTTTCTCTCCGCCAAAAAGTCGACTGTGCATACATTTCATTCTCTGTTGGACTTCAATTGCCAAAATACTAAATAGTGCATATTTATTGATACTGGAGAAAATAGTTAATTAATTAGTATACTTAATTGTTCATTTAATTTAATTTTAAATTAAAAGTCTTATATACTTTGAAATAAATAAATTTAAATCTACCTATTAAAATAACTTAATATAATTTATAATTTTAAGAATAATAAATGATAATAAAATTAATAGTAATTATAATTATAAAATATTTACTCACTGGCTATATTTTTCCACCAGCATTTTTGAACAGTCTCTTGTCAAACCTCGAAAACTTCTTATTGTTTTCAAAATACTGTCGTACTCATTTTGCTTCATTTTGTTTTCCTTTCGTTCACTTTTGTTTCTCTCTTGTTTTTTTAAATTCAGTGCGGAAAAATTTATAAAAATTACAGTTTACTATTAAATGTTTACTATTAAAATAGTAATGTGACCTTTTTTAAAAGTATTTTATCTTCTTGTTTGTCTTGTTTTTTTTAGAATTTTGACAGTTTGGAATTTTTATATACAAAAAAATGATATATAAATATTTTTATTTCAGGTTAGGTTAGGTCTGTCAATGCTGCGGGCTGGGTCATCAGTTTCGGTCATCATTGTCATCATTTTAATTTTTTCAAATTTCGAAAATCCCGACAATTCCAATTTAACTCAAAATCAAAGACTAAATATTAAAAATAAAATTTTCTAGAAAATTATACAAAAAATACAAAAATTAAAGAATTTGAGAGAAATTTATTAATTTTAGAATTTTGAGAATTTTTAACCGGAATTTTTTTCTTGCGGTAAAATTTAGAGGTTATGTATTTGTATAGGTCAGGTTAGTTTTCTTAAATTTCAACAGATCTTGTGAGGAATTTAATTTACAGTTATGTTTGACGTTAACATTTTATCCATTTTATTAAGTTTTCTAAAGTATTTATTCATTAATTTTAATTTTCCGCTTCTTCAAAAATGATAGTTTCTATATAGAAAAAAAAATTAACTGTTTGAAAATAAGTTTGCAAAGAAGGTTTATTGTTTATAAATATAAGAAGTCTATTTTCAGTAATATGACAGTTAAAAATGACAAAAAAGAAGAAATTGTATCAGAAAAAGAGAATGAAAAAGAAACGACAGATTTGTAAGCAAATTAATTTTTTTATATTTACTTTTTTAAGAAGAAAATTTCATTTTTTTAATCTTTTTTTTCAAATTCTTTTTTTAATAAACAAAACAATAACTTTTCAGACAATGGTGGCTCATTTTTAGTATTATTGTTATTTTAACTGCCGGTACCAGATTTTATAAGGTCACTGAACCACATCACGTGTGGTGAGTATTTTATTGTTTTTTTTTTAAATAAAAAATTATAAATTGTATTTATTGTAATTTGTAATTAATTTTTTCAATTTTCAGTTGGGATGAAACGCATTTTGGAAAAATGGGAAGTTGGTACATTAATAGAACATTTTTCTTTGATGTTCATCCTCCACTTGGAAAGGTAATTAATTCAATTTTTTTTCTTTTTTTAAAAATATCTATTTATTTGTTTATTTTATTACTACTTATTTTTTTTCTCTTAAAAGATGTTAATAGCACTTTCTGGTTATTTAACCGGATATGACGGGAAGTTTCCATTTGAGAAGCCTGGTGATAAATATGAGAATGTTAACTATGTAGGAATGCGTGTGGTAAGAAAAATTAACTAAACTATTTAATTTTAATTCTAGATATAAAAATAGAATTATATTTATATTAGAAAAATTGTTTGATTGAATTTCAAAAATTTTAATCAGTAAAGAATTGTTTTTTTCTTTTTCAGTTTTGCACATTCCTGGGAGCGACGATTGTTCCACTTGCTTTTCTCACTGTTTGGGATTTAACGAATTCCCTAAGAGCTGCGACCATATCCGGTCTTCTTATTTTATTCGGTGAGATATTACGATATTCTGCTGTGAGATTTAGAATTTTTATTCTCACGAATCGTATTTATTTATTTATTTCTCACGAATCGTTGGATACAAAAAGAGTTAAACATCATATCTCGCATACATAAAAAACTTATTTCCATTTAAAGAAAGTACAAGTTTCCATATGAAAAAGACCAGGGTTCCCATAGATCGTCAGGGAATTCAGGGAAAAGTCAGGAACTTTAATTTTTTCTATTTCGGCCAATAATTTCTTTTTAAAGAACTTAATTCTTTAAAAATTACTACCAATAAATTGTTTAATGAATAATGAATATTATTTTCTAATATATATTTATTTAATTGGAGAATTTCAAAATAATCAAAATTTCTGATAAAATTGAAAAATTGTAAACAAATAGATTTGAAAATTCGAAAAGAACTTTGACGAAAAAATTATTAAAAATAATAATTGATTCAAGAAGAATTTTAATTAAAAATTCTGGTAAATAATAATTGAATTGAAATGATGAAAATAATTGTGTACATAGAAGTTACCGTAACAATATTCTTATAATATAAAAAAATATTCTTATAAGTTGTTGAATTTCAAAAAGGTTTGAATTTAAAAATTTTTGAAAATCTTAATTCCTATGAAAGAATAATTACGATTTAATATTTATTTTAAATAAATCTATTTATTTTTCAAATTTTTCAATTTCATTCAATTTAATTTTTTTAAATTCTTCAATTCACTGAAATGTTAATTTTTCCGAATTTCAGACATTGGACTATTAACGCTAAATCAATATATTCTACTTGATCCAATTCTCCTATGTTTTATGATGTGTGCAACGTGGGGAATGTCTCGCGTCAGTTTCTATCAGGATCGTCCATTTACATTTACCTGGTGGGGTTGGATGATATTTACCGGAATTTCTCTGGCTTGCACAATAAGTGTAAAATTTGTTGGATTATTCGTTGTGCTTTTAGTTGGACTTTACACTGCCTTTGAACTTTGGCGTGAACTTGGAAACTTAAAGGAACCAATTGTAAGTCTATTGTCCTTTTACTAAATTTGGTTTCTAATTTAATTTAATTATTAATAATATTTTAACAAATTATAATTAATTGTAATTTCATTTCTTTCAAGTAATTGAATTTAATTTCATTGGCTTTTCTCTTTTATGGGATAAATTTTGTTCCTCATTATTTTAAAATGAAAAATTTTCTTTTCCCTTTTCAGTCGAACGTTGGGAAGCATTTATTGGCGAGGTGCATTTGTTTAATTATTCTGCCAATTTTACTTTATATTAGTTTCTTTTACATACATTTGACTATTCTCAACAGAAGGTAAAATTATTTTTATATTCGTTCAATTATTATTAAAATTATTATTATTATTATTAAAAATATTTTTTTTATCATCATTATTATTTTTTTTATTTTTACTATTATTTCTATTATTATCTAAATTTTTTTCCGCATTTTGATAATAAGAAAAAACAAATTATTTCAGTGGCAGTGGAGATGGATTTTACAGTTCGGAATTTCAATCGTTGCTTAAGGGAAATTCTCTTCATAATGCAACGATGCCACGACAATTGGCTTACGGTGCGACAATAACTTTAAAAAATCACAGAACCGGTGGCGGTTATTTGCATTCACATTGGCACATTTATCCAGAAGGAGTTGGCGCACGACAACAACAGGTTTTTTACATCTTTATTCAAACACAAATAAATTACTAAACAAACTAAAAATTATTCTTCAAAATTTTTAAATTACAAAATTTTATATTTTCAAGAATAAAAATCAATTTTTGAATGATTACAGATTTAAAATTTAAAGAATTCACTTATTAAGTACATAATATTAAATATTCTTGTTTATAATTACTCAAAAATTTGTAATAAAATTTGTCGCAAGAATTTTAATAAAATTTCTCGAAAGAATACAATTATTTATAAAAATATTAATTAAATTCGATTATTTTCAAGAATTTTGATAAATATTATTTTTAAAAAATCATTATTTTCAAAATTTTTAATAAAATTCCATTAAAGAATTCAAGTTCTTTAAAAAATTCAGATAAAATCCTTCTCAACAATTCAATTATTTTTATGAATTGTAAAATCCTTTGCAAGAATTTAATTATTTTCATAAATTTCAAAATTCTTTGCAAGAATTAAAATATTTTGATAAATAATAAAATTCTACAAAGAAATTCAATTATTTTCATAAATAATAAAATGTTTCGGAGAAATTCAATTATTTTCAATACAATTTTAATAAAATTTCTCGAAAGAATACAATTATTTTTAAAAATATTATTTAAATCCAATTATTTTCAAGAGTTTTAATAAAAATTCAATTATTTTCAACAATTCCTCGAAACAATTCAATTATTTTTATAAATTGTAAAATTCTTGACAAGAATTCAATTATTTTTCTAAAAAATAAAATTCTTCTTATAAATTCAATTATTATTTTCAATATAATTATAATTAAATCTCAAAAGTTTTTAATCAAAATTCTTTGTAAATTTCAATTATTTTCAAAATTTTCATTTAAAATTACTTTAAAAAATTACATTATATTTGACAAGTTTAATGAAATTCTTTAAAAAAAATGTAATTATTTACAAAAACTCTAATAAAATTGTTTATAAGAATTTAATTTTCTATGAATAATATTAATATAATTTAATAGGGAAATTGTTAACTACAATTAATTATAAACACGATTATTGAAATTATTATTATTATTATTATTATTATTGAAATTCAATTATTTTTAAAATTTTCAGTAAAAATTATTTTTAAAAAAACTTCAGTATTTTAAAGAATTTAAATAAAAATCTGTCTAAGAATTAAATTTTTTTTAATACAATTTTAAATGCATTTTCTCGAAAGAATTCAATTATTTGAAAAAATGTTGATAAAATTCTTAAAATGAATTCAATTATATTCAAATTTTTTTATTAATACTTTACAAGAATTCAATGATTTTCAGTACATTCAACATTTAATTATTTATGAAAAAAATTGAATTCTTGAATAGAATTTTATTAAAACTTTTATTAAAACTTTTTTAAATATGTAGGTAATTGAATTTTTGAAAAATTTATTATTTTTGCAAATAATTGAATTTTTGTAAAATAAAAAAAAATAATTGAATTTTTGTAAAATTTAAAAAAATAATTGAATTTTTGTAAAATTTAAAAAAATAATTGAAGTTTTGTAAAATTTTAAAAATTAATTTAATTTTTGAGAAGAATTTAATTAAAATTGTATATTTAATATAATTGAATTCCTGTGGAAAAAATTTATATTTATATTGATATTATTGAATTCTTTCGAAGAATTTAGATAAAAAAATGTTTAAAAATAATTTAATTTTCTCAAATTGGATTTTATTAAAAGTTTTTTAAATAATTGAACTCCTGTGAAAAATTCAATTATTTTTAAAAATAATTGAATTTTCGCGGAAAATTTTTACAAGGTTTTTAGAAATAAATTGAAATTTTCGAAGAAATTAATTAAAATTGTATTGAAAATAAGTGAAATCTTGAAAAGAATTTTTTTTCAGATTACTACTTATTCCCACAAGGACGACAATAATTTATGGTTGGTGAAGAAATTTGACACGGACGAGACTGCGGAAGTGCCAGTTTTAGTAAAACACGGCGATTTAATTCGACTTGAGCATGTTGTTACGAAACGCAATTTACACGCGCATGCAGAAATCGCTCCGGTTTCAAAAAAACACTATCAAGTCACCGGCTACGGAGAGGTTTGTATTTTAAAAAATTTTATTTTCAAATTGAAAAAATTTTTTTTCCATTTTTAAAAATTCTTTTTATAATCTATTACTTTTAATTTAAAATTTAAAATGTAAATTCTTAATTAATTTAATTAATTTTAATTAATTTAATTAATTTTAATTAATTTAATTAATTTTAATTAATTTAATTAATTTTAATTAATTTAATTAATTTTAATTAATTTAATTAATTTTAATTAATTTAATTAATTTTAATTAATTTTAATTAATTTTAATAAATTCAATTAATTTTTGTTGCAAAATAGCTTTTTGTTGTTATTTTCTAAAACAAGTATTCAATTTACTTTTGCAGAATGGAGTAGGAGACGCAAACGACGTGTGGAAAGTATTAATAATTAACGGAAAAGATGGAGACATTGTCGAAACGGTGACAAGTAAATTGAAATTTGTTCATTATTTGCAAAATTGTGCCTTGACGTGCAGTGGTAAAACTTTACCAAAATGGTAAATTTTTCAATAATTGAAAAGAAATTTAAAAAAAAAATTTTTTTTTCTATACAAAATTTTATTTTCTATTTTTAGGGCTTTTAGTCAACAAGAAGTATCCTGCAATCCTAATATGAGGGACAAAAATGCCCTCTGGAATATTGAGGATAATAATTTTTCAAAATGTAAGTATATTTATTCTTGAAGAAATAAAAAGAGAATAAGTGTTATTATCTAAAAAAAATTTTATAATCTTTATATTTTCTATTTAAAAATTGTTTTCCTTATGGCAGAAATATTTTCAGAGTAGAATTTTTATGAATTTGATTTTTATTAAATTTTTCCCCCCTCTTTATTTCAGTACCAAATGTGAGTTTTCAATTATATGCTCCTGGATTTTTCAAAAGATTTTTAGAATCTCACGCTGTGATGTTACAAGGAAATTCGGACCTGAAAGTAAAAGAGGGAGAAATTTCTTCTAAACCATGGCACTGGCCGATTAATTATAGGGTAAGAAAAAAAATACATAAAATTCAAAATACAAAAAATACAATTTTTCAGGTATTCTTCAATTATTTTTTTCTTTTTAGGGTCAATTTTTTTCGGGCAATGAGCAACGAATTTACCTGCTGGGTAATCCATTGATTTGGTGGGGAAATTTGGTGTTTTTGGTAATATTCATTATTCTCTATATTGATGCAGCAGTGAGGGAGAAACGAGGCCTTAAAGAAACTGTTGCATCGTTAAAGCAACGTGAAAAAATAATGAACGCTGGCGTATGGCTTTTCATTGGATGGTTCCTTCATTATGCGCCATTTTGGACAATGACAAGAATTTTATATTTTCATCATTATTTTCCGGCTTTAATTTTTAATTCCATGCTCACGGCCGTCACTCTCGATCATATTGCCGAAAGTATTTTAATTTATCTACCAAATCGATTTGGTAAAACTATTTATCACGTACTTGCCGCTACTTTCTTGTCAACTGTCTCCTACAGGTGAGAGAATTATTATCTAAACTTTTAATTGAAATTAATTTTTTAATCAATTTTTATTAGAAAATTCTACTAGAATTCAATTATTTAAATACAAATAAAATGCAAATAAATAATTTATGGAATAATTAAATGTTTCTTAAAATTCAACTCCCATAAAAAGAATGGTTATCAACAAATTTTCAAATAATTGAATTCTATCAACGAATTTTAAAAAAAATTTTTTAAAATAAATTCTATTTTTCTAGAAATTCGATTAAAATAGTATTAAAAATAAATAGAATAATTGAAATTCTGCGATGAGTTTTATTATTTGTAAAAATAATTGAATTTCTAAGAAAAATTTTATTACATTTGAACAATATTTAATTTTTGCAAAGAATTACACTCTTGAAAATAATTAAATTTCTGCAATAATTTGTAACTTTTACAAAATTGAATTTTTTTCCGTATTTTTAACTAAACATTTTCTATAAATCCATTATTTTTAATAATTTTTGAAAAAGTTCTTTAAGAATTTTGAAATTCATTTGTTTACAATTCAACTTTAAGAAAATTTTAATTATTTGTAAATTTTCCAATTAAATATATATATATTAGAAAATAAAAACTTTAAATAATTTCAAAAAAAAAAAAAATCCGCAATTAAAGTTTCTCAAAAAAAATATTAATTCCACATAATTTTTAGTTAAAAATATGAAAAATTCAAATTTTCAAAGATTTTAAACTGAAACCTTTTCAAAATTCATTATTTCTAAAAATTTACGCTCTAATGCTTTTAATATTAAATTATAATCTAAAATTTTAACTGGAATCCATTATTTTTAAATCAATGTTTATGAGAAATATCTACTAGAATTCAATTATTTAAATACAAAAATAACAATTTTTTGAATAATTGCGCATGTTTCTCAAAATTGAATTCGCACAAAGAATTTTATCAACAAATTTTGTAATAATTAAATTCTTTCAACGAATTTTAATAAAAATTTTTTAAAATAATTACATTTTTCGAGGAATTTGATTAAAATTGGTATTAAAAATAATTGAAATTCTGCAATAAGTTTTATTATTTATGACAAAAATTGAATTCCTATAAAAATAATTTTACAAAAATAATTGAATCTCCGTAAAAATTTTATTATTTATGAAAATAATTCAATTATTGCGAAGAAATTTATAAAAAAAAAATTGTAAGTATTGAAATTCCTGTGAAATTTTTATTATTTTTTAAAAGTAATTAAAACTTTGTAAAAAGAAAAGAATAAGAAAAATAAAAAAAAGAATAAGAATAGAATTAATTAGAAATAATAATAATAATAATAATAATAATAATAATAATAATAATAATAATAATAATAATAATAATAATAATATATATAATAATAATAAAATAATAAAAAAAAAAAAAAAAAAAATAAAAAAATAAAAAAAAAAATAAAAAATAAAAAAAAAAAATAAATAAATAAATAAATAATAAAATAATATATAATAATAATATTTATATATAATAATAATAATAATAATATTAATTAGAATTTTATTAATTTTTTTTTTAAATCACTGAATTCTTTTGGAAAATTTTATGAAATTTCTAATTTTTCTCAGAATTTTATTACAATTTTTTAAAATAATAAATTATTTTATTATTTTATTATTTATTCATTTAAGGAATTTTATTAAAATATTCAGAAATAATTCAATTCTTTCGAAAAATAAATATTATTATTAAAGGTTTTTGGACAATAATTAATTGCTGAAAAGATTTTATTATTTATGCAAAAAAATTGAATTTTTGTGATGAATTTTGTTAAATTTTTTAAAAAATAATTCATTTGTTTTGAAAAAGTTTATTAAAATATTTTAAAAAAATTAAATTTTATTTATAAAAATAATTTAATTCTTCCTAAGAATTTTGATATTTATGAAAATAATTGAATTTATTGTTTCGATTTAAATTTACTTGAAGTTAAAAAAAATAATTAAATTCTTGTAAACACCTAATTTTATCAAAATTTAAATTTTATTTTAAATAATTAAATTCTTGTCATGAATTTTATCAAAAATTTTTAAAAATAATTGAATTTTGTTGAGAAAAATTATATTAAAATTGTTTTTTAAATAATTTAATTCCTAAAAAGATTATATTACCGCTATTTATGAAAAAAAATTGAATTCTTGTGTTGAATTTTATTAAAATTTTTAAGAAACAATTGAATTCTTATGAGAAATTTTATTAAAATAATTGGATAATAATTGAATTCTTTTGGAAAATTTTATATAAAATGGTATAGGTATTCAAAATTATTGAATTAAGGAAAATTTTTGAATGTAGTTGAAATTTTGCTAAAAATTTTGGAAAATAATTGGATTTCAGAGAAGAATTTTATTACTTTTGAAAATAATTGAAATTTTGCCATAAATTTTATTAAAATTGTTGAAAATAATTGAATTTCTGCGAAGAATTTTATTATTTTTGAAAATAATTGAATTTCTGCAATCATTGGTATTTTCTCTAAAATTATCCAAATTATATCGTACAATTTACGAACTTTTCATTCTTTTTTCAATTAAATTACGGACTTTAGGGGCATTTAAAAAAAAAAACGGACTTTTACGGACTTGAAGCAAAGTTACGGACTTTTATGGAATTTACGGACCTAGTTCGAGTCCTGCTTTTAATTTTAATATGTACATTGAAAATTGAATTTAAAAAAATTTATTTACAGTTTTATGTAAATTTTTTATAAAAATCAATTTTAAAATTTCAGTTTCTATTTATTCTCGCCGCTAGCTTACGGAATGGAGGGACCATCATCGGGAGATTCGAAAAGTTCAATGCATTTCTTGCGATGGATGGATACCTGGGAATTTTAATTTATATTATTAAGAAACAACAGTCTGATGAGTATATTACTCAAATTGATGATTATTTTACACTTAAGAACGTACTTTTTCTAAAAAGAAGGTATTTTTAAAATGAATTTAGAAAAAAAATTTTTATTGCAATTTGTTACACATTTTCTACATAATTTTATATTTTTATCCAAACTATTTTTTATACATTTCTACGACGTTTCATATTTTATGAAATATTAATATTTCATATTTTTAGTATTTTAAATACTTAGTGTTGCAATATTTTAAAGGCAATTTTTTTTAAAGTACCTTAGATTTTATACTACAGATACTTTTTAATATCTTTCGTATTTTGTGAAAGTATTATCTATTTTGAGATTATTTTTTTGTACTTTTAATATTTTTTTTTTAAATGAATGTCGAAAAAAGTGTTGTACAAAATATTGAAGAATTCTTGACCAGTGATGTATAATGTTGTAGTTTTAAGGAAAAGATGATATTTTTATGAAATTATTTTTGTTATAAGAGTAATAAAATCAAATTTAGAATAAAAGTTATATTTTCTTTTATTGAAATATAAATAAATCTTTCTGAGACTCAACATAATTTATTATTTACACTAAATAAGTGACCTGCTTCACAAGGAATCACTATAGTAAAATCATTCTGCGAGATGAATGCGGACGCAATAAATAAATTGAATACGAACAAGCACAATGAACTCGACTATTTCGTCGAGATTGAAATATCCGGTTGGCGCAAAGTAAGAACGGCGAGAGAGATGCACGTCGTCAGTTTCCAAGCCGACAAAGTTTGTCGAACGTTATAAAGAAGATAAGAAAAATGTGTTTGAAAAAAATTGTGGCGGTGAAGAAATTTCTTTTTTCTACAAACTATCAATATAACAACAATTATCGTCGTAGTATATAATTTTTGTTATCTTATCCGCAGAGCCGCCACCAACATGACATTGAATGAAAAGAGGAGTTAGACGATCAATAAAATATCAGTTGTTGGCTATTCCACTGACAGACACGTGGTACGTAGACTATATTTTTTCCCATATATTCACCAGTCTCCCACTGACACTGAACTCATGACTTTGAAATTGTAAGTAGATTTTCACGATTTACTTTTATATACCTACATACTTACCAATTATAAGAATATATTTCTTTTCTAATCGTTAGTATAATTATTTCCTGTTTCTTGTTTTTTTACAATAACGTTTATGTCTATATGTTATAAATAACAGGATATATTTAATTGTTGTAATTATAGTATTTCCGTCAATTCTATTATTCACAAAAATTTATTTATTCCGTTTCGTTTTCATTTACAATTTTACAAATAAAACCAAGATTTAAAAATTTTTTCCAATATCTTTTTTAATCGCTTCGCAAAGAGAATTTTCGTGGATTTATTAATTTTTTTTATTATTTTATTTATAAATATAACAATAAGAAAGTAGTTAATAATTTTATTATAAATTTTTTTCCAAAGGTTTGAATATTAAAGATGATAACTAATTAATAGATCTTTGTTTCCTTTTTTTTAATGGTCCCTTATTTTTCTACTATATGTACTTTTATCTATATGTTCTTTGCTTTATTCGTAAGATTATAAAATTAAAAAATTAAAAGATTACATCAAAAAACATTGTGTGACTTTAATAGTAATTCAAAAGTTCTAGTCCACACTAAAATGTTTTTATTTCTAAAAAGGGTTTATTTTAACAAAAAAGTTGAACACAAGTATACTGATCAGTAAATTTTCAAATTGATTGATTTTTATATTTTTATTTCTACTTTGTACTCGTCTTGTTGACCTACATATTATTTTCAAGTGTTGTGGAAATTATGATTAACTTAAATTATTAAGGGGGAGTCCTACTTTATGCCTAACATATCGCTATGTTAGGCCTCCCAACGTAGGATCACCTTTTCTTAAAGGATTCTTTTTTAAAATAATGTTTTAAAAATGGAACAAATAAATTACACACCTTCGGGATTTTTGGAATATTTTTCTATTTATTTAAAGTGTTCGTAACAATTTTTTTGACCTAAAATATTAAAAAGCACCTAACTAATGACTTCAGCGTCCTTGAGGACCTCTACGATGAAAGTCTTCTTATTGGAGTCCACTCCGATTTTAATCGGAAGATCTCTTCTTAATTTTTCTGAATATAAAAAAAGAGTTGGTTTTTGATGTGTTAGTAGGATCAATAATAACTAAATGGAATTTGATGTCAGTACATCTAATATAATTTCTAAAAATGGAAAATTAAGATCTTTTTTGTTCTGTTTGCAGATCGAGGGACTAAAGAGCCTGTTATGTGGCTCCAATTGGAAGCAATAATATGCAGAAAGGAGAGATAGTACTATTAATATGGGGCTTAATTCATTCGGGCTATTGCGGAAAAACAACAAAAATCGCTCAAAGACCATCAAATATTCTCCTTGATTTCAATGCATATCGACACATCTCAATCCTTCATTTTGTTGTACCGGAAAATTCCGCATCGGCAAGTTTTAAGTAAGACTTTCCCTAAGGATTTGTATTTTTAATTTTTTATGTTTTATATCTAGAAACTAATTAACCATCTACTGTAGAATGTTGACCTGTTTCTACTGAGAAATCTGCCCTATAAGATGTTGTCCTGAATGTAAAGGATAATCCCTTAGAATATTAGGCTGATGTATAGAGAACCACTTTTTAAAGATATTAAAATTTTAGAATTAATATGTTAATAACAATTATTTGATGACGTGCATAACATTATTCAGAAATTAAGATACCCATCGGCTCTATCAGGAATGTTCGCAGACACCCAATTAATTAAAAAATATATTTCTTTTCTAAATCTAGATTCGTGGCAAAGGAGGAAAAACTTAGTGGAGTCGGAAGTTGTACACCACGTGATGTCTCCGTATTTTTGAAATATGGCACAATTCCTTTCGTTCAGCCAGACGGTGCAAAAATTAAAGTAAAAGTTTTAAAAGACAGACGTCGTCATTATAGTTTGAAAATTATCAGCAATGGCGATGAGCATCTCACCAGAATTGATGCTCCTCCACCTGGAGACTGGTACGCAATTGCTTTTCGATCCTGGTCCGACCCGGACAATGGAAAAATCACTCAAGCCGGTAAGTAAAAAATTACTCCGTTTAATCAACAACTACTATATGTAAATACTTCTTTTGGATATTAAAAATTACTCCGTTTAATCAACAACTACTATGCAAATACTTCTTTTGGATATTCCTCCAGGAATCGGTGTCGTCTGTGATACGACCCTCGATGCCGATTTATCCATCGAAGTTCCCGATGTAACATTAATGTCCAACGATGAAACAGATATTTCCATTCAACTTACAAAGAAAAATGACACGGCAATCATTCAGTTTCCCATTTTTCACGAATCGGAAAAAATGCTTCTTAACTTCTCCTCAACTTGTGGAACGGATTGCCTACTTATAGCTCAAGTAACTGCCAGGTAGGTTCCTTCTCCCCTTTCTTTTCATTTTCATTCACCCTTTAAATGATCATTGACAGGAAACAGTTGGCAAGTGTCGTTACCAATAATTCTGTGACTAGTCTGCAATTCCGTGCATACGATAAGAATCTCCACTATACGACATTTCGCCTCTTTAGAGGAAATCTGACAAACATTACCCTGAGCTTATCAGAGGATGTGTCAAAGTTGCAAAATATAAGTTACGTTAAATTGGTGAGGAAATCATTACCGGATTTTTTCCTCTTCGACTATGAACATTTGAACGAAAACAATAAGGCCTCACCTCTCAATCTCACAACAGGAGTATTGTCGATCTTTAAATTTAACGTCGATCCGATTTACGATATCGGCGGCACTTTGACAGTAGGCCTTAAAGTCGCTGACAGTGAATCGAAAAAGAAGAAGAATATTTTGCTCATTGGCTGCGTTTCTCTAGGTAATTTTACTATTAGCAGAGAATTAATATTTAAGATTATGGAATTTTTCGCTATTTAATTGGAGAAATTTTCTCTTTCTGTTACATCTAGGTTTTTACTCGGACATCACTTCGATTGGGAGTTGTGTGCGAGAGGAAAGAACAACACCTCCAGATATCGTTGGAAATGAAACTAGTCCATCCTTTATTCACGTGCCTTATCCTGAGCCAGGAATTTGGTACTTGACAGTAAAAGCATTTAAGTCTGATGAGAATTGTCTTTGTGCCAAAAATTGCACCCAAATTGGGTGCGATGAATGCGATTGTATTCGAGAAATTGATTTGCGTATTGAGAGCAGTATTTCATCATCGTCCTGTGTCGAAGGATCGTGTAATGAAAGGTTTGTCCCTTTCTTTATAAGTAACTAAATCCGTTTAACATTGTCTTGAGTCCATTTCCTGAGTTCTCCAGGGAAAATACAATTTAAATAAATAATTATTTTTCAGAGGGAGATGTGTACAATACATGAGTGGCGGATTTGTCTTCTCCGCGTGTCACTGCTTCGCCGGCTATCGTGGTTACGATTGTGACGACGACACCTACGTCCTGGACAACAATGGAATCCTATTACGGGTCCTAACTCTAACCTTAAGTAATCTAGCGTTTCTAGGCTCAATATATATCGCAATACGTCGAAAATATTACACCGAAGCCGTAGTCTACACGGGAGTATTAATCTTCTCCAGTTTCTATCATGCCTGCGAAGCTGGCGAGAACCTTTACACTTTTTGTTTAATGCGTCTAAGTGTTTTGCAATTTTGTGATTTCTTCAATGCCCTCCTTTCAATTTGGGTAACATTAATTGCAATGGCCTCGCTCGGTCCTAGATTGACTAATTTCTGTCAAATGTCCGGCGCAATTGTTCTTGCAATTTGCGCAGAACTTGATCGCACTGCTCTTTGGGTTTTTCTATTACCGGCCATTACCGGTTGTACACTAGTCATCATCACTTGGATTCGAAGATGTCGTAGAAAAAATACATTTAAATATCCAGCACGACCTTATGGTACCATTCATTTGGGAATTGGTCTTTTGTTAGTTATTTTAGGACTTGTTTGTTATGCATTTTTACAGACGCGTAAGAATTATTTTATTGTTCATAGCTTTTGGCATGTGTGTGTCGCTGTTGGTGTAATGCTATTACTGCCAAAGAGAAAGTATATGCAATAGAGAAGGGAACGTTTGAGTGAAAGATGTAAAATTTTTGATGATAATGAAAAGTACAATATTTGTGATAATGTTGAGTATTTAGTGTGTAATGTATTATTAATGCGTTCCTTAGCGCACATATGGTGTGTTACAGAGTTTCTAATTGTACAGAAAATTGTAGATATGTACAGAAAATAATGGGAGAGAGTTGTGTATAAAAAATATCGGAAAGAATTCGTTTATTTTCGTCAAAAAAAAGAAGGATACTTTGTTATAATAGCGATGGAATATATCGATGTTGAAATATATATTAACAAAGAATTTATTGTCTTTGCAACTATAACCTAGGAATCCCATTCGCATCAATACTCATCGCTTTCATCTGTCTAATATTAACTTTGACCCCTATTCTTGCAGCCAGTACCTCTTTTCTTCCGTCACTTAATCCTTCATTTATACCTCTAACCACTATATTCCTTTACCTTTTCCATCAATTCCACTCTTTATTAATTTTTATCATCAATTAGGGTAATCTAGAAAATAAAAACTTTAATTTCGTTCCTTAAAAGTATGCTTTAGTTGTATTTCAAGAATTTACAGCAGTTACAAGTCAAAAAGGAACCTGTCTTAAAAACAACCCCTTATTACACAAATTCAACACTTTTAGAAAAATTCAACTGTTCTCACTTGATCGAAGACTTTAAATCTTCGATCAAGTGCGAACCCTTCCCATTCTACAAAATTTATTTTTGACAAACCTTACATACTGGATATGGACGGTACTAAACTTTTATGTAAATTTCAACCATATTTAACCACATGTATATTTAATATTTAATATTTATGTTTATAAAATGGATGAATCTTTACAAATATACTTAAATATAAAATACATAATGGAAATTATCAGTGAACGTCAGACGTTGTGGAGGCTTTGGTTTTTGCCGTCGAAGCATCAGCGGATGTCATGGCGGACATAACGTGAGAAGCGAGGGAGAAAATTGTTTCCAGTGAGAAGCCACATTGCGGATAGGCGCGAGAACAATTTTCACCTGATCGACCCGAATCAACGGCTTCCTGAATGGCGGTTCCCTGAAGTGCTGTTCTTAAAATTTGATTTGTCGACAGTCCATCGACCATTCGATCCAATGAAGAAACTTCCTCCTGGGTGTCGTTTGTTTCAATTGCAGCCTCACGAACAGCAACAGCTGCACGTTTTGAATAGGAGCAAACCATTCTCTGCATACAGGAAGTCGTGTCAATTCCATGGCGGGCGAGTGCGTCGTCTAATTTTGTCATCATTTGCATTACACCTCCGTCGTCGCCTATAATTATGGGGGGAATTAGAAAAATTAGTTTTTAATCATTATTTAAACTTTAATTGGAATTGTTTATCAGGTGGTGCATTTGAATAGTCATAAACTTGTAATTTTACAAGTGAGAGTGTGATAGGAAAAACTAACAAAATTCTGGATGAACCTAATCGAAGAAGTGATCCTAGGCTTTGGCTTTTGAAATTATTTTCTAAGAAATTAGTTTTCAGGGCAGAAAAAACACCGCGGGTCTGGACAATCCGAAGTGGGTCCAAAAGATCATAAGTTTTTTTGAACTGGCAGAATATTTGAAAATAAGTACTTTAACTTACTTCTTGCGTAAGTTCCATAGCTTCCTGAAACGATGTACAATAATTTTGGAATTACAAGAACGGTTCCAATTCCAATAACAGCTCCCAGCAAAAGTCCCCCTAAGTCGATTTTCGCTGGTGCATACGAGCCAACACCGTAACCCTGTGAAATTTTCAAGTTTTATATTTAAAAATTACTTGTTTCCTTAACATTCTATCAATTCTACAATTCGAGTGTTTTATTATTTGTTAAAAGGAATAAAAATTAATTCTTTCAAAATTACTTTTTTTTTCTTAAAACTCTTTCGTGTCTCTGGGACACTTACGTGTCCCACTTTGAAAAGTTTATGTTATTCTTATAAAAGTCAACCAATTAATTTGGGGTAAATTTCTTTCTATTCCGAATGGTCATCGCTGCTACAATTAAAAAAAATAATGAATTACGTAGTACGATTATAATTATTATAAACAATAGGTAAAATATTTATAAGAATAATAGCGAAACCTAATTTTCAGGATTTCCTTAAATTCGATTAAAACTTCTTACTCAGGGGTTTTCGAGGTCACTGATTACGAATCTAAAGTCAGATTTTAAAAATTCAAAATGGTGGACATTTCAAATCACTTGAAACTTGTTATTCAGGGGTTTTCGGGGTTTCAATTTTGAATTTTTTAAATCTGACTTAAGATTCGTAATCAGTGACCCCGATAACCCCTGAGTATCAATTTTTATGTAAATTTGAGCAATTTTGAAAAAATGGCCGCCATATTGGATCCGCCATTTTGAATTTTGAAAATCTGACTTTAGATTCGTAATCAGTGACCCCAAAAACCCCTGAGTAATATAAGTTTCAACAAAATCCAATCGCTGGGTTTCTCGGGGCCACGAAAGGGTTTTAATATTTAAACAGCATAAAATTAAGTTATTTACAATTTAAAAAAATTGCGTCTTCTCCATTAAAAAGGAAAAATTTTGTACTTACGGTTCCGGTGCCTCCAAGATTAGTGAAACCAAATCGCGGCTCCTGATTCCGATCAGAAATTTCATTTGCCTGCGAGGGTGTTAGTTTTGTGGTTGAATCTTTGGCTTCACTCGAAAGTTCACTCGATCTTTGCGAAGGAAGTGCCAATTGATCTCGAGACTTTGGAGAACCTTTTGTTAAATAGTCCACTGAACTTGGAATAAATCTAATAATAAAAGTAAAAATCTGATAAATAAAAATTTTATTAAAAAAAAATTATAAAAAATTTTAAAAAGAAATCTTTTTTAATTTTATGCATTACCCATTGAGTTCAAATTTCGGAATGCAAAGAACAATTCCAAAATTTAATATAACTATCGCAGCGAAAATTTTGAAGTTGACTCGAACCATCTGTAATGAAAATTTTTTTTTGTAATATAAAAATATACTTTTTAAAAAAAGGGTTATTACCCAAAAAAAGTTGAAAAAAATATTAATATAAAAATATGAACACGAGAAAAGTATAAAAAATTAATAACATAAAAATATGAATAATTTGTGAAATTCGAAACACATAATATTAGAAATTTTAAACAGTAAAATATTATACACTTTATTTCTAAAAATAATGAAGAAGATAAAATTAATAAATTTATAAAATAATAATGATAATAATATTAATAATACTATAAATTATAAACAAAAATTCTATACTATAAATGTAAATTGTAAAATGTGTAAAAAATAAGTTTACAATTTATTTATTTCAATTTACAAATTTTGTTTAAGTGGATACATTAATAAAATAAATTGATAAATTTGAATTTTTTTAAACAAAAAACAAAATTTCATAAACAAAAATTAAAATTTCATAAACAAGATTCAAAATTTGGTAAACAGAAAAATTTAAATTTTATAAACAAATAGAAATAGAAAGTTTAATATTTTTATAAACAAAAATAATAAAAACCTTGTGTTTTTAATTCCCAAAGAATATACGAAGTCTTCTTCTTCTCTTTTTTTTCTTATGTGTGAAAATATATAAATTTGAAAATCTTCTTGAAGAACACTTTTCTTTTCAACGACTGAGAGATTTAGAAAAAATTCCAGAAATTTATAGTAATGCACGAAGCTTTTGGTCATTATCCGAAACAATTGGACATAGGGGAAATAATTGTCCCTCCGGTTTCTCTTTCATTGTCAGATTTCAAAGAGAGGATGTCCACAATGCGTAACTTCTTCTCCCGCCAAAGGGGGAAATATTAAAAAAAAAGAGAGACAATTCTTTCAGAAAATAATAAGTAAATGAAGAGACAAAAGTGAAAGAGTGAGAGAGAAAGAAAGACACACACTCACGAGGAATTTTTTGTCTCCAAGCTGAAATAATTCCTCTTTTGCAACAGCTATTACTTACTTTTACAAACTCTCGCTCAATTTCTAATTTTGCCTTTGTCTTATTTTATTATTATTATTATTTTTTTAATAATATTTTTATTCTTCCGAAAAAAAGAATGCATTTTTATATTTATAAGTGTCTCAAGAAAATAATTTGACGTTGCGTATACTGCATGAAAATTATCCAAATATTTAGTTTCTTTTGTAAGCGACCAAAAAATGAAAAAAATTACGCATCGATGATTTCTTCTTTTACGAATGTTATCACTTTTGTTTTCTAATTTCTTTAATTATCGAGTCACACTCCGAGGTAAACAAAATAAAAAAAAAAATTATGATCGTAATTATTTTATTTTTCAAAAATTTTAAGACAATAGTGGCGTCAAATTTTCTTGCCAGCCAATTTTTATTTTTTATTTCTAGTGTCGTATTTTTGATTTCAAAATAATTTTTAACTATATCTTGTAATTTATAACTAATAAAAATGATGAAAATTAAAATTCCGATATTTAAATTTTTATGAACTGAAACAATATTTAAATTTTAATAATAAATGAAAGTTTTAGTATTTTAAGAAATTTAAATATCTTATAAAATTCAAATTTTAATATCATAGTTTGAATTAATTAATTTACCTAATTAGAAAATTAATAACATTTTTATTATTTTTATTTTTAAACATTAAGATTTTAATATTTTATAAATCTAGAAAAATAAATTTTTTTTAATTTTCCCGGAATTTTATATTTTTTATATTTTTTTGAGTCCCAGCAGAGTTAGTCTTCCATTAATTATTCATAGTTTTAATTTATTTTCAATTAACATTTTTATATTTTAAAACTTACATAAATTAAAATTTTAATGTTTTAAAAACTTAAATAAATTTAAAAGACTTTTATATTTTTAAACTTTAATAATTTAAATTAATGTTTTAAAACCTTAAATAAATTAAAACTTTTATATTTTTAAACTTTAATAAATTAAATTTTTTATATTTTTAAAACTTCAGTGAATTACAATTTTTATATTTTAAACAATTTTCGTATCTTTTTATTTATGAAAAATCTTAAATAAATTCACTTTATCTTAATAAAGTTATAAGTTATAAAGTTATAAGTTTATTTTAATTAAAATTTTTCCAAATATTAAAATTTTAGTAAACTGCAAATTCTTAGAAGTAATTAAATTTTAAAAATATATCATTTTTCAACTTTAAGTGTTTTGTTTAATAATATTAATAATATTTGTATAAATAAAAGAAATAAATAAAGTCAGCAAAGTAATAAATAAAATAAATATTCATACACAATAATAAATAAATGAAATAATTAAAAATCAAAGTAATATATTTAAAATAATTGAAAAAATTTGTATGTTTGTGTTTAAAATATTTAGAAAAAAATACATTTTTACATAATAAATTTATTATTATTATTAATTATGCAAAAAAAAAAAAAAATAAAAAAAGTAGGAAAATTGTGATGCGCAAATATAAAACAGAAAGTTAATCATTATTTTTTTTTTAATTTAAAAAAGAAATATTATTATTCGTTCTGGCATGTTACTCTAGAAAATTTTTTTAAAGGAAAGTGATTATTTCTCTTCCGGAAAAGGATAATAAATGAACTTCGTGAAATGCGTTTATAATTGGTCGGTGTTAATTTGAACATCCGCATTCAAGGATCGTAAAGTTTTTTTTTTTTTTGCAAAACAAATACATAATTATTTTCACACGACAATTTTTCCTCTTTGCAATTTTTTTTGCACTAAGAGTGGGCAGTGGGTACATACATATAGGAACCTCCAGGAATTTCCTGGTTCATAAAAAAACTTGACGGATTATTGTGCACTTCGATTCTGATTTAATAATATTGCAAATTTTAAGAGTGAGTGTCAGAAAAAAAGTGTTTAAAAAGTAAAATAATAAATAAATTTTTCAACTAAATTTTGATTCGAATTTCTATCCTTTTAAAATTGTAAAATACAAATTTTTAAAATAAAAAAAAAAAATTTGAAAATATAAATAGAATATTAAAAGGGAATAGAAAATTTTAATTATAAAAATATCGAACATGAAAATTTGTATTAAAATTTATAAATAATATAATTTATTTAAAACAGCAGCCGTATGCCAGAGGCCTGAAGTCTCTTCTAGGTCATTCTTTAAAATTTATTTAAAAGAGCATAAAATTATTATTTTTGCAGATTTTAAAAATGGGAAAATCACAGAAACATGTGATTTTCATTTTGCTTTTTTATTTTCTCGAGCCATTTGATATTTTCAAAAGTGGAAATTTCATAAATTCAGTTTCCGGATTGAGTCAAAAACTTGGACGTTTCATTTCTTTCGATTCAAACGACGGTAAAATTGAAGTAAGTTTATACAAGAAATTTTTAACAACTTCCGTTATAATTCTTCTGGTTATATAAATAAAAATATATTCCTCTTTCTCTAATTCAAATTTTTTTTTTAGAATAACCTCTTTTTATATTTAATATAATTTTTTAATACAGAAACCAATTTGAGTTTTAAATTATAATTTATTTAGATAAACCCTGTACGTGATATAATTCCTGAATATTTCAGAAATATTTTACTGAAAGTTTTAAAATAATTCAATGTGAAGTCTTTGAAAGTTTTGCGCAATTAGCGTTCTTAAAAACCCTGAATGACGATTTTTAACTGAATCTAACGATTTTTAAGATATTTGTCCGCCATATTGGATCCGCCATTTTGAATTTTGCAAATTGGACTTCATATTCGTAATCGGCGTCCACGAAAACCCCCGAGTAATGAGTTTCAAGCGAATCCGCTGAATTTTTAAAAAATCTTCCGCCATATTGGATCCGTCATTTTGAATTTTGAAAATCGAGCATCATATTCACAATTTTCGACCCCAAAAACTTCTGAATAGCAATATTGCAAAGACTTTGCATTAGCATTTCAAATCTTTTAGTGAAACATTGAGGAAATATTATATATATATATGCTGTATAGAGGGAATATTTATTGAAACAATAATTAGAAAATAGAGTAGTAAATTTTATATTTTCTTTATCTAAATACAAAGTAAAATTAAAAAATTGGAATTAAAATCTTTTTCTTATCCTCATTTAGGTTGAATTAGATTTGGCAGTTCCATTTGTATCAATCCCGTTTAATACTAAAAAAGAAAAAAGTGGATTGCCAACACCTTTGTTGACGGTCAATACACAGGGAATTGTTGTTATGGGAATTTTAGTAGCCACAAGTGCTTTCATTGTGCCACTATTCTTTAAACCCATTTCGACACCAAATACACCGGGACAACGATTTCGTAAGTTTTTTTCATTATTTCCTTTCTTTAAGGAAACTATAATATACAAATTTGACAAATTGCTCTAACATAATTTAAGAAATTATACTGCTTTAACTTTTTACAGTATTTGACTTTGTACGCTAAATAAAAATTCTATTTTTAGTGTTGAAAATAATGTCTGTGATGAATATAAGAGATGAAATTATTTTTGCTTTTGTTTCCGAGAATTTAGAACAATTTATTTTTGTGTATTCTTATAGGAATGGAAGAAGATGCCCAGTGGACATTGGGAAATAGGGTTAATGAGGTTTTGTTAAATAACGGACTTGTAACTCCCTGTTTGCAACGGATATTGTGCTCAATGGTGACGACAGTGAAAAACACGGATCATCCGACAAGTACGGACAAAATTATCGATGGTGTCGTCAGGTATTTATTTTATTGAATCTTCTTGTTTTTAATATATTTTTATGGTTAATTTTTTACCACCAGAAGTTAATTAATTTCTTTACTTAATCCTCTTGGAATGGTATCGCGGAAGGTTCCTTCTGGAGATCTCCAAAAATTTCCATTTTGGGGTACTTCGCTAACATAGTTTAGGTTTTCAAAAAAGATACCGTAATTGTAGTAACTGATTTTGATAAACTTTGGATTTTCGTAAACCTGCTTCATGTCATCAAAAGCCTTAATTAATTAATAAGTTAATTGTTCTAATTAATTATTCTATTCTGGAGGAAGCAAAAGATTTGCATAAACCTGTTTCATGTTCGCAAAAGCTTTAGCTAGGGAAAGAGCCAGATTCCAGAATAATCGCTGGATTTTCATAAACCTGCTTCATGTCATCAAAAGCCTTAGTCTTGATAATTGTCCTATTCCAGAGGAAATAAAAGATTTAGATAAATTTGCTTGAAGTTAGCTTTTGCCTAGAGGAAGGAACCGTTCTGAATTAATCACTGGACTTCCATAAATCTGCTTTATATCATCAAAAGCCTTTACCTAGATAAAGTGTTTAATTCCGGAGAGAATACAGGATTTCTATAGACAAGCGTCATGTCATCAAAAGCCTTTGCCTAGATAAAGTGTCGACTTTCGGAGTAATCTCTAGAACTGCGTAAACCAGCTTCATGTCATCAAAAACCTTAGTCTAGATAACTGTCCTATTCCGGTAGAATCAAAAGATTTAGATAAACCTGCTTCAAGTCATCAATATAGCTTTTGCCTAGAGAAAGGGGCCGTTCCGAAATAATCACTGGAATTCCATAAACCTTTTTTGTCATCAAAAGCCTTATCCTAGATAAAATCTTTAATTCCGTAAAGAATACAGGATTTCTATAAACATGCTTCATGTCATCAAAAGCCTTACCCTAAGTAAAATGTCTAATTCTAAAATGAAGGCTTTACCTCTTTGATAAAAAGTATAAGAATAATATTCCTACCAGGGAGGATTAGCATCCATTCCAGTTGAACCATTATTTTCCATCCCTCTGGAAGTATGCAAACTTTTTCCAAATCGGAGACTATGTGTCAAACTCCGATTTGGTAAAAGATAGATTTACCTTTCAAAGATCAACTTCCATCTTAATAATCGTATGCAATTTCAATAATATTGATAAATTCCTAATTAGAAATTACACAAAAATGTAATTAACTATATTTGCTTAATAAAAATTGAAAATAAAAAAATAATCTCTACCTTTGCAGTCACACTTGGTTCGAGCAATTTGTTAATGGAAGTGTGCTAATGGATGCGATTACAACAGGTCAAGGATCACAAAAAGATTGTGATGCAGCATATAAATCGTGTCCTGTCTCGCAACAAATGATTGCCAATTCATTAAGACTGTTAAGTTTTCTTTAGATTTATTAGAACATTTTATTTTTGTACAACCTTCGCATATGTTACATAGTCAATAATAATAATAATAATAATATTTTTGTACTTTACATGTGCTTGTTCGATTATTTACAATTATTCACCACCTTTTTGTTTTTTTAAATTAATTTTTACATTTCAGTAATGTACGCACTGTTTGGTAGTTATTCATCCACAAGGTAATATACTCAATAACGAATGTTAATTCGTTAATAAATTATTTCATTGGAAAATTTTAACAATTGATCATTTCTTGTTATAACAATTATATTACATGCTTCAACTTTGGAATGTTCGTTTTTATTCTCGACATTTAATAAAGTTTTCAGTTGTCTTATAAGTCATTAGAAGTGATAATCATCAACAAATTTGTAAAAATTTTAATATAAATAACATAAATATGAGATTTTAATTCCCTTAAAAACAATTTAAGTTTCTATAGATTAAATATTATTAAGTTTTTAGATTACCATTATTGGAAATACTGGATTCTGACATTAATTTTAATGAGTCGAGAGCTTTTGTTAATTTTGCGATGTCAGCAGGAGTTTGTCCCATGACGTCCTTTTTTGTTGCATCGACTTGAGTTTTAATTAGAAATTGAATGCAAGCTTTTTGATTGTGTAATACTGCAAGATGTAAAGCTGTTCGTCCTGAAATATCACCTTCTGAGAGATTTGCACCGGCCAATTGGTACGATATTAAACGGGTGATATTTCCACCTGCCGCGGCTGTGCACAATTTTTCACCGAGAACTTTTGGTCGCTCGTGAAGGTGCGCTCCACATTGACGTAATAGTCGAATTAACTGCATTCAATAATTAGATAATTAATTATTAATAAAATAATTGTATCAATCTCCTGTTCTAATATAATTTACCTAGATCCGACAAGGGTCCTGAAGATTAATCAAAAAATCATATGCCATCAGGACCCTTACTGGATCTGGGTAAATTATCTTAACCCTGCTGAAAGTAAAGAAGGAATTAAATTACAAACTAGTTATGATCTAAAGAACTGAAATTCACCCAAAAATTTGATGACCTATCTAAGGAGTAAGAACTTAGGGCCATCTAGAAGGGTTTGATTACGGAAAACACATTTTAGGATGATGGTCAGAAAAATGTGGAAATCTTAAGAAACGCCGTATGTAACTTCCTTACTTTCAGCAGGTTTGTCACCTTCGGGATATTATGTTAAAAAGCATCATGAAATACCTCGTGATGATCGTATTCAATGGCATCAATTAGTGGAGTTCGATTGAATCGATCTTTCGCATGAACGATTGCTCCCATTTGCAGAAGACGACGCACGACCTGAACGTCACCTTCACAACAAGCGATATGCAGTGCCGTTCGACCATCGGCGTTCATCTGGGAAATATCAGCTCCCTAAAAATGCCACAAGTATTTAGATGATACCTAGACTAATGTCTAATCCTAGACTTAATAGTCGTCGCACCTAAATCTATATATTTAGGTGATTCTAATTCAGGCAAACTTTCCACTCAAAAAACAAATTAAGGTGTAAAAATTTCTTGATAGTTTGAAGCAAATCGAACACTATTACTATTAAATAAAAGTTATCAAACTAACGTATTCTTTCAAGGATTCCAATTTGACGAGATCACGAGCAACCACCGCAGCAGACAACATGGCCGGAAACAAAATGTTAACCAGTTGGGTCCTCTCCTTCGGTGAACTTGCATTCAGAGAATGAGCCACAGCTTCAATAAGATCAGGATCATGTTTTTTCGGTGGTCTACCACCAGTTAATTCACCTCGTAAATTTGTCTGCATCATTATTCTTTTCATTTCCGTATCCCATTCTTTTTTTGACAGTACATAGGACAACTTAGTTAAAGCCGCTTCTGGTGTCATATCGTAGCCGGAAATCACTCCTTAAATAATAATTTAATGTAGGAGACAAAACAGTAGGAGTAGAATTAGCGAAATAGAAACGGAATGAATAAAACGAAAAAAAGGAAACAAAGGCAACAGAAAGGAACAAGAAATAGAAGAAGCAATTTATTACCAGCATCGACTAGTATTTGTCCAGCCTCGTAGATATTGTCGACACTGCCAGTGGCACACTGCGTGATATTAACTATAATAACACCACGCGTTGTCGCCTCCTTAATTGCCGTTACAATATCTTGCCGATTACTTGGAATATTTCCAGCTCCGTAACTTTGCAAAACAACTCCCTCGGTCGGGGGTCGAAGAAATGCTTTCACCAATTCACCAGTAATACTTGGAAATAATCTCAACAATCCCACATTTTGACTCAATGTTGTGTGTACGTGAAACTTTTCCAAAGCACCAGAGCGAAAAATAGATGGATAATCCACTACAATGATTAAAAAAAAAGTAATTACTCTTTATAATTACCGCGTTTGTAAAGAGTGTGAAAATTTATTTTCTAAAAACAAATTTAACTTTTATTTCTAAACTAAAGACAGCAACTCCAATTATACTAAATTTAGAAATACAAATACCATTGTTAACAAAAATTTGTAAAGAATATTGTTTTTCACAAATTAAAATTTAAAAATAATATAAGTATACCTTCCACTCGGATACCAGTGACGGCGAGAGGTGGAGAATTCAGCGAATTGAATGCATCAAAGGCTTGAGTTGATAATTTGCTTGTACGATTACCGCGCAAGAGTCGCGTGCCAAAGAAAATACAAACCTCAGGAATATTATAATTTGCCGCAATCACGAGGGACGAGAGAAAATTATCAAGTCCATCGCTTCGAGAATCAAAAATTGGAAGTTGTGATCCAGTTATAACAATTACCTTTCCCAGAGCTTCCAGCATAAACGATAGAGCCGATGCTGTGTAACTCATTGTGTCGGTTCCATGAAGGACCACAAAACCATCGTAAAATTCATAATATTCCTTAAATCAAAAATATTCCACATTTATGAAAATGTTTCAAGGTAAAAGTTAAATTTTTAATTTTCCAAATGGTTCGAAAAATAAAGACTCATCAATTTTGACGATGAAGGAAAGTAAATTTAAACCAATTATTTAAAAAAGTGAAGAAATATGGATCTATTTGACTGTATGAACTTTTAAATTATAAGAAAAAACATTTTTACGATTTGATTTATTGAAATTTAATAAGTCACGTACTTTAATGTCCTTGGCGATACGAATCCAATCGTCCATTGTCATATCACTAGAGTCGCAGAGAGGCGAATATTCAATGACATTATAAATAACTCGTCGTTTATGTTCCGAAGACATTCTACATAAAAGAAATATATTTTTACTCTCTTTAATAGATGCAATTTATTATCAAAAAATATATACGTAAGTTTTAAAAAATCATTTTTTGCTAAAAATTATTATAGGTAGAGACCTAAATGAAAAATTAAAAAATACAATTGGATAACAAAAATAATAGCTAAAATCTTTTAAAAAGTTTATAAAAATTAAAAAAAATAAAATCTCACGGTAAGACTAAGGGTTCGATTGAATCGAATCTTTCCTCCGCGTAAACTTTGTCATGCATGTGAGGATATCGTCTTAAATTATTGACAAACGCATTTGCAACTGGTGCTAAAGCTGGAAAGATAAATAAATATTACATAAACGTGACGATTAGTTAAAATGACTTACTGTGAATAATAAAAATTGATAGCGAATAAATATTTTTCATCTTAAAATTGTTTTCAATAGTTCTGAGAAAATCGGCTATGTATCCTTAATAATAAAAGGTGGCAAATTAATTTATTTTTTAATTTCGCTTTTTTTTAAAAGGATGACAATGGCACTTAATATGATAGTGTAACACCTTATAATTCGGGTGATTTTTGAAAATTTTTAAAATAATCAGGTAAGACTCTGATATTAAGGGACAGGTTTTAAGAAAGAGTAACTGTTAAATTGAAGTTAAATTATTAAAGTTTTTATTTGAATCCTTTACAATTAGAATCAGAAAGAAAGAGTAGATCCAGGATGTCTTCATAGGGACACTGAAATAAAGTAAGAACTTTGTGGAATCAATCGAGAATTTAAATGGGGACAAAATTTAAAAGTATTAGTTACTTACCTTTAAAAATTATTTTTAGAGTCATAGACCCAACAAGGGATACCTCCTTCAGTGTTTGGTCGAAGAAATGACTTTGTCTAGCGGAAACAGAGAATGCAGTAGATTTCCCTAAAATTGTTTTCTCGGGACAGCCAAAGTGAAAGGTCCTGGGTCCAGATGTCAATGTAAATTAGATAAAACACCTCTTAGCCTTAAGAGTAACCGAATTACTTATTTGACGTTGATGTCGTGGTAATCCAGTTCTTAGAAAAATAGAAATGTGCCTCGTAGTAGAAATTATCTCCTTTAATGAATTTGACTAAGACGAGACTCGAAGAAGGCACTTATTGGTACTTGAAGAGATTTTCTGGACTGGAGTTGAAGAAGAAACTTGATGACAGTACACAACTAGTTAACTTGGTGGTTAACTTCGAAGAAGTTCCTTTTGCAAGGGGATACACCCACTTTTATTGCTTTCGGGGTCAGTTTTTTTATTGATTTAATTTGAGCCCGTGAGTGACCCTATATAGGAGGGTGACAAAACGTTGATGATCATATTTAGTATCTGTTCCCCAGGTGTAAGACTATTGGATCAATGTTGCTTCGGTTACAAGAAAAGGAAGATTTAGATTCTAACTTTACAAAATATTATTTTACAATAATGTAAAATATAAATACGTCGCGATGACGTAACAATACCACAAGACCTTACTTACCATTCTTTGAGACTTTTTCGTCGATCTATAATTGAAAACTTTTTGTTAGAAATATTATACTCGTTTACTTGACCCTAGCTCTGATGTTGCTAACAACCGTTATCGTCAAAAATCGTCAAATTGGACCCGAAGACTAAAGTTATTACCATTTTTTTATATTGAAAACAATTTTATTTGTGAAACATGAAAAATAAAGTATTGTTTTAAATCTTCAAACCTCCAGTTTCGTTTCTTATCATTCCAATGGTGCCTCCTGTATAGAGTACCAATACCCTTCCTTCCGGTTGATTCAATTCATCGAACTTCCCCGTCGATGCATTTCTTTTCTGTGCAAAGGATATTTGTCCATCATTATTGTAAACACCATTTTTGAATTTGCCGTTAGTTATTTCCAAATTCATTGCTCCAAAATCTGTAATAAGATACCTACTGATTTATAAATAATTACAAAATAATAAATCTTACCCTTTTTGCAGCAAGTTTGTCTAGAAAATTTAATGCAAAATTTCTATGTATGAAATATAAACTTAGTTAACTTTGTTGCTAGGGGGGATAGCCGAAAATCTACATTAGCGTTTCGTACGGCAGTATAGTGATAGGTCTAAATTTTAAGTAGTAGTCAAGCCTTTCCTATTCGGGAAAAATTCAGTCAAAATTTGTTATTTAAAGCATATAAAATTTGGGTAAAATAAAAAACTCTAAATATTTGTAATAGTTATGAGAAATACACAAATAGATCACTTACTTAATCGTCTGGAAAATGTCAAAGTATAGTTAAAACACAAAAATTATAATATACAAACAAAAATACAAAATCCCGTATTTATATTAGTAGTGCGTACAAAAAAGATTAATTAAAATTCCGAAAGTTTAATTAAAAGGAGTAATTAAACAAAATTATCAATTTACCTAAAATGTCAAACAGGTGTTAAATTACAGTTCTATATGTCCGCGGAAATGAAAATTTAAAACTGCTTTATAGATGATGCAAGTTTGTACAAGTGCGCCTTTTTCCCTTCACAGACCACGAGGTAAACATACCTGTGTAGTAGTGTATTTATATTACACACAGATACACTCATATTAATGAAAGTTCTCCACGAAGTTACGAACGTGTACGTGACACGTGGGTAAAGTATATATATAGTATATATCAACGGGTAAGGTTAGGTTTTCAGGTAGTAAAATTTTTCACATAAATAATGACATTAAATTTATATATACAATTCAATGTGCAACTGTTTATAAAGTTAAAAAAAATTAGGTAACTACTATTTGCGAGAAGAAAAATAAGTATAAACAAAAGATGATAAATATGATAAATATTTATCTTTAAAATTCATCGTGTTACGAATTGTGTGCAATCTTGAAGAGGAAGGTTATAATATTATTGAAAAGCAGAAGAGAAAAATATTGTGTATTCAATTAACGTATCTGATTGGACTTCGGAGGTGATATTTTTTATATAAAATATATGTACAATTTTAATATATGGATAAGAAATTGGCAGCTTACCGTAATAAGAAGCGAAAAAAGGAGATGTTTGAATCAGCTAAAAGTAAACTGAAAGATTTACTATTTTGGGATAGAGACAGATTCAGGGAAACTCCAACAGAGGCTGAGGTATTATAATTGTATATACATTATTATATATTTGATTTTATAGTTTATACATGCGTGTTATATATAGCTAATAAATAAATATTTTTGACTATTTTTGAGGTTTAAATTATTTCCAATCTTGTTGGTGATTTCGTATATTAATAATTCAGTTTTATTGTAAATATTTAGAAATAGCAGACATTTTCGTTTTTAAAAATGCAAACTAACTGAACATTATTTATAATATATATTTACGAAAAGAAGAAGAGATTCGTCGTCTTTTCTTTTACTTTCGTATTTCGTTATAATATAAAGTAAAGGTACCTATTATGAAACGCTTTTTAAGCTAACTAAATTTCTATGACAAGTTTCTTGGAATCAAGAGTGTTAATATGAATAATTAGGGTACGGATTGAAAGATTAGTATTTTATGAATAGTATTTAGGCCCTAAGAGTCATGTCAAGTTTTGCAAGATAATGTAGAAAACTTTTATAATTGGTGTAAAAATAAGAAATTAAAATTGAACATTGGTAAATGCAAAGTAATGACATTTGTGAGAGGGAAATCAATTATTCCATATCAGTATTCTATTGAAGGTCATGTCCTTGAAAGGGTAAATAAAATTAAAGATCTTGGTGTAACTTTTTTACCTAATTTATCCTTTAATGATCATATTAGTAATATTGTTGACAGCGCTAGTAAAACCCTTGGATTCTTAATTAGGTTATGTAAACAATTTAAAAAAATCTCAACTATAAAAATTCTCTTCCAAACATTCGTAATCTCGAAATTCATTTATGCGTCTGTTATCTGGACGAAATTTTAAAACGTTCCATAATAGGTACGTTTTAATGAAAAAATAGATTAAAATTGGGAAGAGAACTATTGAAATTAATAAATGAATATCCAAGGATGAAATTTATTCATTATTTAGGACAAATTAATGTTTACTTATTGAAAAATTAATGTTTAAAGCAACAATTACCATTTTGTTGCATTGATTTTTAAATATATTATTCATCATTTATTTTAAAACAAAATCTTTTGCACAACTGGTCCATTAATCCATTTTGACAATTACTATTGACTGATGACTGCTGTTGACCCAGGAAACAACTTTTGAACAGGGTTGGAACGCTTAGTTTTTTTGTTGCTCGCGTAAATAAAGGTTCTTCTGCAATAACAATTTCTTTTTCTTCAACGCAAACAAAATGGAGGCACTTTTATAAAAATTCGCAATACAGCAATAATAAATAATTAGTAAGGTTTTGCATTTTTAAAATACACCAATTTTTTATTACTTCATTTGACAACCGTCTACTTAAACGTTCACAAATCATGCATTTAAATTTTTTTTTAATTTTTAAATATAATTATAAAAATTTTAAAGGATCGAGAGCCCTTGAACTGTGAGAATAAGGTAAATGATAAAGATAATAAAGTGGATAAAGATGATGTGGAAAGTACTTCATCAGATGACAGTGGTGATGATTCGACTGAAACTTCCTCTCATCCAGCAATCAGATGGACATTGTATTCTCTATATTTTTCACTATGGCTGACACTCTACATTCTTGCCTTGCGAATTGAATTTGGCGCTATTTATTTTATTCTCTCGAGTTTCTATTTAATTTGGGTTAATACGAGAACAAAACCCAAGAAAAAGGGCGAAGTTAGTGCCTATTCTGTATTTAATCCCGACTGCAAATCAATAGATGGCACTCTCAAAGCCGAGCAATTCGAAAGAGAAATAATGTTTGGAGCCACATCAATTATTCACTAATGTAAATAATAAAGGTGTTTCTGCAATAATTTTTTTTTCATCGTCATATAAAATGTACAGGAAACTGCACATATGCTGTTGCGTTTAGCTTCTGCGCAACAATAATCAATGTAAAAAAGATGCGCAAAAAAGAATATATAATTTCTAGGAACTCCTTTTACGCAAGGTAAGTAATGGTGCTTCTACAACAACTTTTTGCTCGTGTCTCGATGAAAATATAAAGTTGTTATAGAAACAGCATAAAAAGACGAATTTATTATCGTTACTTTTTTATAAATAGGAAACGACTGAGGGTATTTTTAATTTCAATAATAACCATATATATATAATTGTGGTAATATTGTCCTTTTTTTATGTAAAAAGTATGTACAAAATCTTCATTTTGTGTCGAGTATTATATATATTCCAAGTGTAAATGTATAATAAAAATATTTTTCTGTCAACTGTTTGTCGTATATAACTATAGTAACATATTTATTTATAAGCAACATTGTTCGTGTAAAAATAATCTTCAAAATTCAAAAAATATTTACTAACTGTAATTAAATTTATAAAACACAACAAGAATGTAACCTCAAAATTTTTCATTTTTTGAGTTAAACAAATTTTTTTTTAAAATTAAGTTCGAGATATTTCATTCAAATTTTTGTAACATTCCCTTAATCGATGTAAAGTTACCTCACTGCCAAGACAGAGGAAAATTTTATCTAAATCCAATAGTCGATCATTTGCAATTCGAGCGTCCAGAAGACTGAAAAATGTAAAATCTCTAATTATTTGCATTTTTTAAAAAAATTTTAATTAATAATATTTTAATAATAAATTACTTGATTATTTCCAGTGAATTGAGATTTTCTACATAACCGGTAATTTCGTCTGTTAATTTATTTAAATCAATTATTTTCTGGTACTCTGAAAATTGTTGTGGAAAAATTATTATATTGCTTAAATATCTGATCATTCTTAATAGTTCTCTTAAATTGTATATTTACGATGATTTTCGAAGAGTCGGGATGGTTCCAATTTTTTTAGATTTCGAAAAAGTGTGTTATTCAAATATTTTGGATTCCAAGGAAGAATTATACTTTCCGATAATCTCCAGACACTTAAGGCAATTACTTGTGCCATTATTTTTCTATTTTTTATCAAGTGATCTTTATTTACAAGTGAATTATTCTCTTGTTTTGGTTCCTGCAATAAAAATAAGTTAAAATTTTAATAGTATAATTAATTTTTTACGGAATTTTCATTTTTTAAATTTCATAGAATTGCAAACGAGGCGAAATCTCATTTTTGGCGGCGAGTGTCGTATCTAGATTGCGAATTTACTGTCTCTGACGATAATAGAGTGAAACAGTGAAAAAGTTGGTAATATTAAGTATTTGATTCACACGGTAAGTTATTCATACGAAAAAATGTACTGATTAAATTTATCCTGGTCTCAACTTGTCGACGACTACTTTATCTGTAGCATTTTCAGACGAAGGAAATCAGGTGAAAAAATTTTTTTTGTTTATTAAATAATATAACAATGAATTCCCTAACCTATTTTTTACTCATAGTTTTTTGCCCTTTAAACTACCAATACGTTGATAAATTCATTAAATATTAAATTTTTAAATTATAGCCTTAAATAAAAAATTTCTTCAGTGTAAACTAATATTACTTGTTTTATTAATATTTTTTTGTAATAGTACCTTTTGTAAAAATTAAAATATCAAAATCTAGTGAAACATGAAAAATTTGCTTACCACGACTTACCACGAATGAAATAACAGCCTGTGGAATATTTAATTCCAATTTCAATGAATTAAATTCTCGTTCATGGCATGTATTGAATGATTTTGATAATAATTTGACAAAATTTGCAGCGTCTTGAACGGCAGTAGCGGCAATATTTGAACCCGAGATAGAAAGGCAATTTTCTTCTGATGATGATAAATATTGAATATTCGTAAAATTATTCTCATCAGCTTGACTAATAAATGCGACAATTTTCGATTGTATATAAGTAGAGAGTTCATTATAGCAATCATACGCCGATTCACTGCAGACACAAAAAAATATTGTCCGTCGTGGATTCCAATCTTGTTCGACGTGAATTTTAGTTAAACTTCGTATTATCTCCATCATTATTTGAAATTCTTTTTCAATTAACGATACAATCACAAATCTATCTGCAAAAATAAGGAAAATTTTCTTTATATGTAGTAGTTTTTCGAAACAATGAAAATTTATTTCTTAATATATTATGCACTCAAGTTTTCAATGAAGAAGCGGTAAGAAAAATAAATAATTAAAGTTTTATTTATTATTGAGACGTAACAATACTCAGACTTTTGGTAAGTTTATCCGCCGAGGCGGTGAGATTAAAAATAAATTAATAATTTAGTTAAAGTTTTATTTACTTTTGAGACGTAACAATACTCAGACTTTTGGTAAGTTTATTCTTCGAAGCGGTGAGATTAAAAATAAATTAATCATTTAATTAAAGTTTTGTTTATTTTTGAGACGTAACAATACTCAGACTTTTGGTAAGTTTATCCGCCGAGGCGGTGAGATTAAAAATAAATTAATAATTTAATTAAAGTTTTATTTATTATTGAGACGTAACAATACTCAAAATTATGGTATATAGTTGAAAAACTCTCTTTTGTTTCCAAAGATTGAATGAACGAAGTTTCAAATGAAAATCAGCAAATATTAAATTGATTTTAAGTTATATATTTCTATTAATTTCAATTATTTGTAAACAAACAGAAAGATTTTCTAAATTTGTAAAAAGAACACTTCAAAACTTACCCGTTTCTCTAGAACCTTGAATTTTACCAATCGAGCAGGATTTAAAATTTTCAACGTACTCAAAAAATGGTCGAAATTCAGAGAAAAATTTATCTCGAATATTATTATTAACCAATGAATTTTCATTGTTCCGATGAAGACTGTGATTTTGAATGAATTTTTCATCTTGAAGGTAATCAATGATGTTATATTGAAGATGCTCCGTCATTTCTAGACCATTTTTTGCAAATTCCATTCGTGTTCGTTCGGCACGTGCCATAAATGTTCGATGAACGGCAAATCGTCCGAGCATAAAACCACCAAGTAGACACAAAAATCCAATAGCGAATAAAAATGAAATACAACTTCGTTTTGTAACAAATTCACTCGATTCGCCAAAACCTCGAGCCGTTTGAATACTCAGTACGCCCTGCATTTTTCTTTTTTTTCACTTCACTTTTTTTATTCGATTTATCTTTAAATTTGGAAATTTAATTTAAATCTTTTATTTAATTGTTGATTTTAAATAAATTTTTAGTTTAGAACAAATTTTTAAACTTCTTAATTAATTTTTCTATCAAGAATTCTTTTTTAATATAATTTCGAATTAATTAATTTTTTCTATTAATTACATTCTCATTCGCGAACGGAAAGGTATTTTTATTACATGTTTCGATTTTTTTTAATATAATTATATTAAACTTTCTTTAAAAACATATTTAAATTTAAATTTAAACATTTTTTTCAAAAAGAGAAAACTGAAGAAATTTGATTTCCTTTTTTTGATGAATTTCTTGAGAGAAATAAAAGTTTCACCGTGGAATCTCAGTGAATTGATTCAACAATAAAATCTATTTATAAAGTACGCGAACGATTAGAAACAATAATAATTTTACGAACGTGATGATAAACACAGAAACTGTTATATATTTTTGTGCCAAATTGACTCTTCGAAAGCCGTTTTAATTCTCATCTTCATTCACATTTGCACTTCCTAATCAAGCCTCATGTCGATGATTGAATTAGACTTTGATCACAAACATTTGAAAATTATTACGATTCATTGCGTTTTTTATTGTTTTAAATCGAACTTTTTTTCTATTTTTTTACATTTTGTATTTGTTTTTTGTAAGAAATGAAATAAAAAACAAAATAATTTGTCACAAAAGTTTGAAAATTTTTTCGTAAAAATTGCTTTGATCGCGCGATGAGTTAATTTTTCGAATTCACTGACGACTAACTTTGAAAGACTGCGTGGGATCAGACGAATATAAGTCGGACTTGTTTCCACTTTTGCTTCCACCTCTCAGTTCATTCTTATTTTATTTCATGGGTCTAGGTAAATGATCTTTATTAAATCTCGATTAGTTTAAAGTGAATTTATTTCATATGTTGTTTATTTGTCATTTAAAATTTTATTCTTTTGTATAGCTGATTTAATTATTAGGTTTCAATTTTAAAAAAATGCTGTTTTTTGCAAAAGCAATTTTAACTTATCTTCCTTTTCTTTGATTTTTTATTTTTTTTGAATTTACTTCAAAGAAGAAGAGTTATTTTTTAAATAAAAAAAGAAATAATTACAGATATAAATTTACCATACAAAAAATTTGTATGGTTTAATTTTTATAATTAACAAAATACAATTTTGAGAGTTTTAAAAATTCAATATAATTTTATGGAAATTATATTAATTATTAATTTAGAATTCAAAACGCTTGAGAAAATTTATATTGAAAACCACTTGTTCGAATGCATTCGTTTTGTTATGTTTTGATATTAAAAAATAATTTAAATATAATCAACTAGGTGGTTAAAAATTGATTTGATTAAAAGAATTCTATTTATTTTCCGCATTTCTAAATCACATGTGTATGTTTACTTAACACCTATATACATTTGACGGAGACATTTTCAAGAAAGTATATAAATAGTTTACAAGTTTTCCTTGCGAGTCAATTTATAGAATTCTGGATTCCTGAATGTCTACTATAATGAAAAAAATGCCCTCGCATTTCCAAAATCGTTGACCCAATTTCATGTAACTGAAATTTTTATTGTTAATTTTATTTGAATTTAAATAAAAATTATCTAGAAAAAGTAAGTCATGTTTTTAGTTAGAAAATCAAAAAATATACTTTTCCAGTTTCTGGAAATTATTTATTCCCTTTTATATATTTTTTATTAATTATGACTGATTCATTCACAACATAACTTATTAAAATTTTAAATAATTTATTCTGCTCTATATTTGAAATTAAAAAAAAATGTTGTAATCAAAATTAAACATCTAAAATAGATTTATTGATTATAAAATATATTACCCACATATATTATAAAAAGTTTAATAAAATAAAATATTAAGAGGTAAAACGAAAACTAAATTCTAAAATTAAATTACATCATTGAAGAAAAAGCATGTTTATGTTTGTCTAAAAAAAACAAATTTTCAACCTTTTTTCTTACAAGAGTGATTGATACACTACATGCCTTGATATTTGACAGTTTTGTAGGATATATTTTTTAACTCGAGAATAAATACAGAAAACAATGTCGAATGTATATATAATTTATTGCTTAAATGAATTATCATAACATATTTTGATATTATATACAAAAGAAAATCAGTTCGTCAGTTGTAAAATAACACTTATATATAGCAATAACAATATTAGAACCTTGTTCTATAATAATTACGTATTCTATTTTATGACATTCTATATAAACATTATTATGAAACAGTTTTCGATGTGTTACAAATGGTTTATAATTGGTATAAACCTGTTGAAAGAATTTATAACATATAACACAACATTTTTCAGAAAGATTGCAAAATTATATTTTCTCTCTACTATTCATAAAATAAAAATTAGAAAACATATTATGAAAATTAAAAAATCGATTTAGTCGCAAGTGGTAAAAAAATCTTAAGTATTGTAATAAAAAATATAGTTACTCATTTTTATTTACAGAATAGCTAAAAAGCTTTTTGAAATAAAAATACGATGAAAATTATTATTGGAAGTCCGATGGAATCTTTGGGGGGTCATTTCGAGTGAAACGGGAGTTTAAAGTTTTTATTTCTATCGTAAGTTTTATGTGATATTTACTAATTTTATTTTCTTTTCCAGGTCGGAACTTCAATAAAAATAATGGTAGTTTGTTTATCGATTAAAAATTAAACCGCAGTGGAAATGGAATATGTGTATGAAGAATCTCATCAAACTCCAAGAATCTCTTGGAAATTTTTAACAAAGAAAATTAAATGAAAAAGTATTTCTTTCAATGAAATGAAAATTTGGCCTACTAGTACAGAACCTTTCTGTAAATGAAACAGAATTTTCCACCAGGACGGTAAGATTAAATATGAATAAATAATTCAATAAAAGTTTTATTTATTTTAAAGACGTAACAAAACTCAGATTTTCAGTAAGCTTATCCGTCGAGGCGGTAAGATTAAAAATAATAAAATAATTAAATTAAAAGTTTTATTTATTATTGAGACATAACAAAACTCTAATTTTCGATAATAAAGCAATTACGCTTTAAATATAGTAAAGTACGTAAGGGACTTAAGTCAGTATGGATCCTGACATACCCAGTGAGAAGTTAAAACGAAAATAAACGAATTTTCACATTAAATACAAAATATATTTATCTCTTCATAACGCTGCTGTAGGATATACTTTGGAAATTACTGTCAATTTTTTCGATTAAAACAGATTATTAATGAAAATTAATACAAATTTAGCAAAATTCCTGCAAAATGTTGAGTTAAGTTTTTTTAAAAAAAAAGTTAAAGGTATCTTCGCAAAATCACAATTGTATTCGTAAGAAAAACAGGTTTTCTTAATATTACTGTCGACTTAAAAGAAAATAAGAGTAGAAAAATAATAAAATTATTAACAGATAATTTCCCATCTGAACATATATATATAAATCAGCACTCACTTTCTCTCTCATCTATGCTTAGTACGTTCGTGATTTTTCAAATATCGTTTCTGACCAAATTTCAAGCCACATTGAAGACATGAATAGGGTTTTTCTTTCGAGTGTATCTTCTTGTGTCTTGTTAAATCATTTTTCACGCCAAACGCCTTACCGCAAATATCACAGACATGATTTTTGACTCCCGTATGAGTCGTTAAGTGGTCCAACATTTGTTGTTTCCAACGAAAGCCACGCTTACAATAACAACACTGATGTGGATAATCATTAGTGTGTGTCTTACGATGTATATAAAGGGACGCTTTTGTTTTAAATGTTTTTCCACATGAATCACAAACATATGGACGTTCACCAGTATGTATTCGTCGATGATCTTCTAATGTTGTTTTCATTGCAAAACAACGACCGCAAATATCACATGAATGATTTTTAACACCATCGTGCACGTGTCTTAAATGATAATAAAGACTTCCAGTTAGGCCAAATTGTTTACCACAAATATGGCATGTATAAATTTTCTCATCCAAATGAGTTTGGGCATGAGTTTTTAAATTCTCCTCCAAATGAAATTTCTTGTCGCATTTATCACATTGTAATGAATTTTCAATCGGTGATTTTTCTTCTTCTTCTTCTTCTTTATCACTATCAGTTTCTCTTTGTTCTGATATTTCAACGTCGCCTTTTGATTGGAATATTTCTTCACCGTTTAAATTTTTTCTTAATTTATTGGAATTTTCCACGTGGACTTTATGTACAGTTTGGGATGTTTCACTAGTATTTTGATTATTTTTCGAATCTTGAATATTATCTTTTTGGGTAGTACAGTTTTCTTCATTAGAAATTATCAGTTTGATATTGTTATCAGATAATCGCAGAGCGGAAGCACATTTTTTCATAAAATATTCTAGTCTCGGGGATCGTTTTGAATTTGTTTCAATCGTTAACAATGCATCGCGCCTGTTTGACCTGGAATTATAAAAATAAAAGTCACTCTTACGACGATTAAGAGAACAAAAAACTTAGAATTTTCGAGTATTACATGTTTACTGATGTTTATAAAATGTAGTAGAATTTTTTTGTTTCCGAATATGGAAATTCGAGAAAATTCCTTTTCAGTAAAAAATATATCTGCAGTGTTTTATAATAGTTTAATGAAATTTAGTGTGTTTGACACTTGGAGATGTTTCTTTTTTTTGAAGATACAGCGGAATAAAAATTTTCTCTTTGACGAAACTTAGCAAGAAACAAAATATTGACACGAGTTTCCACTCTATGTGTAGACGGTAAAACAGATTTTCACGCGCGAAATTTGAATTTCTTTTTAAATACTTTGCAAATAAGTAACTAACTTTTTTTGGGTTTCATTTTATGTTTAAGTATTTGATGCGTTTTCATGTAACGATCCTGAGCAAAATTAGCCCCACATATTTTACAGGTGAATAATTTTTGTTCTGTATGTGTTTTCTTGTGACGACTAATGCAACCCTTGCTACGAAAAGATTTTCCACATTGCTCGCAAGAAAATGGCTTTTGTCCCGTGTGAATTAGTAAATGTTTCTGAAGTTCCTGATTACGCTTGAAGCCCCGTCCACAAGTCTCACACCAATGGCTCAAAATCTCCGAATGAAAGCGTTTATGTACATGTAGCGATGCCTTTTGGGTAAAAGTTTTACCGCAAATTTCACAAACATTAGGACGTTCACCGGTGTGCGTGAGTCGATGTTCATCACGACATAGACGCGATGCAAAGGGACGTCCACATATTTCACACTCATGCGTCTTTAGACCCTCGTGTACATCACGCATATGTCTCTTTAATGCCGAAATTGATGAGAATTGTTTATCACACTTTCTACAGATATCAGTTGATGTTAATTTTTCGTCATTTCTCTTCAATTTGGTATTCGCTTTTTTTCTTCTTCTTCTTTCCTCTTTCACTGGTTCATTGGACCTGGAAATTGGAAATTCTTTGTAGAATCAAAATTGAAACAAAAGATCACAGTTTTGGGGGTTGGCATTTTTCACCCTAGTTTTCAATAGATAGATTCTGATGATTCAATTTCTGATGCTTGACGAGATAGCGCTTCTGTCTAAATGATTGATGACATTCGGTGCATTGCCATGGTTTATCATCAAAGTGGACCAAACGATGTCTCTTCAATTCGAATTTAATGCGAAAATGTCGTTGGCATATATCACATGCGTAGGGTTTCTCGCCAGTGTGTTTGGTGATGTGAACTTGTAATGGTGTCTTTGTCCTAAAACCCTGACCGCAATGGGAGCATTTAAAGGGAAATTGATCCGAATGCGTGCGATTGTGAACAAAGAGTGAGGCTTTTTGCTTGAATGCTTTACCGCAAATATTACAGACATAGGGTCGTTCACCGGTATGTATTCGTCGATGATCGTCAACATTTCGTTTTGTTGTGAACATTGTACCACAGATATCGCAGGGGAATTTCTTGATGCGCGCATGTGTTTCGCGTAAATGACGCGCAAGACCTTGATTAACGCGAAATTGTTTACCGCACAAATGGCAGGTGAATGGTCGTTCGCCGGTGTGTATCCGCTGATGCCATGAGAACGTATAGGGTGAATAGAGATTTTTTCCGCACTCGTGACAATGATAGTAGACCTTACCGTTGACTTCCATTTTAGCTTTGTCGACCGCATGTTTATCTAAACAACTCTTGTGCGATGGTATTAATTCCGGATGTTTTTCCCTGGTGTGCATATCGAGGAATTTCTTCTTCTTCGTTTCAAAATCGCAATGCATGCAGGGATAGGATTTTTGGCGTATTCTCCGTTGACGGGATGATACTTTCTCCTGTTGCGGTGGATAACAAATGGTTAGATGATTGATCAGTTGTGATTTCTCCACGAATGATTCCCGACAATGTTCACAGAAGTATTCTTCCATTGTAATCCCAGACGATTTCGATGAATGCTTTCGGTAAGTGGACAAACTGCATCTACAAAAAAATACGTTGATATCGTTACTGGAATTCTTCCATTTTTTTTTTTTTCTTTAGTAATATAAAAACTATTTTTCAGTGTTTGCTTCCTCAATTCTAAAAAATTAGTTTCTAATCTAGAAATTTGGTGAAAAATAATAATTAGCAATTCTTCGAGAGTTCAATGTGTCGGTTCTTGAGATGATTGTTGAGATAGCGTTTTTGACGAAACGCGAGGCCACATTTATTGCAAGCGAATGGCTTATCGTCGGAGTGTATCAAACGATGTCTCATAAGTTCTGATTTGACGCGAAATCGTTTTGAGCAAATATCGCAGGCGAAATTCTTCTCGCCCGTATGTGTTGTGATGTGTGCTAACATTTCCTGACGGCGGCGAAATTTTTTTTGACAATACGAACAAGGATGGGGAAATTCGTCTGTATGTAATTTACTGTGAATGTAGAGTGATGCCTTTGATTTGAATGTTTTACCGCAACAATCGCAAACGTAGGGTCGTTCGCCGGTGTGTGTTCGACGATGATCGTCGCGCGTTGCTTTTGAGGCGAAACTATTTTCGCAAAGATCGCAGGGGAATTTTTTTAATTTCGCATGAACATCCTTGATGTGACGGGACAATCCACCGGAGTCACGAAATTGTTTACCGCACACGTGACACGTGAATGGACGTTCATCGCGATGAATTCGCGAATGACGAACAAATGAGTCCTTTAATTTAAAACCACGTCCACATTCGGCACAGAGATATGGCACTTGGGATTGATGTGTTTTAGCGTGTTCATTTAATTCCGCGGCGGAATTAAATTCAAGGGTACATGTTTTACATTTCCAATTGAGTTCATCGCTGTCGGTGTCATTACTGCTCGTGGGCAATTCGCCGATAAATTCATAATCCTGTTGTTCGTTTTTTGGTTCGTCAACGATGTCAATTGTTGATTGTTGTTCGAACAATTGATTGTTGATTGGCATTGGTAATGATAGTGAGGAGTTTATCCAGATATTCATGGGTTCTGATGTTTCGGTGGGAATTTTTTCTTGTACTTGACATCGATTTGTTGTTGTTGTTGTTGTCTGTCTTCGTTTTGAGGGTGACCAAAAAATTGTCTGCGTATCAAGGAATACGTTAAATGGTGTCTGGACTCTACTGGACCTGGAAAATAGTCGTAAATACTTTGACTCCGGAAACTCCGGTCTGAAAAGGAAAATTCGCGAATCTCCTACTTTTTCTTTCTTTCTTTTTTTTGTTTCTTGCATTTGAAGAATTTTTAGTTTTTTGTTTTACTTTTTGCTAAATCCGAGTGCGAGATAAAAATTCTTTTTGGACAACTGTGACCTTTTGTTTTTGTTGTGATAAAAAATTGTGTGTAGAAAAAAGAAGAGAGAAATTTACCTTTCAGTTTTTAGAGTTTCATTGTTCTCGGCCTGCTGAGTTGATTGTTCCTCTTCCGTCTGAAGAGAAAAGGAAAAATGTTGAATTAAAAAAATTAGATTTATGAATTTGGAAAATTTAGAATAACAAATTTACCGATTCTTTCTGGTGGAATTCTGTATTTTCTTCAGGTTTCGCTGGTTCCTCATAAACCGACGACTGTAACAAATGATTTTCGTAAATTTTTTTTCAAAGTTAGTTGATATCTTATACTTTTTTTTGTAAAAAAAGGGTACGAACCCTTCTTTGTTCTGCTTGTTCCTGAAGACGTAGAAGGCGACTTTGTGCCGAAAGAACCCCATCAGAAAGTTCATCCCAAGCGAGCAACGTTGCAGCACATTGATAACACAATTGTAGAGGTAAAATATCCGTTTCACAGACCTAACAATAATTATATTTTAATTTATCAAAAACATTCAATTACAATATTTCTAGATAACCATAAACCCTCAAATTCAAAATGGCGGATCCAATATGGACGAATTTAAAAAAATTGGCCGTAATTGCCTTAAAAATCGTTACTCAGGGGTTTCTGACATCGTTAAACACAAATCTGACATCAGATTTAAAAAATTCAAAATGTCGAAATCATATTTTAAAAAAATGGGTGTTAACATCTATTTTTTTAAAATATAATTTCGACATTTTTATAAAAATTGGTCAATATAATAAATTATAAAGAGTGAAATACTTTTATCGGTAGATGCTTCTGTATTTTACTGGAAAAATTATGTTCGAGGCCATCTTCCTTGAATATTGGTATAAGATGATCATTAACAGTGCCACATGTCCGGCACATTTGTGCTAATTTATCATTTTGATAATCATCCCTGTCGATTATTTGCAATTCTCCCGATTCCTCTGTTACTAAAAAATATTCTTCCTCAATGTCATTGTTCTTGTTATTCTTTTCCACCATCTCGTTCATGGAATTCACTAAAAGTGAATTATTAACTCCGCAAGAGGTTAGGACTCCCGAATTTTGCGAATTCATCGTATTTTTCTGTAAAAAATTAAAAACAAAATAAAACACATAAAATGATCGAAAAGGCAAAAATCAAATAGTTTCTCTTATTTTCAGTCGAAAAATTGAAAAAATTAACTTTTTAGGTTATGTTAGAAATAAAATTGAATAACACAATTTTTACTGTAAACTTACCATTATTATTACAAATATAAAAATTTTTGCAATAAACAATTTTTTTAATTTCAAATATTAATATTTCATAAATGAATTTCGTTTTTAAAAAGTGTCATATCAGTCATAGGAGAGCATGTATTTCACATAATAGTTTGTCTCTTTTGCACTCATAGACAATTAGACAGCGACTATTGTTATAATTTCTTTGTTCTCTAACAATGCAAAAACAGTTTTCAACAATAATTCTCTAAGTGAAAAAATTTCAAAAATAGTATTAAATTTAATTGAAATAAATAATATAGGTACTCACGGTACTCACATTTAAAACTATGCGTTCTTTGTAAGAAATAAAAAAAGAAATTCACGACAATTTTTCAAAAACATTTAAAATTTTTACAATTATTTTCAAAACTAAGTGAATTAAATGAATAAAAACTACACTAAATTCACATTTTTGTTGCGTATTTTTGTTACAAAAACTATTTCTTTCGTAATACAAAATTTATGGCAGTAATTTTAGGCGTCTTCACTATTTTAATGGCTGACAATAGTAGTCGATGTGGCCTGATTATCTTATAATTCGACTTTCGCCTATATCGATACAATTTAAAAAAATTGTTAAAACCCTTCGTCATTTTTTGTACTCAAAAAATTAAATTCACCCTAAATAATAGAAAGAATTTTTTAACTCACTTATTGAAAATTTTAATAATCTCTATTATTATTACTATTATTTATTGTAATTTTAGAAATTTTAAAATATATCGACACAGGAATCGAGAAAAATTGAAATCGATTCGATATATAGACATCGATAGATATCGAATATGAACATAACCTATATTTTTCCGACACAAAAAAATAACAAAAATTTCTTAAAAAATAACCACGATATAAAGGAATAATAATAAATACTAAAAAATGTTAAATAGTATGAAAAATGTTTTGAACTGTTTTCGAGCAAATGAAAATAGTTTACTTGAATGTTCAAAAATTATTGCTCTTCAACAGAAGCGGGTAAACAAATTAAAATCTACTTATAATTTTTAAACATAACCCATAAGTATCAATAAATATTTGTTTTTTGTGAAATAAAAATTGAAGTATATCAATATTAAAATATTTATAAAATAATAAAGTACTATTATAAACGGACTAGCGTAAAATTTATTTAAAAATTTTATATTATATTATATTATTGCTTCCTCATAAGAAAGTATTGTAATACCAAAATTTTTCAAATTCGATTTTTTGACATATATCTTTATGTTAAGTCTTTGACCTCAGGAATTAAAAAATCACATTTTTAAAAAATGTCTTTCTGTATGTGTGTAAACATTATATTTTCATAATTAAAGTCTTATAAATAACTTGTAGAACTTTAAAAATCGCTTTGATTCACCTATTTATTTTTACCTAATTCGATCAAAAATACGAAATTATTGTTATTTTAAAAACCAAAAATTTTGGAAAATATCATATTCAATATTTATAGTAAAAATAATCTCACAAAGGCAGAAGAGTTTATTGTAATAAAAATGTATGTAATAAAAAAAAATAAAGTAAATTAATCGAAAAAATCTACATGAGGAAGCAAAGTGTTCATGAAATAAACAAAATAAAATCATCTTTTAACTTGGCAGCGGTTTTATATTATATTAAAACAAACGTCGTCTTCTGTGTTATTATTACAATCATTCGGACTTTAAAAGACTATTATAATATTATATTATTTTATAAGGTATATTAATGCAAAAATTTTTTCCCCAGACTAGTTATGTCATGAAACGGAAGTATCCTGTGGGACTTCATAAGAAAACGGGTCCACGTTATGGCGAAAAATTAAAACATCGACACTTTATTTACGAAGTAATTGAATCACCATATGACAAAGAATTGAAACCTTTAGAAGTTATATTAACCGATTATGTTGAAGGTATTGGAAATAAGGGCGAGAAATTGACATTGAAACATTCGATAGCTTATAAACTTATTTTGCCGGGTCTTGCGGTTTATGCATCACCGGAGAATATCGAGAAATATAAGGATATTGACAATGAGTCAAAACTTGCTTTCAGTTCACCTTACGTACCAAGAACAATGAATATTCTAATGTCACGTTTGGTAATGGTGCCAATGAATATTAATAATCCATGGAAACTCGAAAGATGGCATGTGCATTCAGCATTGCGAAGTCATGGAATTATATGTCCGGCTGAGGCTATAAAAATGCCCGATCATGAAATATCGGGACCAAATATTGAATTAATGGAGAATAAAGAATTTTATATTGAAGTAACAATTAATAATAAAGAAAAACAATTAGTACGCTGTCGTATTCATCATGTACATAAAACTCCAACACTCTGCTCACGTCTTCCTGCGGATTTTTACAAGTATCCAGCGGAACCAATTTTTCCCGAAGACAAACCAATTTTGGATTCAATGCCTCGACACAGACTTTGTAAACATACCGAACCTTTAGTTGAAATGGAATATTAAATTTATTTTTTTAAAAATCGTTATTTGTATCTTATTTTATTAATAATAATAAATAATAAATATTGAAAGTAATACAATATCATTGCTCTCGAGAATCATTGGAAACATTAAATTAGATAAATCGCTTTCTTAAAAATAATCTTTCTTTATTTTAACAAAAATATTTCTTTTAGTCAATAGAAATTTTAAAATTCAAGAAATGTGTATATTAAACTAAATTTTTCATCCCTAATGAATTTATTTCATTGAAGTAATTAAAATTTTAGAACGAAAAAGAATTTTTTCCCTATAGAAGTGGGTCACACAATTTGTTTTAAATGAAATCAAGAAACCATGCCAACGATTTAGAATCAAATCAATACTCCTACAACTTCAGCTCCTGTCATTTCATAGGTTTCATATACAATTAACCCAATTTTTTTTATTTTTGTAAATAAGTTTTCCCTTGTTTTCTTCTCATAACATTTCGACTAATTCCCTTTGTTTTGAGGCAAAAATGGGGGAGAGAAAATTTATCTGGAACGAAGTTATCGAAGGAATTTCCCTTGCAGGGTATGTTAATTATTGTTTACTTTTTCAACAGAGTAAGAAAATAATGTTTTCTTTTTCAATTTGAAAAAAAACAGAATTTCGAAATTGGAAGAAGATCAAATTAAAAATAGAGGGGGATCGAAATTAAATCAAAAGGATGTCGCTATTTTTTGTCCACATTCGTATTTGGTTTTCAATTTTCAAGAAGCTTTGAGCACAAATCAAGAGGTTTGCTTTAATAATATAGAATATTAATATAAAATTTTAATATATAAATTAATATAGAATATTAATAATAGTTTTTTAACTTTCTTAGACCGAATTTGTATTTCCTATCAGATTTTATAAACTTTTTAAACCTCGTTAACTAAATTTAATCCCCAATAATAAACTTTTCATTAGAATATATTTTTAAATTTTAATTCTACTTTGTTGTTTGTCCAATTTTTTAAAATAACGCGTTAGAAAAATAAAAATTTTGATTTCTTTCTATAAATAATGGAAAGTGAGTTTTAACCTATTTAATCATTAAATGAATAAAAATTTTCTGATTTTAATTCCTATTGAAAGTTTTAAATAGATAATTTTTTGTAAAATTGGTAAATCAAGAATAGATGTACTGATTCTTTCTGCCTAGCAAATGCAGGGTGTCTACAATTTTTTATCCAAAAAAATTCCCGGCTTTGTCCTAATTTTTCCCGGTTTTTTCTCATCAAATTTAAATTTATTTGATTTCGAACATAAACAAATCTACAATTGGCTTCAAAAAATTTTAGTAAAGTTTTTATGAATATATTTATGTAAATAATTGAATTCTTGAGAAGAATTTTTTTAGTTTTCAGAAATAATTGAATTCTTTCGACGAATTTTAATAAAAATTTTTAAGAATAATTACATCTTTCGAGGAATCCGATTAAAATTGTATTAAAAATAATTGAAATTCTGTGTTGAGTTCTACTATTTATGAAAATAATTGAATATATTGCGAAGAAATTTTTAAAAATAAAATTATTATTACGGTGACTATCTTCCCTTTATTCTTTTGGAAAAAATTTAAATAAAATTCTTTAAAAGAAATTAATTATTAATTATTTTTAATAGAATGTAAAGAAATTTTAATTATTTGCTTATAAAAATTTAATTATCCCGGTAAAATTAAATTTCTGGCTATTTTCCGGATTTCCCGGTTGGTAGACACCCTGAAATGTATTTTTAATTTTACTATTGAAATCTCCCTCAATGAGAACATTCTTTTCGCCTTGTAAATATTGGCAATTTTACTATTGAAATCTCTCGCAATGAGAACATTCCCACTGGAAGTTCTGTAGAACTTAAAGTTCTTCAAGGCAATTTTTTTGGTAAATTGTTAAATCAAGAATAGATACTGATTCTTCCTGCCTTGTAAATATTGTCAATTTTACTATTGAAATCTCTCGCAATGAGAACATTCCCATCGGAAGTTCTGACAGCTTTCTTCAAGTTAATTTTTTGTTAAATGAAGAATAGATACTGATTCTTTCCGCCAAATAAATATTGTCAATTTTCCTTTTTGGGATTCGACAATACTCCACGTTCCTGAAACAAAAATTACAACATATAATAAAAAATATGTTCTTTTAAATTTAACAAATTTAACAAACAACTATATGAACTAATAGATTTTTACAGATAAAATTCCGTAAGCATTTTATGAGAAAAAGCGAATCAAAGGAGCACGATATCGTTTATCTTCAAGATGTAAAAAATTTGGTTTTATATCTAGCAACAAATCGAATAAGTGTACAATTCATCGACTTCTTTCACTTACCAATAGCCGATCGTTTTTTGCGTGCACTCATAATTTATTTTCAATACTATTTCGAGATATGGGAGGAAATGCTAAATAGACGAAATGCAACTCAGAAGAAAATTATCAATCCCCTAGCACACGGTGATTCATTGAAACGAGAAAATAATTTAAACTCCCTAAGAATAATTTTAGCCGGTGAATATTCAAATTTATTAATTGGTTGCAAATATGGTGGGCATTATCATCATATGATGACCGGTGGTAAAAATAAGCCACTCGTCCAATCACAACACGAGAAGGATTTGAGGATATTTGAAACTCTGCTGGCAGTTTCTCATCAAGTTGTTTGGATCACTCTGCAGCGGAAATTTTACAATTTAATTGGTATTATGCAATTTGTTTTTTGAAATCTTTTGTTTTACAAAGTATAATAATCTTTCCAAAACTTTCGTTTCGTCTATTTTTCAGTAGAATAAATGAAATTTATTTCTTTTAGAAATTGAATTGCATAGAATGTTTAGAACCGATTCTTACAATACAGCAGAGAGGAGAAATTCTGAATTGATGAAAAATATTAAAGAAAGTGAACGTATTGAATTGCATGGACCAAAAATGCGGTCGAGAAGAAAACTTTTGAGAAATTCGTCGTTGCCATATCAGTTATTAAATTCAGATTGCGATTACCGTCTTTTGGCTCTAGGTAATAATTATTCATAAACTTTGCTATCGATATCTACCTGATCATTAATTTATTTAAATTCAGATTCCTTGACATCGAAAGATCCGCAAATTATTTTTTTTCAAAATGCTCTACACCTCGAAGAAGAAAAATTTGCTGAACTTGGAATAAAAGTCGGAATTTTGGGAATGCCACGTTCAAATTTCGATCATTTACTACTGCCAATTTCGGAGTCACCGAAAAAGGACGAAGACTCACAAAATCAATTATTCCTATGGAAAATTAATCTTGAGGTAAAATAATGTTTTCAATTCGTTTTGAAAGAAGTGATTATAGGTCAAAAATTAATTTAAAAAAAAATAAAGTTAAAAATTTAAAGTCAGAGAAATTTAAAATATGACCTTTATACTTGCAGAAATCTTTCGAGGAAATTCCAAATGCTCGATCGAATCTCGAGTTGGATTTAACACAGGAAAAATCGAAATTCCCTTCTAGTAAAAGATACAAAAAGTCTTGTAGAGACGAAAGAAGAAAGTGGATTGATCGGGCAATTAATCTTGCCGCTAGAAGACAAAAGGACACAATATCGACGACAACGACAACATGGGAACATAATTGAAATTATGGATAAATAAATTTTTCCTAGAAATTTTGAAGAAATATAATTTTTAATAAGTCCTTGAAGCATCATAGAAAAAGATAACACTTTAAAATCTCTCGCAAATACTTGGGAGATTTTTAAAACTAGCGAATAAAAAAAATTAGGAAATATAAATGAGTATTAACAATTGTGACATGCTCCGAAGAAAGGTATCTGAAAAAAGAAAAAATTAAAGTAAATATAACACAATCATAACCTTAAAATTATTTGTTTCTATCTTTTCTTTAGAGTTCGCCACAATTATGTCTAGTTAAATATTCAGCAGTCAGAATTTTATATGAAACTTTTCCTTTATCGAAATTTTTATTTTTTCGAATTATGTATCAAAATTCATATATAAACAGATCTTTTGATTGAAATAAAATAAAAAATAAAATTGATATTAACAATTATTATTATTATCAATTTTCAGTAATTATACCTCAAAATATATATTCTACGAATCTACGAACGATAAGTCACCTATGCTATGTTTAACTGCCACAGTGCCACCTTCGGAATCTTTAGTTACGAAGCTCATGAAACTTAAAGTTGTTCTTTAAATGTCCGCTGTTATTTAATGTCTGACGTAAAAGTTGAATGAAAATTATATGAGAGTTCAAGTAATTTTAAACTTTTCTGCAATATTCGCAGTCAACTTTCGCGTCAAAAATTGAAAAACAGTCGGAATTTAAAGTTTTAGTTCACTTAAATTAACTGTTTATGAACAAAGAGCTACACTGTAAAAAAATCTGCTGTAAATTTACTATGTCCGACGTTGGAAAGTTTGGTCACTATGTCCGACGTGGTATTTTTACACGCCGACTGTAATCTACATAACCTGCAAATATTTTTTGAAATAATATTTTCAGTCGTAACTTTTTGTATTTATGAAATATAGCCCAAAACTTTTTGTTATATTATTATTTACTTATAAATTAGCATATACTTTCTATAAATGTACATTATATACACTTTTTTAGAGTTATTTATAAAAACTTGAAAATTTTTTGAAAATCTTAAAGGAATAAGAAAATTACATTCGCCATGTAATTGTACAGATCGTGCGACGTAATATTACGTCAAAGTGTAGAAATACACGCAATGTAAAAATACCACGTCGGACATAGTGATCAAATTTTCCTACGTCGGACGTAGTAAATTTACACAAAACTATTAAATTACATAGTCGTATAATGTAAAATTATTAAAAATAGTAAAACTACTTTTGGAACGAAATAAATTTACTACGTACAACCTATAATTTTGATGTGTGAAATTACAAGTTTCGTGTTATTTTACACCAGATTTTTTTACAGTGTAATATTTACCACGCAAGTCCATTTAATTTCAGGGATGTGTCGCTTCAAATTGAATTAGCTTATGTGAGTTTCCCATCTATGCGTTACGGTGAATTTACAATTTAGAAAAAATTGTGAATTTTACAGTAGTTTAAAAAATTTCATCAGAAGAGCTCCTGACTGTACCCTTAGGGTACAGTCACTTTCTTCAAATGGATGTAAGTATTTTTATATACAAAGTAAATTATAATTTATAACTAGATGTGATAATAAAAGTGCGAAAGAAAAGGGTATTTTTTGAAAACGTGAAAAGACAAATTCTATCTAACCAAAAGCAATTGTGGTGAAATAGTAACAAAAAAAATGTAATTTATTTTAATTACTTTTAGGGGTTAATAATGTTATTATCAAAATTCTAATGACTTGAACAAAAGCATATTGCTCACATTTTATAATTCAAGTTAATGCAAAAAATAATTTTATATTTATAATGCTTTCAAATTAGTATCACTGAAATTTCTTTTAAGATAAATAAACATTTTACATTAAGAAAACAATTTGCTCCCATTTTGATTAATATAATTAGAGGGAATAAAAATTTCGACAAAAGGAAATTATGATCATTAGTGTAATAGATAAATAATCTCTGAATTTATGAATTAAAATTAATAATTTTGGAAAATTAGAAAATTCTTACCATTTTAAGGTTATGTTACTATTTCGATCCGCCATGACAGTTCTCTATAGTGACGTCCTCGACACTATTCGAAGACATGGTGGGGGTAAAAGAAATTGAACAAAATGTTCACTGAACCTTGACAATTACTGGCACTGTACTGTAACAATTAAACAAAAATAAATAATTATAATTATTAATCAAAAAAAAAAAATTACGAATGTTGAAAATTCACCAAAAACTTCAATATAAATAAAATTTTTTTAAAAATTTATTTCTTTGAAAATAAAATATATTTAAAATATAAATAAAAAGTAATTAATAAATTTAAATTAAAAAAGGGTTTGAAAATTGTTTCTAAAAAAAATTGTGTTCTTGAATTCTTTAATTATATTCCGAAGTGGAAATACGATAATGACATTTACAATTGAATACTACGAACAATGTAAAAATATTGCTTATTGTAACTGTTACTATCTAATAAGAAAAATAATAATTATATTATAATTATAATATAAAGACGATGTATGTGTAGCATTACATTTGGAGCAGCGCAGTAAACAATTTTTCTACTTTGAGAAACATTATTTTTTTTCATTTTTAAAAATTTTAATACGTTGTGAATGTTTTATTTTATTTTTTATTTTCATTTTAATTAACAAACGGTACTCGGTACCAATTATTTACTAAATATGTATATCGCAACGATATCTAGACGATTTTTTTACCCCTTTATTTTTTTTTTATTTTTTTTAACCTTTTTTATTGAAAAATTGTATTTTTTTAAAGTAAGAAATTGATATTTCTACCCTCAAAAAATTATTATAAATTTTTATTTTGTGTACATTTCATTCACATTTTAAATATATTCAATTAGACAAAAAAAAATTACTGTTCTCAATTATTTTTTTCCCCCAACTCTCTTCCCTTTTAAATTGTGGTAAAAAAAGAGATCAACTATATTTTATTTGTATTTATATATACATATACACGAAGAAATAAAATCTAGAAAAAGTTTTGATAACAAAATAATTACTAGAATTAATTGTCATTAATTAAATTTACATGTGTGTGAAATTCTATTTTTAATTTTTGTTTTCTAATACTTATTGTGATTTTATTTCTTTGCTATAACGAAATTCTTATCGAATTTCTTTTTTGTATTTAAATAAATAAATAATATGGAAAAATAGTTATTCCTAAGTGGTTGTTTATTTTTTTAAAAAAACTGTTTCTCGGTATAAGAAACAGTATTTTTTCTCCTCCCACTTCGTACCATTTTATAAAATATCGAATTTTTTGTACTTAGTTCTGTTACAGAAAAGAATTTTTTTTCTCTAAAATGAGACGCGAAAAATATTTCCTAAAAAAATTTACTATTAAAAGAATTGTGAATATTTAAATTTCGCGCGTCCTCTACGTTGACTTTACCGATCGAACATAGAGTGAAAACTCGTGAAACAATTTCCAATAAGATTTTTATAAATAGAGACAATGCTTTATAAAAAAAAAGTTTTAAAATTAAAAAAAAGGTAAAGTATAAATAATACCTATTGCATTTTAACAAAAATTCGAAAAAATTCCTTTTTTTTTATTCAAAAAATTGTTTTTTCTATTAAAAGAATTGTTCAATGGGATTTGGACATTAGTTGTAATTTTGATTCAGAAAAAATCATAAACGAGTTTTTTTATCTTTGTAAAGTCAGTAAAATAGATACAAAAATTTTTGAAATTTTAAAAAATTTTATTTCGACTAATTTTTATTTGCTAAACAAAAAAGAGTTGCGCCCTCTCTGATCTACTTTACCGACTGTACATAGATTGGAAACTCAAATAAGAATAAAAAATGTAAAAATGAATTAGGCAAAAATTCGTAAAATAAAAATCTTGACATTCAAATTTCAATGAGAAAAAATACTATTTAATACTGTTTTCTTTAATAAAATTCGACAAAATACACAATTATATTTAAATCTGAGATGTAATTTTCTTTTTGAAGAAAGTAAAACTTTCCACTTGTATAAGAATTCGATTTTGGATAAATAATTTCTAAACAAGTAAAAAATTTGCGGATTACAATACATTTCATGATAGAAATATTTTTTGCGTCTCTTTTTAAAAACTTGATCGCGCAATTAATTATAAATACAAATAATTAATTTTTGTTTAATGCGCAAAAGCTATTTTTTTTTATCAACATACATGTACACGGGTTGCGAACTAAGTGCTCTGGTTTTGTTTTTAAATTCTCCCTCTGAAGATACAAAATTACCTATCATATTAATTATGAATTTATATATAATTATCTATTTATTTATATTATATATAAAAAAGAAGAAACGTGAAGCTTCTTGGCTGATTTATTTTTTTTTTGTTAATGCAGACAAATAGAGCAAAAACAAAATCACGAAAAAAATTCTCGTGAAAAATTTTCTCTACTGCAAAATTTTTAACGACTTTTTTTTAAAACACAATGGAACAAAAATAGTGTTAAAAAGTGTAATGCTTCGTTTTAGATATTGAAACATGAGGATTTTGCCACATTTTTCGAAATTAAATTTAAAAAAAAAAAAATGATATCGAAATTACTTTTTTATATTTTACGTGTTAAATTTTATAAAATTCTTCTCCTTTTTATCTTTTTTAAAAACATTTTCTAAATTTTTTTTTTTAACTTTTTTAAACTTTCTTATTATCACGTAAATGAAAATTAAAAAGAAATTTCGATTTTTATGAATTTAATTCGGAAATAAAATTCTGAGACGTTTTTATAATTATAAATAAATACTCCGAAAAAAAATAGTCGGAATATTTATTTACTTATAATAAATAAATAAATACATAAATAAGTAAATATATAACAAAAATAATAATAATAATGAGAAAAATAATAATTTAAATTAACTATTCCGCGGATTTGACAAATATTTATATATAGTTTCCTATCTATATCTTAGTTATGGGTTGGTAAAACAGTTTTAAATTTTAACCGCGAAATTCAAATTGAATTTTCATTTTTTTGTAACTTATTTAACTTAGTTTGTTAAAAAAAAATTTTATTTCTATTTAACGATTTATTTATACAGGGAAATATTTTACCTTTCTCTATTTAATTCTTTTTTAAATTTTTTTAATGAATTATTTTAAATTACAATAGTTGTTTAAATTCATAATACTGAAATTTACAATTTTTATAGAAATTATGTTAATTAACAAAAAAATATCACAGAAAAATTCGTTTAGCGGTATTTTTGATTAAATTAAAATGTATCGATTTGAATTTCGCGGGTAAAATTAACTGTTTTATCAACTGAGTATAGAAAGGAAACTACGTTAATAAATTTACATTTAATAAGGCATCAAAGTCAATGCGATTTTTTCATTTTGTTTAAAAATCGCAGGCTTTGAAATCAATTCTTTCTATGTAACCTTTTTTAGAGTCGGTAAACAGAAAAAAAAATTCAAAACGGTGAAAAAACATTGAAAAAATTCGATTTAATGAAAAAATAATTTAAACACACAAAATTGAAAAAATAGAAAATTTGTAATAACACAAATAAATTAAATTATTTTTCTCTACAAGACAAAATTTTTGTACAGAAAAATTTTTGTTTCCATTGAAAATAAATACTTTTTAGTTAAAGAATTTTCTTTTTTCATTGAATTCTAAATTCTCAAAATTTTATTCCAAAAATAATTCTTCTCACTTTTTCGGAATGTTTTCTATTAACGAATTAATGTGGCAAAATTATTTTCTAATTTTTTTTTGCTTTTCATTTTGCAAAACGTAGTTTTCAAAACTCTTTCGAGTTCGAAATACATTTTTTTTTGAAAAAAGAAATTAACTGTAAAATTCGACTATTGTTTCTGAAAAAAAAAATTGTATCTAATGTACACGCACTTGACTGTCTGGTATTTAATATATTTTTTTTATATGTACAAACGTCGATTAAAATCGACTTTAGAGAAATACTTAAGCCTCTTTTCTTTCAGTTTCCTTTCCCTTTTTTTTCTGTCCAAAGTTCACACAAAATCCATGCCTCGAGGATAAAATATTTTAAAATTGAAAAAAAGAGAATTCCTCTCGGCTTCTTTTTTTTCAATTCAAGAAAAGTTGATTTACAATTGGATTCACTTTTCCAATTTATTTTTTTTTTTTAATTAACTATTACTCGTAATTTGAACGAAACGCTCAACTGGATTTTTTTATCACAAAAAACGGAGTCTCACTACTCATTTCTTTTTAATCGTTCGAGGATTTTGAATAAAATGTAGAAGCTTAAATTTCCACCGAGAACCACAAAAAAATAATAGGGCAAAAAATTTTCTTTTGCTCACTACTTTTTTTTTATCGGTTGATTTGCCTAGTGTAGAAAAAAATTGTTTCTGTAAAGTGACGTCACAGTTACACTTTTTTTTCTTTTTGTTACCAGCACAGAAATTGTTGACGATAAAAAAGAGGAGAAAAAAATGATTCGTTTATGAGATATGCGAGAAACAAATGTTGTCGAGCTGTTTGATGAATTTTTTTTTGTTTTTGTTTTTTTTTTTGTTCAACACACAGCTGAGATTAGTGAGGGGGCTACGAGGCAATATCCGACATCAATTGGGCAAGTAATGCTGGTTCCAATAATCCGTGCGATTGTCCCAATCGCTCTAGAGTTCGTACATCTTTGTCGACAGCCTCTAAAGCTCGTTCCAATTCTTCTTCTTCTTCCCGCGATGGCTCATATTCACCGTTTCTGCTCTCTGAAAAATTATAAAAAAATTTTTTTTTATTACAAATATGAATCAAAAAAAAAAATGTAAAACAAACAGAAAAAAGGAAAAAGAATTATAACTAATTAAAAGAAATCCTAGAGATCTCAAATTTAGTCCACTTGTGTATTTTTAGGTGTAAATTTTCAGAAACATAAAACAAACCAAATTATAATTTAATTTAAAAATTTTAATTTTTTTAAATATGAAAAATTTTGAAAAAAACCTGACCTTAATAACCAATTTGCAATAATAATTGATTCTATTTCTGTATTTTTACTCCAAAAATTATAAACAAAACCTACAATTTGTTCAAGATTGTTTTTAATATTTCAATTAAATTATTTTTCTTTTAGAAATTTGAACTAAAATTTTTCTCTAATTCAATTATTTTTAATATTTCTTGAGAAAGTTCCTTAAAAATTCAATTATTTCAAAAAAAAAGTTCACCTAAAACTAAAATATTTGCAAAATCCACTTGCTCACAAGACAATTTCATGAAAATTCGAATAATTTGAAAATTTTTCAATTATTTAAAAATATAACTAATTTTAAAAGAACGTTAATAAAAATGTTTTAAAAAATTAACTTTTTCAGAATTTATATAATGAAAATTTTTTAAAATTCAACTTTTTTAAAACTTTAATTTGGAACTTTTAGAAATTTAATTTATATTAATAATATTAATTTAACATTCTAAACGATAAAAATAATTACTTATAAATTATTTTAGAAACGCGAATATTGATATTAATGCAAAATACGGTTTTTTAAAAATTTATTTTCTAAGAAAAGCAGAATTTTATTTATTTCAATGTCTCGTTTTATTTAGAATTAAAAAAATTATTTTTTTAGAAATTTCGTATCACTTTTGTTCTAATTAGTTCAAATATTTACCAATTCAAATTTAGAAAATAAGATAATAGATAGATAGAAGAATAATTTGGAATTTGAAATATACGTAATTTAATTTTTGCTTTGAAGAATTTTATGAAAATTTTGTGAAAATAATTAAATTCTTTTGAGGAATTCAATTATAACTGTATTGAAAATAATTAAATTCTTACGAGAAATGTTATTAAAATTACATTGAAAATAATTGAATTCCTGTCAATAATTTTATTATTCATGAAAAAATTTAAATATTTATAAAAATAATTTAATTCTTGCCAAGAATTCTATTCAAATTTTTGATAATAATTTTTATTATCTGTGTTGTATTTTATTAACTTTTTTTTTTTAAATAATTTAACTCCTAAAAAGCATTTTATTATTTGTGAAAATAATTGAATTCTTGCGAACGATTTTATTAAAATTTTTTTAAATAATTGAATTTCCAAAGAAATTTATTACTTTTAAAAGTAATTGAATTTTTGTGATGAATATTGTTATTTATGAAAATAATTGAATTTTGCAAAGAATTTTATTAAAATGCCTCAAAATAATTGAATTTTCGGGAATAATTTTGTTATTTATCTTTAATAATTGAATTCTTTCGAAGAATTTTATTAAAATATTTGAAAATAATTAAATTCCTGTAAAAAATTTTTTTTTTGAGAAATTCTATTAAAATTGTATAAAAAATAATTGAATTTCTCAGAAAAGTTTCATTACTTTTGAAAATAATTGAATTTCTAAAATGAATTTTATTATTTATAAAAATAATTGAATTCCTAACAAGAATTTTATTATTTATGAAAAAAATAATTGAATTATTACGAAGAAATTTATAAAAATTTCGTAAATAATTGAATTCCTGGAAAATTTATATTATTTATGAAAATAATTAAATGTTTGCGTAGAATTTTATTAAACTTTTTTTAAATAATTGAATTCTTTTGGAATTTGGAAAACTTTTTTTGGAAAAAATCATTGAATTGCGGAAAACTTTTTGAAAATAATTGAAATTATGCTAAGAATTTTATTAAAATTTTTGAAAATAATTGAATTGTAGAGAAGAATTTTATTATTTTTATAGATAATTGAAATTTTGACCAGAATTTTCAATAATTTTCAAAAATAATTGAATTTCTGGGAAAATTTCATTATTTATGAAAATAATTGAATTATTGCGAAAACTTTATTAAAATGTTCAAAAATAATTGAATTTCTGTGAAAAATTTTGTTATTTTTGAAAATAATTGAATTGCTCATAAGAATTTTATAAATATTTTAAATAATTAATTTTTTCGAAATATAAAAAATATTAGGAAAATTTTATTTTAAATAATTGAAATATTGTGAAAAAATTTATTTGTAAGAAAATAATTGAATTCTTCGATTAATCAATTTAAAGTAGTATTAAAAATAATTGAAATTCTTCGATGATTTTTATTATTTATGAAACAAATTAAATTCTTGCTTAGAATTTTATCAAAAAAATTTTTTTTAAAAATTGAATTTCCATGAAAAATGTTATTATTTGTGAAAGTAATTGAATTCTTTTTTTGCATAAAATCTTGCAAGTTTCTGTAAATTGGTTTTCAAAAATTATTTTTCCTCCGTCTGTAAATCTTTGTATTCCTAATGTTTATTTCACGTATCACTTCAAAAGCCATATGAGTTTTTGCTTCAGTATTTTTTTTTATTTATTTTTTTTTTTTGCTTCAGTAAAAGTAAACGAACGAGAATTCGTCTTTAATCTGCAAAAGTTAATCTTGAAAATTAGTTCATATTTAAGACATAAAATTAATGAAATGAAAACGAAAAGAAAATGAAAAGCCAAGCCGTTAGATAAAGTAAAACTCACCAATAAACAAATCATTGAAAGCGTCAGCAGGCAGATTATTAAGAACATTGCCAAAATCATGTTCGGCAGCGTCCAAGGATGCAAAAACTTCATGATCTCCAAGTTCCACCTTAAGTCCACCTCCAAGTCCCAATCCTCCCAAACCAAGTCCAAGATTATTGAGATTTGTATTCGAAGTCCCTTGCGGTGCATTTAAATTATTCAAAGTTTTCGTATGACTCCCTTCAACGGGTATATGACTAACAAAACGATGATGATGATGATGATGGTCATGATCGTGATGATGATGATGATGAACATGTTCCTGTTCAACGTCCGTCAGTTCATCGGCCTGTTGCGCAATCACCATACTCTCAACAACATTACTCTTCGTCTCCATCAATTGTTTACAATTCGGTGACGAATTCGCCGACAATGGTGACGAAGTCGATGATGTTGACGAAGTGGGTGGTGGCAAATTTTGCGTCGTCGCCGCCGATGGCGGTTGAGGTCGTTTTCTCTTCTTCGGTCTTGACTTTGCCTTTGGCCTCGGCATTGTCGTCTGTTGTGTCTGGTGAACAGAAGACGATGACGTCGAATTTGTTGACCCCCCTGACGATGGTTGCATTGTTGCCAATGAAGTTGGTTTTTTTCGCGATTTCTTTGGCTTCGATTCCTGCGCTTTGCGATGATAATTGTCCCGTTTGCGGGCGTGCTCCGGACACAGGGGCAATTCGTGGGCGACGTCGAATACGGGAATTGAGCATTGAGTGTTGTCGCTGAATTTTGCGGTGCAATGCTCGAAGAGTTGTTGATCGACGTTCATCATGATGTGTCGGGCGCAATGTCGAGTGCAGGGCAGGGATATTTGCCGGCAGTTGTTCATGAGACAGGGTGAGCCGACGAGGAGGGGACCGTCAATGACTTTTCGTGAGCCTTTAATCGTGCCTAGGGAGCGAGCCGCTGAGGAAGGATCGCGATGCGCCGCTTTTACTAAGCAACGAGTGCGACCACGTAAATTTGTCTCCGATTCGACGCCACTCTTGTGCAGCTGAATCAAACGTCTTCGCAATTGCGAGCGTAATTGTATGAGACGCGAGGATCTCGTCATTGGAACTGTCGACTCGCCGGCGAACCAATGACGCTGATAAATTGACGCCTCCTCACCACTTGAATCGCTATCGGAAATTTCATCACCAGCTCGTGGATAATACAAAAGTGTATGATCCCGACTTGGACGTTTTGCATTCGTCGTTGGACGCACCGAATTCTGTTGTTTTCTTTTACGTTGGTGAACTCCTTGTTGAATTCCATGTTGAATTCCATCATTGAAACGAAAATTTCTCGATGGAACTTCACTCGTTAATTCCTGTTTTATTTTTATTCTCTGATTATTGCATTTCGATTTTGATTTTGTTGGACGATTATTCGGCGATTGTTGCTGTTGATAAAGATGTTGCTGCTGTTGTAGTTGCTGTTGTTGTAGCTGCTGTTGTTGTAGTAGCTGTTGTTGTTGTTGTTGTTGATGATGTTGTTGTTGATGATGAAAATGTGGATTTTTCGAATTTTTGGATGCGAGAAATTTGAAGTTCTTGGCTGCTACTGCTGCTGCGACTGCCGATGTTGCACCGGATGATGATGTGAATGGTTCCGGTTCACTGAAAACGTAAGGATCGACGTCTTGACGTGATTCATTATTAAGCAATGCTTTTAAGCGGTCAGCGAACTTCAATTTACTGTCCATGTTCCACGGATCTTCCGATTCTGGGATCCTCATCGATTGATAATTTTTAATTCACCTTTTTGCGTCACCTGCGATTTTAAATAACAATAATTAGATTAATTAATTCACAAATTCACCTGCCAATGACGTGGATCAAGTTCGTAACGTAATGATTGGAAGAAAAATACATTTTACGTATAAAAAAATATTTTTTCTTTAGAAATTCTTTTTTTGAAATTTTTCTCTAAAGTTTTTGATCACGAAAATATTGTTAAAAAAATTTTTTTCACTAAAAACGTTCCAAAAGAATTTTTTTAAAAAAACTATAGATTTTACTCTCAGGGATCAATGTCTTCAAAATTTAGTTACTAAATTTCCAGAAGTGAAAGAATTTCTTAAAATGTTTATTAGAACTTGAAGAAAATTCAACTAAAGAAAAAATGCACTTTCAATATATTTTTAATTTTATTGAAAAATAATTCGCTTTTCAAAATTAAATTAATAAATATTCAGAAATGAAGGGAATTTGATAATATAATTAATTACAACTAAACAGAATTTTAAATCAAAAGTAATTTTTCAAAATAAAATAAAATTTTCCAGAATTAATGTACTAAATTTTTTAAATTATATCTTATAAATAATTAATTCTAACACGCAAGAAATTAAATACAAAGAAATTTTTCAGAATTAAATTCTTAAAATTTTAGAAATTAATTCAATTTTGCAAAAAATTGATTACAATTTTAAAAAAAATGGAATTCAACAGTAAATTTTTTGAAAATTAAGTTTTTAATTTTTCAAAAATAATTAAATTTTAGAAATAATTGATTATAACCGAAAATAAATTTTCCAGAATTAATTTATTAAATTTTTAAAATTAATTAATTTTAACACGAAAAAAATTGAATGCAAAGAAATATTTCAGAATAAAAATCTTAAAATTTTAGAAATAATTGAATTTTGCAAATAATTGATTACAATTTAAAAGAAATTGAATTCAACAGTAATTTTTAAGAAAAAATTGGATTATACAAAAAAATTGAAGTAAAAATAATTACATTGAAGAATAATTGAATGATAAAATAATTGAATTAAAAAATAATTGAATGTTTAAAGAATAGAATTGAAAAATATTTGAAGTTAAAATAATTAAATTGAAGAATAATTGAATCATAAACCAATTGATTTTAACAAATAATGGAAATAAAAACAAATGAATTCGGAGATAATGGAATTATTACAAAATAATAATTATTTTTGCAATAGACTAAAATTAAATAATTGAATTTTTTAAACGATTTCAATTTTCAAATTAATTGAATGTTTCAAAATGATTTGAAAATTTCTGTAAATTAATGTATTAAATAAAAAAATGAATTTTAATGTCAAAGAAATTTTAAATATATAATTAATTTTTTAAATAAATGACATTAAAAATAAATTAAAATAAACAATAATTAAATTTTTTAATAAAATAAAAAAAAATTATTCTTATTGTTTATTTAATATTTTTTTCGAAACAAAATTCAATAATAATAACAAAAATATTACAAGAATTCCAGTTTAAAAAAAATCGATTGTAAATAGGTAAAAAAATATTACATAATGTAAATATAAATATAAAATCAAGTTTAGTGAAAAATTTATTGACGATAATTATGAAAAAAAATAAATTAAAATAACAACGTAGAAAAATTTCTAATCTTATAAATGACGTTTTGAAAGAAAGAAAACTTGAAGCTTTGCGTGTAATTTTTAGGTTATTTTTCTTCTTTATGCGCGAGAGAGAATGAAAAAGCAAAATATTGTCGTTTGTTTTTGTTTTTAAAATACATTTAAATTAAACAATACTGCGAGTAAATTTTCGTTATTAACTAATAAATACAATTCTCTAAAATTTATATTTACTTACTCAACTTTTTTATAATTTCTAATTGTTATAAAAAAAAGAAAAAAAATAATTTGATTTTTAAACTACCTTTTGTTATTAGCACTTTTAATATCTTAAATGGAAAAATAAACGGAAGTCTTTTTTTTATAAATACAAGAGAAAAACAAACAAATGTTATTCTAAACAGAGAAAGAGAAAGAATAAAAATATCTTACCTCAAACATTAGAAATTTTTTGCCATGAATCCATATTATTTGCATTAATTATTCAAATCCAAATAGAAAATTAATTAACAATCCTCTTGATAATAATAATTTTTGCCAAAGATCCATTATTATAAACAATTCGATGCACAAAACAAAAAAAAGGAAAGAAATTATATTCTTTCACGCGAAATATTGTCGCAAATTTATTAATCTTATTTATTTTTCTAGGTTATGTTCGTTTATCCATTGAAATTGACAACACTCAGTTTATGTCTCTATATATTCTATACTTTCAAATTAGATTTCAAACAATAGAATTATTTACAATATTAACATTTTTTAGGTATGAAAAAAAATGTTTTTTTTAAACACATTCAAGTGAAAAATTGTTTTTAGGAATTGAAAAAATTAATTTTATTTTCAATCCACGTTTTTGTGAATTTTATACATATGTATATATTAATGTTTTAAATTTATTATATTGTAGTTTTTCGTGAAAAATTGCACACACTTAGAAACACTTTTTTTTTTAAAAGCCAAATGAAATTTTTCTTCCCCAAACAGAGAGGTTGGGAACGTCGGAATATATATACACACACACACTTTTAAAAAAATTCTCCTACACTTATATATTATATCTATGTATATATAGATATAGATATATATATATATTGAAAAAAACGATTGGTGAAAAAAATTAACCTCCACACTCACGTTATTTTCTATTTGTTTTCGAATAAATATTTTATAAATTTAAATCACGCAATTTCAAGGAAATATACTGCAAAGAAATGTCAATGACGAGAAAAACCAATGACAAACAAATATCATTACAAGTTTGTCGAAGTCGATAATAACATTAGACTCTATATTAACAGACTGACCACGGTGGGGTTGGTTTGATTCCATCGTAAAGGCGTGCGCGCAAGGTAAGAATAGGTATAAGTGTGCAAAATTGCGACTCAACGCTGACGTGTTGGCGAAAAGAGATTGTGTCTTTTTAAATCTTTCTATAGTTTTGCAAGAATAATTGCCTTTCTCTTCATATTTTTCATACAATTCTAGAACAAAAGGTGGGAAGTAAATTTATTTTCTAATCTCTATTGGCAATTTCTTGTGGGAAATGTTGAATAGAAATTGTTTTTGTTATTTTTATGCGCGGTCTGCGTGGTGTAAATTTAACCTCAAAATTTTTGTTTCAAAACCTCGAGAATAGCGTAAAAATACTGCGAGTTGTGGTTCATAAAAAACGGTAAAAATATTTTGTTTTTCGTTAATTTTTCTAATTGACAGAAACAGTTCGTTTTTCTTTCTAATCCGCGAGAGAAAAATGCAATTTGCCAAATAAATCACGAAAGTGTTAACACTTTCGTGATTTATTTTCTATTTATATTCGCATATACATTTTGCCCTTTTGTGTTTTTAATAATATATATTTTTTAAGGTAATTGAGGTTATGTTAGTATAAACTCTTTGTTTAACGGTTTTTATTCGTATAAAGAACCCCTTGACATAACCTAAAATTTCTCAAAACAAAAGTACCCAATAATCCCGATATTAGTTAATTGTTAAAGAACAATAATCGTTTTGCAATCAAAGGTAGTACAATTTCGTGGAATATAAATCTTTACAAAATTAGAAAATAAGAAAATAATTATATTCTATGGAAAGTAGAATGAAATAAATTCAATAAATTTTTTAAGAGATGAATTAAATAAATCTATACTAGATTAAGGATCAGAAAGAGAAAATAAAACGAATAAAAAAATTAAAAATAAATAGCAGCTGGTCTAAATTGAGTAAAAAAATAAAAAAAATTTGTTTGTAATACCTTTTAAGCAGAATTTAGATTTATTAATTAAAAATTGAAATGGTAATAAAATTTAATGAACAGATTTAAGTGAAAAATGTTTGAAAGATAAGTAAAATAAGTTGTTTATTTTAATTGTTTTATTTATTGTCAATTTTGCAAAAATTAATAAGTACAATTGGGAAAAATTTCTCATCCAAGTGTTATTATAGTACAATATTTGTTGTAAATAAACGATTATAATATTTGTTAAAGTTACAATAATTAATTATATTTTTTAATTAAATAAATTTTAGCTTCTTCTAAATAAAATTAAAAATTTTTAATGTCAAATTAGAAAATTTATCTTCAACAAAAGATTTTGAAATAAATCGGAGATTTTGTTTTTGAATTAAATAACGATTTGACTTTTGAACCACAAATGAAATATTTATTTCAAATATATATAGTATAAGAAATCAAGAACATTAATAATAAAGGGATTCTACAAATTCAGAGAAAGTACCCCGTGTGGGTAGTCTGGAGATATAGTTTTTTAAATACTTTTAATTATATTTTAAATTAAATTAATTTTGATGACTCAGATAATTTTTGGAATTGTTCTAGTAATAGTTTAGGACCTGTAAAAAAATTATTGACCCACAATTGTTAGTAAACAGAAGATAAAGTTCGCTGAAAAAATAATTTTTCATCTTCTGCTTATTATCGGCTGTGGTTACTTTTTATGAATTGTGAATTAAATTAATTTTTATAACTCAGTTCTAGTAATAGTCTTGTTCTAGTAATAGTTTAGGACCAGGGAAAAATTTGTTGACTGACAATTGTTAGTAAACAGATTTTATTTTTAGAATCAAATTATGTTACACATATAACACTATTTAAATTCTTAGGTTTTTATTTTCTTTCTTTGTGCCGCGATTTTTTGTGCTTATTCAAATCACCCGTTCTTCTAAACGAAATTCCACAAATATCGCACTGATAGGGCTTCTCTCCGGTATGAATGAATGTATGAATTTTCCTTGCATTCGTCTTTTTAAAAGTTTGATCACAGTAGTCACATTTGTATGGACGATTATTGGAATGATGTATCATGTGCTCCCGAAGTCGTGCAGGATTCATAAATGCTTTTTCGCACAATTCACACTTAAATCGACGTTCTCCACTGTGAATCATTTGATGATTGTCCCTGTCAGCTTTGTAACTAAATTCTTTCTTGCAATATTCACAGCTAAATGGTTTTTCGCCCGTGTGACTTCTTATGTGACTTTTCAGACGTGCTTTCTGAAAGGAAATTTAAAATTGATTTTAATGGCGTAAACATAAATTAATTCTTAATCCTCTGTTATTTCAATTCCAACGATAAAATGTAGGAAAGTTAAAAATATAAAGATTTGGTTTACCTGTTGAAAAACCTTTTCACAGTAGGAGCAAGTGAACATTGGTTTATTTCCAGTGTGGACAGTATTGTGTTTTTCGAAAGAGCATTTATTGTTGAAAGAAATTTTGCAAATTTCGCAGATTAATTTTGTTCCAATTTCACGTCTTCTTTTGTGCTTTGTGAATTCTTGTTTGCTGTAGAAAACATCGTGGCAGGTTGGACACTTGATAAGTTTACTATTGAGACACACCTTTCGATGTAGATTCATGTTAGTGTAGTGTACGAATGTTTTTTCGCAATTGTCGCAAAAGAAGAATTTCGTTAAATTGTCTTCATCATTTGGCGGCTGATCCGTTATTCTTTTATGAGACTTCCTGTGTACCATTATTTGATTGTAAGTAGGATAAGTTACCTGACAAATTATACACACATACGGAAGAGGCCCTGTGTGGATTTTCGAGTGGCTTTTTGTCGAAGCAATTGTGGCGTAAAATTGCTGGCAGTATTCACACCTTTAGGGTACAAAATTTTTTAGTGGAAGTCTTCATAATGTTAACTGCTTCTTTTTGAATTTTTTGGAATAAAAACCTACCTATAAATGACCTCTAGTTGTCTGTCTTGGATAGTACTTTCGGCACAATGATGAATGTGAGATTCAGTTGAAGAAGGATTGAGTAGAACTTGATTGCAGACATTGCAAACTTGGCAGATCATTGACCGTCGTTCAGCTACTTGATGAATCAGCAAATGCTTATTCAGACTGTTAGTACGATTAAAAGTCTTATTACATTGACTGCATTGGAAAGGTTTATTCGGTAGATGGATTTTCTGATGTCTGCGAAAATTATCAGCTGAGTGAAATTCTTTAGAGCAAATTTTACACTCATACGGACGATCGTCTTTGTGTTTACGTTGATGGGTATCCAATTGAGCAAGTGATCTGTAAAGTTTTCAATTGTTACTTCATCGAAATATTACTTTCCTGATCCCTTCTAGGATCTTCCAACATTAGTGTCTTAGGGACCAGATTTTCCATAACTCACCTGAATTGACTTCCACAAGTATCGCAACAGAATTCCTTGGATTGATCATGCACCATCAGTGAATGATGATAAAGCACCGATTCAGATGAGAAAAACCTATCACACTTTTTACAGTATCGTTCCTTATTTGCACTTTCATGAAACTGAAGATGAAAGTTCAAACGATTTGTGGTGATAAATTTTTTTTTGCAAATTGAACATTCCTGATTCGCTGCTCTTCGTTCCCATTGCCTACCATTGTGACTCTTGATGTAATGCTTTCTCCATTCGTCTGGTGTTTTTGAATAAAATTCACAAAGTCCACAAGGGAAATAAAGTGATGAAGAATGTGTGGCAGAGTGGAGGAAACATTTTCTTCGCGTTTGGAACTTTGTACTGCAGATTCGACATCTAATTTCATTTTTCAAGTTTGTTTGCTCTGTTTGCTCATAAACTTTTATTGGACTTTTGGTAATTCGTTCCCTATAAAATAATTCTTCATTCTTAGAATCTTTTATTGGTAATTCGTGAACAACTGTGGAATTTCTGACGTTTATGAAATATTCATCGGCTGCTACTACTGTTTTAAGGAAGTTGTGAATTAATTCAAGTTTTTCTAAGCAGGCGGGACAAATTGTTTTTGGATGACTGTCGGTTACTGTCACCTGTAAATTTTTATTTAGTTTCAACGATTAGATATAAAATAGATAAAGTAACTAACGAAGTAGAAGTAATGTAACAGATTTCTGATTTAAACGAAATAAATAATTATAATTAAAGGGTATAAAGTTAATTTGATTGTAGAATGTAAATCTAAAAGGTTGAAAACAAAACCAAAATTTTGGATGAGAAAAGTGGAGAGAAATTCAACAAGTGCGTAAAATGCACTTGTTAAGTGTAAATAAAAAGATCTTCATACTGGATGATGAATAAATAAAAAGATTTTCATACTAGATAATGAATAAATAAAAAGATCTTCATACTGGATGATGAATAATTTCCAAAAATTCAAGTTTTGCAGTATTAATAAGACAAAAAAATACTTGCTTTGATCGGTAAGGTGTTGTTAATTTTCTCCAAAATATTCTGTCCCTCTGATGAAATTTCAAAAATATTAATAGTATTTTCGCTTTTATTAGCACAAAGCCGGCAAATTATTTTCTTTTTCTTTGAAAAATCCCCACAGTTAATCATTTTTCTAAAATATACAAAGTCCTCGTTATTTTGGCAATTCAATAACTTCTATTCGTTTTAATTACTTGATTGGTATCAAAAATAATTTTTTCAAACTAAAATATATATATGTAAATTACACAAATTATATTTCAAAACTTTGAGTTGTAGAATGTAGACTGACTAATAAGTAGGTTCAATGCATTCAGCACATAACGGAACGTTAATTATATTTTTTTATAATGAAGATTCTAAAACTAATAATATAAAATACTAGCTTACCATATTTGTTGTTATTAAAATAATATAACCAAAATAAGAAATATTTCACAATTCTTTAATTTCACCAATTTCATTTAAAAAAAAAGTAAAACATTAAGTTTAGAAAAGAGAGAGGAAAGAGAGTCTAACATATGTGAAATAAAAAGAATCCTAATTTATCGACAAAACGAAACTCTAAACGTTTTTAAAAATTCCAATAGATGTCTGCAGTTGTATGTACGTTAAGAAAATTAATTTTTATTAAAATAACTCAACAATATCAATATTTAAACAATTTCTATTTCATATTTGAAATTAAAAATCTAAGTAGATCAAACTTCCCTACAAATATTATTCAAAAATGAATTGTCAATTACTTTTTATTCATCTACGTCTTTAATATATATTATATTATAATATATTATTTATTTCTATTTATTTATTTAATTACAAAGCTCCTAGGACTAACTAGCCCACCAAGGAACTAATACAGTAGTATTTAATATTCATATTAACAGAAAAACAGAATTATAATATATATAAATACGAGAAAAAACAAAAAATTTAACAGATTTATTAACTAATAATTATATGCGGACTCCATTTATAGAATATAATAGATATAATAAAGAGTAAAGAAATAGGTAAATTTCGTTGAAAAATGTTTATTTTTCATTTTTTTCACAAAAGCAAATACAGTGGCCAAACAATAATTTGTTTTACATTTTTTTTATTACAATATTTCGGATGCATGTACAATTTTTATTTTGTATTTATTTTATTTATTGTCTCACACTGTTTTACACACACGCAAATGCACACAATAAGTTATTCATATAAATAATAATTTAATTCACATAAAAACCTTTTGAAATAACTTTTAATCAAAATGCAAAATGTTTAGACTTAATATTTTTTCAGTTGTGATTAAAAAATGAATTAAGAAAAATAGTTTGATAACTTTTAACAATAATTATCATTCAATGTAGAGTATTTTTGCATTTTGATGTACATGTTTATATTTTTAAATATATTGTTTATAATATATTATATTAATATAATATTTTAATATAATAAATACAATAATATATTATATTAATATAATATATTATACATTATAATAATATTTTAAAATAAATTCAAATAATCATTAAATTATGTCACACGTCACAATTATTACATACTTAAAATCATAACATTAAAATTATATTAAGAACATATAATTATGAATGATTCAAATAAAAACACATAATACACAATTCAAATCAATTTTTTTTTGCTTTTTCGTTATAATATAGTATTAGTAGCAAAATTTTAAAATATTAAAATTAAAATCAATTGTTTGTATAATGCAACTAATATGTAATAATTTTTTTTTGTTTTTTTATGACAGTTTGATTATTTGTATAATTTTTGGAATGAATAATAATCTTTATAAATAAACACTATAGTTGATGTTATGTCGCTTTACAAATAAATAATTAAATAAGTTACTTAAGTTATATAATTATAGTTTATATTAATTGACATTTTTTAAAAATAATTTCTTGTACAAGAAATTATTAATTTATTATGATTAGATAAATATTTTTATATTACTTTATGCATATAAATTATACTGTAATACCCGTAAACTGAGATCCGTCACCGTACTAAGTTTTTTCGAAGACTAGAATACTTATATGTAATTACGTATATATATTTATATTATATTTATTTTTGTGATATATATTATTATTATTATAAATATTATATATATTATAAATATTAAATTATTATAATTATTATTTTTATTTCGATAAAACTTTTCAGGTCTTTGTTCACGGGTTTCCTTTTGACTAGATTCCACTCATCTCTTTTTTTAATATTAGGGAAATTTATAATTATAATTATATTACTTTATATAAATTATACACTGAATATATTATTATATTTCTTTATATATTATTTTTATCCAAAATATATTTTTTGCTTTCTCTCATCTATTTTTTTTATATATATATTTATATATATTTATAAATTTGTTTTTATATTTTCATTTATATTTTTTTATTTGTATTTATATATTTGTCTCATTTCTTAAATTTACATTTAATACTGTCTTCACTTTTACCATTAATTTTTTTTTTTTTATAATTTTTGCCTTCGTTATCAAAAATTTATTATTTTCAGAATCAATTTTTAAATTAGTTCCTGGATAGATATTTCTTTTATTGTCAATTCAATTTTTTCAAGTTAAAACGAATTTTTATTTTGTTGAAATTTTGATTTCAATTTTTGTTGTTTCAGAATTTTTTTTTTATTCTTTGATATCAATTTTGGTATTTAATCGAAAAATAGATAATAATGATTGTCCGAAAAATAATATTTTATTAATGAGAAGACACAGCCCTGTTGAATTTTTTTTTGCCTTAATTATTAATTATTTTTGATTAAATAAATTAAGAAAGACGGTTGGCCTGATTTTTTTATAAAATAATAATCACTATAGTCAATAATTAATGGAGAATAAATTGATTATTATTGAATAATAATAATCGATTTATTATTTATTAATTTAAAATAATCAATATTAGATTTTTTGAAATAATCAATATTAGTTTTTTTGAAATAAATTTAGTATTTTAAAAAAAAATTATTATTGTTTAAAATAAATAATAATAATTCAAAGACATAATTTTATAAGATAAAGATTAAAACAATTGATTATTATTATTATTATTATTATTATTATTATCAACAGATATCGAATTATTTTAAATACTCCATTTTAAGAAAAATTTTTAAACTAAAGAAAACCCAAAAAATTAAACAGAAAGAAAAACAATGTTTTTTAGGAGGAAAAATAGTTAATAAAAATTGATTTGCTTCAATCAAGAACTGTGAAAATTTTATTTTTGAAAAATATGATGAAAATATTAGCTTTTTTCTTTTTGTTTGTTTCAAGGGTTTTTGAGATCATTATTATTATTTTCTTTTTAATAAATATGCGCCTTTATACTTGAATATTATTATTATAATTATTATTATGATATGATATGGAAAATAAATTAAAGAATACTGACATTTGTCCCGATTGGTCACTTTATAAATTATTAAGTGGTAGTATTAAGTATATTATTAATTTAAAGTATGGAATGCTAGAGAATATTTAGTAATTTACTAAAGTAAACCTTAAAATAATAATCATAATTATTATTTTATTATTAATATAGAAAAACTAAAATTAAAGATAGTGAGAGATCGACAATATTTATACATAATTTATAAGTAAATGATAAACACAATTAATTCTATGATTATAGGATTAAGAATACTTAAGTTTTAATAAATACTCAGAAAAAGATTTAGTCAAGTCATTTAATACTTAAATTTTTTTTGCTCATTTCTGAAAATTTTTATTTTGTTTATTTGTCTAAAAATTGTCTTATTTATTTAGGTTGTTTTTTGGTTTCTTATTTTTTTTGGTATAATTGATTTGGTTTTAATATAAACTCGGTCTCTTATTTGGTTTAATAATTTGTTTTCTTATTTGGTATATTAATTTGGTTTGTTATTTGGTTTCTTATTTGGTATATTAATTTGGTGTGTTATTTGGTTTATTAATTTGGTATAATAATTTGGTTTATATACTTCGTATATCTTATTTAGTTTATTTATTTGGTTTATTTACTTGGTTTTATTAATTTGGTTTTGTTTTTGGTTCCTTTATTTGATTCATGTTTAATTTAATTATTTTAGATCATATTATTTGGTTTAATTTTTTGACTCATTTAGATTTTATTGGGCTCATAATTGGTTTCTATTTGGTTTCGAAATTTTAATTTAATGGATATAATAATTAGTTCTGAAATAATATTTAGTTTCTCTTTTTTCTTTGGTTTCAACATTTAACTTATTTATTTTAGTTTCTATTTTAGCTTCTAATTTGGTTCAATTTTGGTTGATTTTTGTTTCTTCATCTTATTTATAAAAAAATGATAAGTTAATTCATATTTTTTTCACTTTACTTTTTATTTAGTTTCTAATTTGGTTTTTATTTAGGTTCAGTTTTGGTTTATATTTGGTTTTCTGTTGATTACTTGGTATTTTCTATTTAGTTTCTGACTTTTATTTCTCCAAAATTATATTTTAAAATTATATTAGTTATTATTCTAATTTTTATTTATTTTTTTCACTTTAGTCATTATTTAGAGGCTTTATTTTGGTCTTTATTTGGTTGACTTTTGTTTTTCATTAGTTATTTCGTTTTATTTAGTCAAAATTTAAAAATTCTATTCTCTTTTTTAAATTTTATTTGTGTCTGAATTAAGGATAACGATTTTTTTGCTTTGGTTTATTAAAATTTGGTTTCTATTTAGTTTTATGGTTTCTATATTTTTCTTTGGTTTATAAGTTTTATTTATTTAAAATTATTTTCATATTTACATATTTAAACAAACATTTTTTAACTTTTATATTTTATGAACTTTATGATTTCTATTTAGTTTCTTTTCGGTTTTTTTGGTTTCTTTTTTAGGCTTTTTGATTTCTTTTTGATTTTTATTGGCTATATTTTGGCTTCTTTTTGGTTTTCTTGTTTCTTTTATTTATTTTTAGTTTATTAATTTCTTTTTGTTTATTTTTGGTTTCTCCATTTGGTATCGTTTTGGTTTCTATTTATTTTCTATGTACTTTTCATTTTTTAAATTTTATTTTATAACCAAATATTTTTTTTTCAATTCAAAAATTAAAAAGGTATAATGACTCGAAAAAAATTATTCTGAGTTTTATTATCGAACTTTTTTTGTGATTCTTATAATTAATTAAATTATACAATACTTATTTGGTGTAATTAAAATATGGCAGCATATCCACGGGCAGTGTTTGCTAGTTAATTTTTTTCATCTAATTAAATTATTTTATCAAATAAAAAAATTCTCCGATGAAAAAATTTTTTTTTCATTAAATTATTATATTAGAAAAAGAAATTGCATATGAAAGTGGCCTGCATATCTCTTTTTTTAAAAAGAAAAATTTTTTTTGCACAATTCCGGATAAAGTTAGTATCGACTATTTTTTTATATTTATTATAGAAAAATATAAAGGAAAAAAGTAATGACTAGATTTTTTTTTTGCATATATATTTCTCTGTTTCTTTGACTA